TTTCTAATTTCTTTTAAATTGTGCATCAGAATAAAGACATTTTACTTACAGAAGACAAGAGCAGGATCTGTTTCCCAACATAAATATTGCAGTTTGCAGTTGAATGCTTTTTTTGTACTGAAATGTATACCACAGCTGTCTAAATCTTCCCTGGAAAACAAGATAGAGTATTTTTAAGATATTTTATGGCTCCCATATATGCCCTCCCCTTCAAAGAATTCTATGCTCTTTTCTCAAGTTGCGATGCCTATTTTTCCAAGACCAAAAGGAAGGCACCTGGAAACAGAAAAAATAACCCCTGAGAAGTGTTTCATGTCCAAAAGACACCTTTGTTCTTTTTGTTCAGATTTCTTGTTACCTTGGAAATGGAAGGTGTTTCTAATTTACCAGAACTAAATTAAACCAATTTCTCTATCAGCCACTGGAATGCTGAAATATTGGCTGCAAGTAAGGCCAGAATGGTGAGTCACCACTAGACCAGTAAAATCAAAATGAAAAATGAACTTTGGGGCTAACTATGGTTAATTTCTGTTTCATTTAGTGCTCCCATTTAACACAATGAAAGAAAGCTGAGAGGGAAGGAGTATTTCAGTAAATATTTGTAGGTTTGGCCTTTGCTCAACACAGAACAATCACTCACTACTTGATGCAAGTTGGAGGTCCTTCATTCTACCAAGCTGTTAATTCTATCCTTGACTAAGTAAATGTTGAGGCTGAAGCAGAAAATAATAGCATATCTGTCACACATTTCCATGAGATATTATATATGCGCAGGACAAAACACCACCACACACAAGAAATGCACATATAAAATACATTTTTAACAACCTATTTAAATTTTAAATATTAAAATTGAATTTTTAACATTTTAAATATTAATTCTATAATCTCATTTTAAATTTTTATATTACATAAACTAATGTTCTTTATTGCATATCTCAGAAATATATTTTATATTAGTTGATCTGATGAAAATCAAAATAAATTCAAGCTACTAGTACAAAGAGCTGTAATTGCTTTCCTGTGCAATTTATACACCTGTGGAAGAGCAACAGAAGATACTTCCTCTTCCATTAACCCCGTCAAAAGCTTTGGCTGGGCTTTTCTCCAGGAGGATGGAGTACAGCTATCTCCACTGCTCCTTTGGACACCCGTGTCAAACAACCAGTACAACCCCTTCATAACATACAGTACCAAACATCTCTGGGAAGACTGGGAACCTGCACAACAGTCCAGCTTTTCACAACTCTCATTTGATAGTGTCAGATGAAGGATGCCTTCCCAATCAAAACTGCTTCTCCAGCCCATTTCCAGTTAAAAAAAATGGGTGGGTTTGTGGACAAAAATACATCTGAGTTTTAATGTAACTTCTGATAGAGCTGAAAAGTGATAGATTAAGTCCAGACAAAATAAATAAATAAATAAAGAAAGACAAAACAAACAAACAAACAAAAACAAACTTGAAACTAATGAAACCTTGATTAGCAGCAGGAATTGCCAGAGTGAACAGCTGTTTTTCAGAAAGGGTCTGAATCATGTTTTAGTAGAAGAATACAATGGGGAGAGCTGTTACATGAATGCATTTGGAGGAGAATGAGAGATTAACCAGCTGGTAGTAGAGCAGCGTGTGGTACGACACCCCAGTGCCAATCCCAAAGCCAGAGTAAACTGTCTCATAAACCCACACTGGTTTTGTTTTCAAGTATTTGAAAAGCTGACAGGATGGCACAGTATAATGGAAAGTTCAAGCTGATTTCCTAGGTGTTGGGGAAAGGTGTGCAAGAAAACTCATCCACCTTGTAAAAAGGTTTCAGGGCCCCCATAACTCCAGGAAATGTGCTTGCCCTGTGGTTACATTTGTTTTTCAGATGATTTGCAAAATGTAATTCTCCAAGCGGCTCTCTCTGGGAAGATGCAGTAGGTACATCAACACAGGGAGCTTGAGCTCTTGTGGACTGGAAGACCTAGAGGTGAAAGGTGTCCATCTATATGCGTAGCTCCCTGACCTTCAGAGCATTTGTCCAAATATCTGCAGCAATCAGATTAAGAACAGCAACAGTATGCAGTAAAATAATATATTTACTTTCCATGTCTTATCTCCTATCCAACGTTCTGCTTTCCTAAATACTTTCCCAGATGTAATTAAGATATTCTAGCTCAGGTAAGCGCAGCTTTGAATCTCAAGGGTAGTCATGGTAAGGTGATGCATTATAATACAAGTTAACATGCATTCTAATACAAGTTGAGATGACGTAAACATACATTATAATGCAAGTTATTTGAGATGCTTTTGAATTCCATTTAATTATTTTACAATATTACCCCCAAACATGCTTTTGTTTTTGTTTGTTTCTGCTGGTGTCTAATATCTACACTGAAATTCACCATAATATGCACTGTTTAGTATTCAAATATGTTTGGTCTCAAATGAAATTTCAATAAAATGTTATAATGCTTCAAAAAGCTTCCTAACTTTGTCTCAAAAAAGGTAACTTGATAATTCAGAATCTCTTGCATTTTATCCAGGATAGACTTGTGCCATGTACTACCTAAAGCTGCAGGAGAAATTGGTTGTGATTCAAGCAATTTTCATTAGTTATACTAAAAGCTTTAATTTTCCCTTCTTTTCTTGGCAGTAACTCTCAATGCATCATTTTATAGCCACAAACCTGAGAAGATTCTTGCTGAATGTTCAGTTCAGAACTTGGAAAAGCTAACAAGTCACTCAGTAGACTTAGTGAGTGGGCCTAATTTCTCAGGAAATTTAGCAGCAGACAATCTTCATGCCATCTATATCACTTGTGATGTCTGAGCACCTTCCACCGAGTACATTAAGCAAAATGACTAGCATATCTCATATGCGGTTCATGGTGCATTAAGGAAGAGTTAATAAAAGGAAAATTAAAGCAATTGGAAACTTTCTTGATCTTCATGCAGTCCTAAGCTGTTCCTCCTTATCCTCCTGCTATATGATTTTGGTTGGTGGTTTTGCAGGTTTTAGGAGGTGGTGGTTTTTTTTTTTTTGGTGGATATAAACGCCTAAGACAATGTCACACTTAAATTAAAGACATCATTCTTCTAATGCTTTAGAATTAAATTGCCAATTTCTTGTAAATGCCATTTACCTGACAGGTTTCTTTGTCCCTGAAAAGAAGTACTACCTCTGTGGCTGCTAAGGCTGCTAAGAACTGGTTTCAGAAGGACTTTGTGTGCAAAAGAAGAGGGAATGCCACCTTGCTTAGTGAGTCCTCACTCATTTTTTTTTAACCCCCATGAATGTCCCAGTGGCTGTGTGTGTGACAGGGATGCAATACTGTTCACGTGCTCTGCTTCCTTCAGAACACTCCAGCTCATACTCCAGCTGTGCCAGTGAGTTGAGGAGCCACCAGGACACTGTGCTTTTAAGATCCTGGGACCAAGGTTGGTCTGGATTGCAAGGTTGATTACAGAAGTTGTTTGCAGTTTTCTGAAAAGTTGTTTAATACTGCACATTTTTATTTTTTTTTTCCAGAAGAACAAGCTGATGATCTGCTTTGCATTTTCAGACCACACGACTTCAGTTTGGGTGCTGACTGACTTGAGGAGTGACAGCTCCTTATGGGGCATCCGATGGCTTGAGGCCCCTTGTAAGGCCTGCTAACCCCATTGCCTTCTTCTACTCAGTCACCTGGAAACAGAGCTCTTGTACTCCTCAAATTGTAACATGAGATATTTATTTTTACTGTGTGTTTAGACATCTCCTGCTGTTTACAAATACTCTCTTCCAGAGCCAGCAAGGGCAGTTGAAGATATTGCTGCCTCCAGCTTATTATCTTAGCTCTTTGCCAAAGACTACTGACCCCATCGATCTAAAGATAGAGTAACTTATACTGTCCTCATTAAGAAAAGTCATTTAATTAATTACTGTGCATATATGTGCTCAGCTAATCTGATTCAGGTGAAAGCAGGGTAGATAAGGGGTTTATTTGAAATTGGTGTGCCAGAAGAAATGGTGTCTGTGTCTGGTGGAAGAGGCACACTGGGGTGTACCACCAGCCAGCACCGACACTTGCATGGTGGCACGGTCCAAGGGTGATTGCAAAGAAAGACACAGTAGGGGAAACAGCACCAGGGTGATAGGCAGCGCTAGCAGTGGGTCAAGGGAACACCTGTTTTTTTCAGCAGGTTAGATGCTGATCCATCAGTATAGTGGATTTATTTTTATTTTAGTTCTTGTCTCAAATATTTTCTGGCTCATTCATGTTTCCAAAGAGCATTTCCAATAGAGAATGATGAATGTCCTAGCCAAGCAACACAAAAATGCCTTTCTTTCTCTTCAGTCTTGCGTTGTTAGAGCTTTGAGGCAGTGCTACCAATTACAAGAACAGGTGATTAAACATGATGTAGTAAAATGTCCATATTCATGGTTTGCCATCCATTCTTTTCTGCAGCTTGATTACTTGTTCAAAGTGTTTGTGTTCCTCTTGGTAAAGTTTTGCTCTGTTCAGTGCCATCAGACTGGAGGAACTTTGATGACAGCAGCATTCCCTTAAACTTGTAGCTAACACTGATTCAGCTAAAGCGCTTTTGCTGTGTTACAAAGCACTCTGCAAAGAGCTTCTACAGTGTGCTGTGTGCTCTCCTGCGCATGGCAAACTGTGGCCTCATTTCAATTTCCAATGATCGCTTACCAGTCTGCAAGTGTAATTTGTTATAGTTGGAATTTTTGATCTGTTGCTAGAAAAACTGTCTAACCAAAGAAAGCATGCAGTTTGAAGTTTGGAATGATCTTAACGCCAAAATATAACAGTCACTTCAGAAAGCGATCTTCTTGTTCCATGCCTGGAGACATTTGGAAAAGACACTTTTAGGAAAAGAGGAGATATTGAGGTAAAGAAAGTATGGGAGGAAGATGAAAAAAAAAAAAAAAAAAAAGAGAGAGAGAGAGAAAATTAAGAAAAAGACAAATATACCTACCTGAGTGCTTCTCTCCTCTTTTGTTATGCCTAGGTCAAACTTACCTAGGTCACAAACAGTCACCTCTTATCAGAGAGGTCTAGACCCCCTCTGTTCCCTTCTGCAACGTCCTTGTCATTAGATGAGAAGAGGAGACTCCACAAACACAGGGCTTGATTGTGGATACATCATGTTCTTGCGAGGTGGTGATGGGATTATGTGGCATGAGAGCAGACACATAAATACAGCTACATGGCAGATCTGGCAGCTTCTGATGCGGTGGTAGGACTGGTAGTGTTCTTTACAGCCATGTTCAATACTGCTCTTTGCTCAGTCATACCCAGCTTTTGGCTTATCTAAACAGATCTCTTGTCTTGAAGCAGTTACGCAGCTGCTTTGTACTGTTCCCCTACCCAAGCTGCAGGAAACAATGACTTCCTCTGAGACCAGGCTAAAGCAGGAAACCATGAATTTCTCCTTCCCTCCTCTCCTGCCCCCCTACTTACCAGTTTAGCTCAGAGGTATTGTATATATAAGGTAAGAAAGTCAATTTTTAGTGCAAACCTTGGAGGACAGGCTGCAAGTCCCAGAGATGAAGATGGACCAATGCAGTTGCAGTAACAGAGTTAGGGACATTGACATCTTGATGGAGAGTTGTTGGAAATTTTGTGGAGCAATGGCCAAGTGGGTCCTGCATCAACCATACAGGACTTGCACCACCTCAGGAGCCAATTTAACTGAACTGGCAGAAACTTTAGGTTTTGATGGTAGGACTCAAAACTATAGATCATGCTGTATATTCAGTCTCACGTACATGAGCATGAGAGTGATTTATTTGACAGATATCCAGGATTTTGAGATCAACAGTTAATTTCCTGTTGAGGTCCCTGTGGCATATCAGGTTGGCAGAATCAGGTTGGTGCTTAGGACAGTTCCCTTTCTGCCCAGTTCAGTGTTGAAGCAGGATGGCAATACAAAGGCTGGTTCTGCCACTCTCTTACAGTCTCTTGTCATCTTGCAGCTGCTTATTCCTGCCCTCAGTGCTCACACAGGTATAGGGTGAGTTGGTTCACATTGCTGACCTGTTAGAAAACAACACACCTCCACAGGTAATTTTAGATCAGTGAGCTGAACTGGCTGACTTTAGCATCAAGCAATGCCTGGAGTCTGAACAAGGAAGGATACTGAAAAGTTCAGCTGACGGTGGTGGTTGGAAATCAGAGTGTTTGAAAATTCAGCCTTCAGTGTTTAGTTAAATGCAAATTTATTGTTCGGTGTTGGTTTATTTGATGCATTGGAAGTCAGCATACTTTTATTATGAAACCAATGTGTCATGGCTTATTGTATTTATTGGTAAAACTCAAAGCTTCCAAAGTTTGGAGTTGAGTTTTGAGGTATACAATTGGAGTGATTCAAAGCTTAACATTATAGTGGACAAAAAAATAGCATTTACGTTTTAGTTTTCCTTCCACCCTTCCTTGTATTTTTTTTCTTCTTTCTTCCTTTTCCTTTTTTTTTTTTCCCTTTGCATGACTGCATTTTTTTTTCTCACTTGTTACATGAGTGCACCACTCTTGCAAATTCCCTTCTAGTAGCCCTGAAGATGACAGCTCCTCACTCCAGATAGTCTGCAAATTTCTGTTACACAGTCTTTGCACATCAGTCTTGTTCTAAAAGGACAACTTCAGGTCAAGTTGTCATTTTCTTATGATCAGTAAGATCTTTGCCTGTATGGCTTCAAGCTCCTTTCTAGGTTAGCTCAGTTGCTGACCCCATCATAGTGACAAGCTCTAAGATGGTTGTTCACTGGAATCTAGACTGAAACTACTCCACTGCTGTCTAGCAGCGGCTAGATCAGGAAGATCAAAACCACATGGTAGGGGAAAATAGGTTCCATGATTATTAATCCTCACTCAATGGGGACAGAAGTTTAGGACTTCAAATTTCCTTCAATTTACACTGACCCTCATCTAATGTCAGTGGAAAGTTTACATGGAAACCAAAGTAGAAGACATCCTCTCTGCAGCATTTGGTTTTCAATTCATTTGTACTCATAACATATTCTATTCATCCTTGACATATAATAAAGCATTTCTGAACTCATTACTGCACAATTACTTGATTTCAGTTAAATGAAATATTACAGCTTTTATTATCATTTAGTAATTACCTTTCTTCATCTACAAACATAAACCCTGTGTCAAAGATCTTGTTCACATCTATTTTACACTGATTATAAAATTTTAAATGATGCTTAGATTATCCAATTTTGAGAACAAACTTTTACCATAATCCTTTGTCAACATATTTCACCCCATGCTGTTGTTCTTATGGGACTTTAATGTAGATCCAGATAAAATTTGCTAGATTTTTAACAGCAAGTAAACTGGGTTTCATCTTCTCAATTCAGAAGTTACGGTGCAATGAAACATAGCTGAACAAGTGGTCCTGAGTAAATGAGATACTTGAAATTTCACACAGACTTTGACACTTGTTCTGATGTTGGTGTTAGTGATATGCATTAGGAGATACCGTCAAAGTTCCTACAGATATTTGCTTCTCTTGGAAAACTTAAATGATTCTGCATAACTGTGTGTCTGCTCAGTTTGTATGCGAAGAAAGGACTATGACTGGAATATCAGGAATCTTGTAGGTCAGCATTAAAGGGCAATTGTCAGAGTTACCAGAAGCAGCATATATTGCCTATTTATACTATGTGTAGCTTTTTAGTAATGCACCATAATAAGGTCTGACACCTCCACAGTTCTTAAATAACACTGAGCACCTATACCACAGCAGAGTTTCAGATAGTCAGATCCCAGCACAAATGTTAAAACAAAGAGCCTTTGAAGAGGTTGAGTGGTGATGAGATTACATGAAGAAGAGAGTTTAGAGCAAACATAGTTTGTAGTCCTCTGTCCATAAATGTAAACATTTTAAATAAAGGTTGTATAAAGCTTACTTTATTCAAAAACTAGGTTTGCTTAATGCATGACTTAAATACACATTTTTGGGGGGCTTAAAAACATGTAATTCTAAAATGTTTCCTTCAACAAACTAATAACATACCAACAGCTTTAATATCACAGCAACAGCTAAAATACAGCTAAGCTCCTGTCTAGTTTAGTTAGCATGAGCTAACATTGCTAATACACTTACTAAAATTGAATACAACCACTTCGGTGGTGCAAGTTTCCTACTGCAGGCTTATATGAAAACTGCAAAGAAAGGTATTCAAATACAATAAAAATAATTATTCAAATCAGAGTGTAAAGATGGTAGGTTTTTTTTGTTGTTGTTGTTTGTTTGTTTTGTTTTGTTTATTTGGTAGGAAACAAATTCCAGGAATGGACAGAAAACACAGGGAGGAGTTTATTTCTCCTAATTGCAATGCACTGGACTTTTTTAGTCTAGCCAATCAATCTGAATCACTGACGGTTGAAAAATTGGCTTTAGAGAGAGCAAAGAGAGGGGGGGAAATCTACAATATGGCAATTACAAGAATTCTAGAAGAAAGAAAAAAAAGTTTCAAAAGGAAAGAATGGTTTTCCAAACTCATTGTTCAAGAATATGAACCTCAGTTAGTAGGTGCAAAGATAAACATTTCAAAGGAGGAAACAGACAGGGATTCTGCCTGCTGTGGAGCTGGTAATTTAGATGTTGGAGCTGAAGAAAGCTTAAAAGAAACAGAGGGTCATTGTGCCTGGAATGCAAGGGAATTAGCAACAAGAAACGCAGCAGACCGGCTGGGAAGAAGTCTCCGAAACTCCTCTGTGCTGCTCAGTGTAGCGCTGGTGCAACTCAAAACTATGCGTCAAAACCTACAAATAGGCTTTGAAAATGCTGAGCAGGAACAGCTAATTGCGAAAAAAAAAAAAAAAAAAAAAAAAGGAGAAGAAGAAAGGTTCACTGCAAAACTGCCCAGTTAAAGCAGGGTCAAAGGACAAGCTTTGAAAAAGATCTCAAGCTTCAAGGCTGAAAACAAGACTTACGTGAAAAATCAGGAAACTTAAGAAGATTTAATGAAGAGTTGCTCCAGGCAAAAGGAGAAACTATTAATTTAAATCCAAAGAGCAAAGATTTACAACAAGACTCTAAGTAAAGTTAAAGCAGCAACATGAGCTCGGAAATAAGACCAGCACAGAAAAGGCGAAAACACAGGAAAATAAGGAGCGAGGTGGAAGTCGCTACAAGCAAACTAAAAGCCGCAAAGCTCCTGCATGCCTGGAATCCTAAAGCCTTCGAACTGCTTGCAAAACATCTGCCGGCCCCGCCGCGGGGCGATGCACTCGGTGCCTTCGGGGTAAATATTTTGGGAAGCGAGGGGCTGCGAGGGACCCCTTAGGGGCAGCCCCCACCGGTGGCGGCCCCGCGGTGCTGCGGGAGCCCGGCAGGGGGCGCTGGGGGCGCGGGGCACGGCCGGGAGCAGCCGGGCCGGGGTCCCAGCTCCGAGGGGGTTTCGTGCTGCAAAGGCGGGGGCTGCGAGTGCTGAGGAAGGGGTGGAGAAGCCGTACGTTTGGCTCTTCAGAGACAAACTCTCTCTGCAGCACGGCCTGGGTTGTGTAGGAAAAGATTTTAAAAGGCAGCTTGTTCGAAAAGTCTCTTGTAAGAGACTTCTCTGCGGGTTTAGCAGCGAGTTAAGCGTAAGCAGCAAGCTGCTCCTCTAATAAACACCACAAGCACCCTACAAGCTACTGCTAGGCTCGTGCATGATGGGGGGAAGTTCAGTTTCTGGCTGCGCTCACGTCCAGCAGTTTGTGCATCCCCTTTGTGCAGCTGGGTGCCCAATGGAGACGCGAGGGTTTTGCAGCTTCCCTCCCCAGGTCCTGGCTCTCCCAGGGCTGCCAGCAGGACAGCCGGGGAAGCGGAGAGTTTGGGGGCTCGCTCCCTGTAACCACCCCAAGTGCAGTCATCGGGGAGTCACCGCGGCCCCATGTGCTTGAACCGCCCGTGCTTCCCCGGCCTTGCGCCCTGTGCAGAGGTGGGTGCCTTAAAACCCGCCCCGAGCCCCAGCAATTCATATTTACGTGGGAAGGGGGGGGCAGCGAGGGGTGGGATACATTTAAAAATTACTCATTTCAAAGGTATTGGCTGGTCTTTGCCTGTCTGTCAGATCTGAGTGAGTGGATTTTCATGGAGGAATTTCATGGAAATTAAATCTCTACTGGAGCAATCCATTCAACTCCTAAAGCTTCAGCCCAGTTTTGTATCCTGGCTGAATGCCCTGCTGAATAGCTTGGTGGGGATGCAAAAAGCCACCTTAAACTAGGGATTTTTTTTTCTGCTAAATTGACTTCAAAGTAGTAATTAAACAATAGCTAGCTTAAAGAAAATCAAGTTATAAGAAGCTACAGGACCAAACTACGTTATAAGTTATAAGGGTATGTTTTAGGGGAGGGGGGCGGGGGATGTGATGTTCAGACTTGCAAAAGAACTGGGAAGAGTCAAACTGAGAGAACCAAAAATGGGTACAAGAAAGTAAAATGAATCGCACATATTCAAACATTTGTTTCCAGCTGTACTACAGTCAAGTCCAGAACTGAGTAAATGGCTGCACAAGGAGACGGCCGAATGGTTTGGGATACTCTAAGCAAAAGCATCCAGTTCAGATGCCAAAGCAGCTTTCTCTGGCCTTTGTCCTGTCCTGTGTTTGAGGCTCGTCTTCCCCATGCTGCTCTGCATAGAGCTGAGCGCCGCACTGCTCAGTATTCATCACTTCTTTTGTAAAGCAAAACTGTGTTTGTGGCCAAGAGCATCCTTACAGCCAGTCTTCTCCCTTTTCCTTTGCCTCCCAAAAACGCAGTCAGGACTGCAGTCATGCCTGTGTATTGTATTGATGATTTAGAAGCACATTTGACTTGAAGCTAAGACAAATGGAAACTAATCTTCTGTCTGACTTCTTTGGTAAATACTGCCGAATTCTCTCTTCCCTCCGCACTGAAACTATTTAACTTGCCTTCTTTGCTTGGCCATTTACTCATTTCAGTCCTTGGGGTCCTTGTTACCACATGCAGAATTTTTCCTGTGCTTAATGTTCTTCCATCATGCCTGCTCTGGAAGAAGAAACCTGCAAGATTGTAACCTAATTTCATTTTAAACCTCTTTGGAGTGATTGATTTGAGGGCTTTCCTTGGTTGCTTAAATGCTTTTGTGGCTTTATTTCCAGCTATGTAGAGGTTGTCACCGAATTAGCTAACAGAAAAAAGTGAGATAAACACATATTTGGCACTACCACAGTTGCTAGATTGTTAGTGTTTACGGTAAAGCTCACTATTTTAAAGTGAAATGTCCAGTATTGCACTTAATCTAATAAATCTGTATTTTTCATACTTCATAGGGAATTTTCGATAATCCGTGGTCAGGTCCAGTCCCTGGGAGGATGGCAGTGTGCACTAGCAGAGAATCTGATCCATGAGTCTTTAAAATAGTGTCCATCTTTGAGTTGTGTCAAATGACACCATGTTAAATGGCACTTGAGATAATGACTTTATAGTCTTACTAACACTTACTGCAGTCCTTAGGCTAGACTATCAAATATTCTCAGTGTCCCAGATGTCATACTGTTACTGTGATAGTTACTGCTAGAAGAAAGCTCATAAAATATAATATGCAATTGTTACATTGCTTTTCAACTATCTGTCACCATTTATTTGCACTGAGAATTGCCTTTCATTTTTAAACCTGAATTTAATAGGTTGCGGAGAACTACAGCATAGCATCCCTATGAAATGATAAACTAAAAACTGGCCAAAACTGTTTGATGCCAACTGTAAAATCCTGGTGAGATTTAGCCCCCCCACAGACACTGTCATTGTTATAGGCCTTTGCTATACCTCTGTCAGAAGGCTGGTTCCTGCCATGCAGTAGTTCATGTGATAATTAAGTTTTATCCTAAGATGATACAAGAATATGAAGGCAACCCATTAGCGTTTGACAACTCTTCCTAAGTACTGAAATGGGAAAGCACTTTGGACAATATTTAGGTGCTTCCATGCTGTTGGCCATGTGTTTAATGGCAACACATAATGACTGTTCAGTAGTGCTAGTGTAATTCATAGAAAGTCCACAATTTCAGTTCAGAAAACCATAGATGCTACAATAAAACACAATAGCAGAGCATGTGTTTAGTTTACAGCTTTTCTGTCTAGCTGTTACACATCATTCAAACAGACAATGTTGCTGGAGTGTAAAGTAATTGAGAGCTATGCAGGGTGATTTATATCAGCTGAGCTTGAGGCCAGCAGCATCAGTGACAAGATCTGGCAACAAGTCAGTCACATCTCCTTGTTGTGTGGGATACTAGCGTGTTGATCACTGATACTTTCTGAATAATCAGGCATCTCATCTTTCTCAAGGGGAGAACTTTGGGATCTCAGAATGCTACCTTGTAGGGCCAGGTGGGTTTCCAAGCAACAGACTGTCCTGGTTTGTAAACCAACATTTTGTTACTGCACTTCAAAAAATAGCCTGAAAAAGTGCCCTCCTGCAGTCATGTCACACTCAGTTTGGACTGGCTGCTGGTGAAAGACAGTTCCCTCCTGGCAGCACGTTCATCTTTCCGTGGCTCTGGCAGTAGTTCTGTTCTGAAATGAGTCAGCCCAGGTTGATGATCTGGCTGAAAATTAAAATCTAATCTTCCCTCCCCTCTAGTTAATAAAGACACAGGTGATAGTGCAACTGCACTTCCTCTGGCAGTCAGAAGGACGTAAATTCTTTGTAGGAAAGCACATTAACTATGCACATGCAAGAGCCATCTCCCAGACCTTACACACAGTACATCTACCTCTTTTGAACAAAACTGTGGACTGTTCTTTGACTGTCATAACTCTGAATGTCATTCTAACACCCACATTTTACATAAATTTTGCAGTTTTACTTGCCTAGTGCTGGTATTCACAGAAGGCAATCTTGAAAGCTGTTGCTGGTACTCACAAGCCAGTGCTTCTAGTTACCAGATGAACAGTGATTCCTAATGTGGAGACAAAATTATCAATACTTAAAATGTGAGAGGTCTAGGTAACAAGCCTATGCTAACCAAAAGAACATTCCTTTCAAGCAAAAGCTAAAATTGTGCAACTGTCTCTTAAATCCCCACCTCTGAGCCAAGGTAACACTGGGTGTCCCAATCCTATAGACTCTACCAAGAGCCATCTCTCCATATGCTCACACGATTTACTGGTTGATTCCTTCTTGGAATTGTGGCAGTTAGCAAGTTCCATGGAGCCTGTCTCTAGGATCCCTAGCAGGGATGGATACCTGATTTTGTTGACATTGTATTTTCTCAACTTTTTTTTTTTTTTTTTCTGCTGAAACAATCTATAGGCTGGCTCTCTGCAATCACTTGGCAGACAACAGGGGAGCAGAGGGGAAGCTGCTGTCTGAAACGTTCTTTCACTAGGATCACAGCTGATGATGTTTCTGCCTGACCTGTCCTGAATGGTACCTGCATTACTACACACTTGGAGTCACCGGATCTCTGACACGAAGAGGTGAACCGTATTGGTTTGTCCAGTAAGTTTTGGAACGTGTGGCCTGTTATCTTTAGTGTCCAGCTGTAGAAAACATATTCTAGACAGTTCTAGCACCTCAAAAAACACTAGAGAATATTAAATCCATAGCTGCAAAATCCCTCTCTAGATGGAAAACTGAAGTCTACAGTCTAAGATTTGTTTATTTATTTTTAGGAAGTGGTGATGGTTTTAATGATATATTGAATACAAAATAAGGAGAAGATATTTTCCATCAGCCACAGATGGCTTGAAACAATAGCTCTGACAATAGCTCCAATATTCACACAGTGAACTTTGCTGGTTTAATTCATAAACTTAAAGATGGTTATTTAAATTAGAGTATCATTAGCTATTTCAATTTTAGTGTGTTTTTCACATTTAAAAAAAAAAAAAAATCTAGTTAAAATACTAGAACATAAGTGGTTCTAATGTCTTTCACTGATCATTAAATTTATCTTACCTCTAGCCTCAACAGCTTGTATGTTCCAGTTACTGATTGTAACCACAAACATCTGTTGTGTATTTAAAACAAGAGTGCAGTCTGAATTAACTACACCATAAATCAAAACAAGTATGATTTGTATTAATCCTCTTCAGATGTATTTTGTTTGAAATTGTTCTATTACTCCTGGAAATAAAATCATATAAAATCCAGCCTTCTAGATATTAGAACTGATGTCCACCTTGCTAAGCCACATGCAGGATATTTATGTTTAGTGCAGTCCTCTCCTCAAAAAGAAGAATCTGAACAATGATTTATTGTTTGATTTACTATTTATTTTTTATTACACTTCCTAAATGATGTAAAACCTTTACTACTTGATGGCCTTTTATCTTTTTAGTTGTAACATAACTGATTGGTAATGCTCATCTCCTTTTAAGAATCAGTTTGTGAATTCTATGGGAGCAGGAACATCTCAGTTGTTTGTATAATCCACAAGGCATCGTAACACAGGTAAGAAATCTGGTAGTTAGTATGCAAAAATATTTTCTCTTAAATACTTGTACAACATAGCAGCTAGAGGCCCTAGAAAATATCAGGATGCTATCCTAATAGGCACTGTACAAACACATAGAAAGAAATTGCTCCAGGTATTAAACCTTTGCCGTCTGTATGGACAAGACAGAGAGAAGCAGGGAGATGAAGGGACATTCTTCTTGAAGAGATGTTTGGCAATGACTTGCAGCATGAGATTCCAAATATGGGTTCAATACTACGTGAAACCTCAAGATACATAACGTTTTATTGATCCCCACAAAGACAGACCTGGACTTAGGTCAGTAGAAAGCCCCTGTTTATGTCTGAAGGGAGCACTTGCCACTATTTTGTCCCAGAATCACCAGAGAGCAGTACAAATGTGGCACAGGGAAAATGCATATATGGAGGTGACTGAACACAAAAATAGCATCTTTATGGATACACACCGTAGTGCACTCCTCTTAGACCTCTAATGCCAGTTAGATCTAACACGCTGCTATATGGGAGTGTTGTGTAAAGCCGTGTGCTTTTAACTCAATATAAATTGAGTAAGGAACCCCTATACTTTGTAATCCTGGGAGATGAGAGCGCTACTTCAGGATTGTGGACACACTACCTTATACCTATCTTTACACTAAAATAATGAGTGGTAAAATGGTTAAGGCTTTAGTCACTGTTGGCAACATTTGCTCTTTTGAAGGGCATTTATGGGGGCTTGTTTTGTTTCACTTAAAGTTTAAAGCCTGGAACCTTTGTGGCTGTTTAGAAAATGAGAGAAAAGATTAACAACCTTGTACAAAACAAACAAACAAACAAACAAAAACCCACACAAATGCAATGAAGTATCTATCGGCTAAGACTTATTCCAGGGTTTAAAACTGAGCTGCTCTTTTATAGTAAAAGCACAGAGGAGACTTGTCTGCCTGTGGTGTTTTGGGGTAGATCTCAAGGCTTGTTAGACACCAGTCTAAAAAGACACTTGTGTCTTAGCACAGGTCTTTGAAATCCATATATGGCTACCAACTAGGGTGTATGGTCAACATTACTCATCATTTTTAAATTATATTTTAATTGCCTTTAATTTAAGAACTTTTTTTTTTTTTCCTGGTAAACTAGAAATGGTGGTACCTGAAGCATGGCTAAGCAATTCGGTATTCTCTTTTACCAGGACATCTTCCATTCGTTATCTTTATGCTTTATTTTGATTTCTATCCTGAATCCTTGCAATCATTTTTTGTGGATCTGCTAAAGCAAAGCTGGCAGTGTTTGTCTTGAAATCTCGTCCTGTAAACACATTGCCTTTGTAATAATGTTTAAACTACTGTCCAAGTACAAAGAATATGAAGATTATTTGGACAAGTGGCTGGGGTTTTGGTTGAACTCTTGGAAGCCGTGAGCACTGAAGAGAGAATATGGGTCTCACCTTGTTTTATTTTCATTACACCTTGTACGTAAAGCCAGATGTAGAAAGAGCTAAGATTTGACTTACTGCACTTGTTCGGACTATACTTAAATCACAGAGCAGAAATACAGCAGCTCAAGACATTTTTTTTAGAGGATTCAACACGTTTCTATAAAACGACTTTTCCAAAATAGCTCCCTCCGGTACATTCTTACAGAGCTCACACAATGTTTGGGTTTTATTTTAATCAGGCGCTGCTCTGTGGGAAATAAATGAGGTTTTATTTCCCATCATTTTAACTAAAAAAATTAGCTGCACACACTGAAGTCACTGTAAAATGTACTCCACTACAGCTGGGCTATAGAAAATCAAAAAAACTGATCATGTCTTTGATGAAAGATGAATGGTTTCTATATAACTCTGAGGTCTGTAAAGCAACTGGATTAATGCTGTATCTGTGAACAAATGACAAGCTCTGTTTTGTAATTTCAGTCTTTTTAGATTCTTATTATGACATTTCTTGTTCTCTTGAAATGGAAGAAAGTAAATAATTGAGTTTGTGGGTGATGAGCCTGCCAAACACAAGGCAGTAAGAAGTTCTGTAAGCTCCTGTAGTGGTTAATGCCTGCTGGGCTCCTTGCCAACATGGTCAAAATATTTTAACATAAAGTTGAAATCTCCTTATGCTGTCATTTGGCCACTGCAATCGACTGGCTGGCGATAACCTGGCATTAGTCATTAAAAACACAACTGCAATACTGCTACACGTGACCATTATTCATGGAATCTCTGGCTGTAAAAAAACATGATGATAAAACATTAAGTCAGCTGGATACGCGGTTTCTAAAACTCATTAATTCATTTGCCTTGCTGAGCCTCTCAGTGAAACTAAGTATGTCAGAATTCAGTATTCATGTGAGATACAGCATCCCTAGAGTGCTCTTAAATGCCGTGCTATAAGAGAATAAAGCAACTGGCTATGTTAATTTTAAGTCCCTTTAGAAAGAAAAGAAAATAGACTAGTGCTTGGAAAATCAGAAATAACATTTGACTAAACATCTTTATCTGAGAATGCCCACAAAATAGAGCCTTTTCCTCCCTCGTGCACTCCACACCTTTGGTTCTCTGCCTTTCACTGGAGCACAGAATCAGTAGGGTCCTCCACAGAAAGCTTTTCTGCTTAGCTCTGCAGGTGCTGGAGCTATACAGCAACATGCTGCATTGCATATATTTCAACAGGAGCCAAATCAAACCATGATCACAGTTATCTTTATTATTGTATTTTTAAATTTTACCCTCTAAAACTCCTTCACTCAAAGACAGACAAAAAATAATGTCAGAGGGAAGCAAAAACAATTGGCCTGGGAAGGAAGTACTCACTGAAAGAATGTTTTTTCAGCCAACAAAACAGAACAATTTTTTTTCTTCCCCCAATAGCTGATTTTCAATGAACATTCACTGAAGAGTAAAAAAGAAAGAACGCAAAAGAGAGAAGAAAGCTTTTCCTCAAGACCTGCAGTGCCTCTGTTTTCTGGAACTCAATGAAGAGACAACTCCTTATTAATAAAGTGCAAAATAGAACAAAATAACAAGATGGCAGAATAGTTTCTGTAGTGATAGGAGTGTAAATAATCTACGTATAATGATGTAAAATAGTGGTACCTTGAATATTTAAATGTGTGTCAGTATTTGAGTCTCCCACCAGTGTGATGCTCATTGGGTCAACACATTCAGTATGACAACGGATGCATGGGGAAACAAAGTGCCGTTTTTGTTACTTATATTTGGGAAAATGGGTAATCTCCTGCAATCTGATTCCTGCCTCATATTTTCTATTTAATTATTATAACAACTATTAGCTTTTTAAAAAACAAAACTAAAAAACTTTCGATATTTTAGCATCAGTTAAAGTCTGTTACCAGTTTGATTTCTTACACAAGGATATTCTTGGGGTGGCTGCAACTTTTCCACTGACACTCAGCACAATAATGGTGCTTTAAGACCACCACTCTGCAAGCACAACAAATCGTATTGGAAAGGCAGTTTTGCTGCTACAACCACCTCCAAGGTGGTTTTTTTTTCCACATCGAAGTTATCATTACCACAAATTACGATTGTCTGTACAGTTGTGTAAGGTGTATATGTATACAGTGAGTGTTACTCTGTGGGATGCACTTACAGCTCGGATCTTTTGAGTGATTTTTTTTCACCTCACATCAGCTCAGAGCCAAGACGCGCTTTCTACAAGCACACTGCACGATGGGCTACCACAGCCGTGAGTTTGTCCGAGGTGAGCGGCTGGAGGCGCCCCCCTGATGCTTTCGGCCCACCTCCCGCAGGTCCTGCGGGCAGGCACAGACCCGGGCGTTCCCTCACGGCGTCCCTGCCGCGGGCTACGACTAAAAAGCGGTGCAGAGGGCGTTATGAGGCCGTTATAGGGCCACCACCCCCTGAGGGAAAGCCCCGCGCCTCCCGCCGCCTCACGGCCCCTCCGCCTCAGCCTCCTCAGAAGCCCCCCCACAGGCGGCTGTGCGCATGCGCAGTCCCCCTCGCGCGCTGCGGCCCCGCCGCTCTGCGCAGGCGCCGCCCGCTTGCCGCGCGCCCGCGGCGCCCTTCCGCCTGCCAACGGCCGCGGGTGAGCTCTGCGCAGGCGCGGAGCGCCCGGCCCCGCCCCCTGCCGCCCGCCGCCTCGCTCGGCCCCGGGCCTGGCGCGGGAACGGGAGGAAGCGGGAAAGGAAAAGGGGGGGGAGGCGGGGGAGGAGGAGGAGGGCGCGTGCGCAGAAGGCGCGGCGGAGCCGGCGTGCTCCCGCCTGGCGCGCCAATCGGGCGCCGCCCCGCAGCGTCGCGGCGTCGCAGCCCCAGCGCGCCGCGCGTGCGTGCGTGCGTGCGTGCGTCCTCCCGCTCGTGCGTGCGTGCGTGCGTGCTTGCGCTCGGCGGCGGCGGCGGCGGCGGCGGCGGCAGCGGCGTCCCCTGCCCCGAATGAAAGGGCCGGTCCCGGCCACGCAGCGGCCCTGAGCGACCGGCGGCCGCGGGGGGCGGGCCGCGCCCAGCCGCTGCTCTCAGCCCCGCCGCCACGCCCGCCGCACGGGTGAGTGACCGAGGGGGGCTGCCCGCCCGCCTCACGGGCTGCCCGCCCGCCTTCCTGCCCGCGCTGCCGCCGCTTTGCCGCGTTCCCCCCTCCCTCCCCTCCCGGCCCGCCTCACCCGGCCCTGCCCCGCCCGGTCGGGCCCCAGCCCCAGCTGCCCGCCCGCCGCTGCCCCTTCCCGGAGAGTCCCCCCCCCATCCTCATCCCCATCCCGGGGCCGTTTTCCCCATCCCGTTGGCAGCCCCCTCCTGGCCCGGCCCCGCGCCCTCCTTCCTCGGCATCCGCCCCCCCGGGCCGCGAGTCCCGTTTCCCTCAAACTTTCCCCCAAATTTGGGGGAGGAAGGTTGGGGGCGCCCCCTCCCCGAGGGCTGGGTCCTGCCGAGGTCCCCCAGCCGCAGGGCAGCACCCCCGGGGCAGTGGGCCCCTCCCCTGGGGGGAGCAGCCCGGTGGGAGCAGCGCCCGCTCCCCGCACAAACTTTCCCGGAGCTCGCTCGGTGCTGCCCCATCTCCCTCACCCCGGGCTGTCCCTGTGGAACTTTGGGTTCCCTGTGCTGTTAGGGTGCAGGTTTTCCAGACCTGGGCCTTTCCCCCCCCCCCTCCACCCCAACCCCTTTGGTACCCTTTTTGGAGGAAGTTTCAGGGATGAGTTCTTAGCCCGCTGCTGGTGGTGTCCGTAGGATGCTCTGGGAACGTAACTTTTGCCTAAAGATTTCCATGGGACTCGTGACTTTCGGTTCTCAACTACAGATGCCTCCAGGATGCGTCTCTCCTCCCCGGTTTCATTCCTGGCCGCAAAATAATGCCCCCAGGGATGAGCGATTGACCCTAGAAAGTAGAAAACACGTGAAAGTTTCTCCAACAGAGAATCTGGTATCCAGTGAGCATCTTGCAAAACCCTATGGCAGTGTTTTCTGCAGATTTTCTTGGCAGACAAAATCGCTTTATCGTGCCTGGTGATTTTTTTTAAGCCTATATATTTCTCTTGTAGGTTTGCCTTGGATGTCTGATATTTTTTGGCATACAAATTCAAATCCTAAATATATATATATTTTTGTTATTTTGTAGTCATAGAGGCCATGCAGCAAAACAAAGTTTATATGAGAAAGTACAGCATCTAGATCCCATCCTTTGGTGGAAGTACGAGCGGGGGCTTGACTTCTGAAAATGTGTGATAGCTCTTGAAGCATATTCAGGCAATAAATAGAAATTAGAATCCAGGTTACTTTCTGTTCTTTGGTATTGAGCAATGTCTCGTACACCGAGAAGCCTCCTCCTTGAACTTGCACTTTCTTTTGTGTTCCAAAACCTGTTGTCTGCAAGAACTCAGTAAAACAGTATGCGAGCTGTAAGAGTTCGTGAAACTTGCTTCCTTAAAGATTAAATAAAGATGCTATCGGGAGAAGCATCGTGTTGAATACATTAAGAAACATGAATGCAAATGAAGCAAAATTTTCGAGTGAAAAAATCAGTGAATAGGTTTCTTTTTTCTGGTGATTTTAGAGTAGGTGTAACGTCTCCTTTTTGGACCAAGTCTGTGGATAGCGTGCCTCTATGTAATAATCGATGTTCTGTGGTACTTGTCCCATTTTGGTAGAGATAATGCATGATCTTCCCAGTCAGTGATTCCATGGTGCGTGGCTTTCTGTGAGCCAGCCTACAAAACTTTCTCTGACAAAGCTGACAACCACGATTTCTGTCAGGAGTATACGTAAGCACCATTGTAAGTCTTATTCACTAGTTTTTTTCTAGTTGTTTTTTTTTTAATATAGAAAATAGAAATATTGAGGTGTTTTAAAGTTGCATTATTTTTCACGTTCCTATGAAATGCATCTTGATGGTTGACAAATTAGATCCAACAAATTGGATTAGTTGTTTTGGAGTGATTTAGCTCAGGAGATGAAAACAAAATTTTGGGTGCTTGCTTTTAGAATTCTTGGTCTGTAGTATAGCTGTGTAATTTTTAATCTTTATCATTTTTTTTTTTTTTAATGGACAAGATAAATGCACTTTGGCACAAAGGAAGGTAACCCCAGAAGCAGTATTTTCTGATGTTTCTGAAAAAGTCCATAAATAAGCCCATAAGTTAGGGAGAGATCTACAAATAAAATGCTTCTGAAATATTTCTCATACTCATTTTTTCCTGCAGTCTTTCTGAAGATCATGTTAATGTGTAGTGATCCAGAAAATACAAGTGCAAATAATGCAGTATTGTGAAGAAAACTCGTAGATACCTTTGTGAAATGCTTTCAGGTTGCTGTAATCTAATAGTGAAAAGAATGCGTGTTTCCTTTCTGGCCTATCCTGGTGCTTGTTGGTCTGCTTGTGTTTTGAATATTTTTCAAGTGTTATTTGTAATTGAGTAATTATTTAAAACCATAATATTTGTTGATTAACAAGTAAATCTTAGCATTATTTTTAACTTCACTGTGAGCCTTAAAAATCTAATTCTGCAGAAGTACTCGAAGAAGTTTGGCTGCGTCAGGTTGTAGAAGTGCTGTAAAGATGTGTTGCCCCACGCATGTTACTCACTGCAAGGCGTGAAGTTCGGGGGCAGTTGGTTGCAGTGAGCCCTGAGAAACTTCTTTTATAATCTCATTTCATGGAAAATTTCTATTCTTATAAATTAAAGATGATGAGAGCGACTTGGAATTTTTTGAATTTGTTTTATAAATTATTTCCATTTTCTAAAATGTGATAGCTATTATTTATAGTAGTAATTCTTACTAGAAGAGAAAGTTTCTGTTAGTCAGTAGAACCCGTACACGTGTTCAAGGAAATTTCTCATCTTCTTGCTAAGAACTACTACTGTCGCTGTCAATGCAGCGATAATATAATCCAAATATAAAGTGAAACAGATACAGTCGTGTAGGTCTATCAGGTTATTTATATAAAAGCAGAACTTCTTGCATTTTAAATTACTTTAATGTATTTCTAACTCATCACTGCGTGATTTGTGTTGAGCTATTGAATGTGATGAGAAAACAAACGTTTTTTTTGAGATAGATATTGTTTCATCCTTGTCTTCTGCGGGTCTTTTTCTTGCTTCCAAGTATTTTAAGATTTTTAAAAAAAAGGTAAAATGTTCTGAAGTCTGTGTTTCCTTCCTTCAGAAACCATTCCTTCTTTCTGCTCAAAAAGGGATTACAGAATTGTCTTGTCTTGTTTTTTTCTTTAGAAGAATACAGTATAGTAATTCTTTTGTGTTAACACTTAAGGACTCTCTATTGCCGCTGCAGAAGGGTGTGACTAGTTTATCCAGATTGGCACATTTTTTGTGCAAATCAGCAAGATCTGAAATCTATGCATTCTTCTTATGAGTATGCGTCACCAGCTAGTAAACTGCTTTCCAATTATAAAAGAAAGCAAATGAAGCTGTTGATAAAGCAAAGGGATAGATCCAACACAGCCGCTACCTTTTGATGTATGAATTTTGTAGTAAACATTGCTTGGCAAGCACTTAAAATTCAGTCTCTGAAAATCGATGAAAATGGAAGAATGAGACTCTAAAATGATAGTCCTTTACGAATAGTACATGCCAACAGAAACTTAATAATATTCCTCTGCTTTCAGTTGTAAAAGTAGCGAGCGCTGCTTGCATTACGAGTGTCTGACAGCACTGCGAAGCTGGCAGGTTTGGCTATGCAAATTTCAAAAAAAAAAAAAAAAAAAAGAAGTCGCACATTTTCATGCAGATAGCCATTATAGCATTGTCCAGATGTATTGCAGATCTGCTGTTCTGGCTAGTTTTTCTCTCCCTCCCCCCCCCCCCCCCCCCCCCCCCCCCCCCCCCAAAAAAATACCAAACTATGTGACGGCTTTTCTTATTAAGATGAGAGGGATGTGGACAAAAGCTGAAGAGGAAACCTTTGCTTCAGTTGTGCCAATTCTGACAGTAAGGCTCCAATCTCCAAAATAAAAGGGTGCAAACGAGTCTATTTGAAGAGGACACAGTATTTTATTTCTTGAAAGATGTAAAAGCAAATGAACTAATTAATCCTGGGCCGAGAAACATGTATGTTTGTTAGGTGTTTTCACTTTTGAACTTGCAGTGCCTGCCTCGGGGGACTGGGACTGTAATGATATATTTCAAAGTACGTTGCTGGTAGCACTGTGAGAAGTTTGAGGTTCATGTTGAATTTAATCTTAAGTTGCTTTTCTTAGATGATGATAACAGCTCTCATGTGGTTACTGAGAACTAGTATGATGCTGCTAATTTAACTACGGGTCTTGAAAAGGTTTCCATTGCAGCCTGTTAGTCATAGATCCTCTAAAATTTTGTCCTTAATGCTGTTTGATTAGCCGCAATGTGATCTATGTAATACCTAAAATGGTAACGCTTTATCATCTCATCACTACCCTTTGCTAAGGGTAGGTGTTACGCTACTTCGTGAGCTTTTAAACTCAAAACCAGTTCCGGGTGCTGAGCTGGACTCAGAGTTTTATTTTGGTTCTGTGTTTGTTTTGTGGCATGAATTTTATTGCATGTGCAGGTAGTAAGTATGTTTTCTACAAATTGCTTTACTGTAATAAATAAAAGAATGGGATTAAAAAGTTGTGGTTACTTTTTCCCCCAGAGTCCTTATGATTTGTGTTGTTATATTTTCCATTTATCTCATATTCCCCTAAGGTTTTTACATGTCCAGAATTTTATATTGATGTTCAAACTTTTTGCTTAAAGAACTAATTCTGCTTCCTGATACAGTTCTATAAAAAGTAGCCAACTACAGCATCTGCTGGGTGTACGCTTGTTTGATTATGTTGTAGTAAACTGAGAGGTAAGGCAGGAAAGATCATTTTCAAACAACCAATATTGTATTTATGAAGCTGTAAGCTAAATTGCCCTTTGCTGACGTTAACATGCTGATTGCACTTTTTTTTCTGTAGCATTGATAGGAGTGAAGTGGCATTCTAAGGACATTTAAAATCATGACAAGCTCAGTTGGACAGAAAAAAGTCTCTTCAAGACAAAGGAAGTGTGGTTTTTGTAGATCTAATAAAGATAATGAATGTGGACAATTATTGATGTCAGAAAACCAGAAGGTGGCAGCACATCACAAATGTATGGTAAGCAACCCATAGGAAAAGGAAAATGAATGTAGTGAACTAGTGGAAGATGATGACCAAATATATAAAAAATAAAATAAATAACCTGTGGCATTGGTAAAATGATTAATTGTTCTAATTTGAAATTATAGTGGTTTTCAAATGGGTAAATGTTTTATATTGTATATATTTTAAAATTAACGTTTGGTTTTATAATTTTAGCTGTTTTCATCTGCACTGGTATCTTCACACACTGATAATGAGAGTCTTGGTGGATTCTCTATTGAGGATATTCAGAAAGAAATAAAGAGAGGCACTAAATTGGTAAGTCTCTGTTTTTTAGACCTTGAAAACGAAAGACAGTACTTTCTTATCTTCTAGAAAGTTTATTGTGAAAGTGTTCAGTAATATATTTTTTGTTTTTTAAAATATTACGTTTATGTGAGCTCTGAGGTAAAGGACAGAAGATGATGATGAAGAAAAGTCAGTCTTAGGTTTAACAAAAAATATAATTGGATATGATTACACTAATGAAATGAAATTTAAATGTCAGTTAACCAACCCTTGAAGCATCATGGAATTATTCAAAAATAAATCAAAAATTACTATTTTTACAATCACTTTTTTCTTACTGGCAAATGTAGATGGTTGTAGCAGATGTGTGTTTTTTTTCTAAGCTAATATGAAAACTTTCTTTCAGGGTATGCCTATTTTTCCTTTTAATGGGCTGCATATAAAAATAGCACTTACTAAATTTATGCTTCTAATCCAGTAATTTCTATTTATATTTTCATTCTAGATTTCAGAATGAAAACCACGCTCTAGGGATCTGGCAAGGGTAATACTGTACCTTTACCAGTATTTGGCTTTGCTACCAAATTGTGATTTTAACTACCAAGGAGGCTATTGCTTCCTTTTATATTGATTTAAAAGTGGAGCTTGTGAATATTGATATCCTATGAGGTACATGGGTACAATAGTGATTACAGCACTACCAAATTGATGAGAATTGGGCAGAAATTACTCTTTTTATTCCCCAGAATCTAAGCTAATTCATTGCTTGTTTTTCATTTTCTATTTTCAATATGATGGAGGCCTTTTCAAAATATTTTTTAACAGATTATCAATTCACTCCTCACACTAACTATTTTCAGCTTAATTATTTGTAAGTCTTACATATTTTATAGTCTTTTGACTGAGAGTAGTCGTGTTTTTGTGGAACTACAATTAAGTAACAGCAGTCTGATATTTCATCCATTATATCATTTATATCTTTTCCAGAACCTACAACTTGATTTGCTCTAGTTAGATGAAGCATAAAGAAATAACTGTTCACAGATAATTCACTTCATGATTAGGGACTTTGAAAGAATATGGTAATAAATGGAAGTACAGATCACAAAGAAACTTTTTGATTCTTGGGTCTCCTAAATGTTTTCTTTAAGGTTATTTATTTTTATGTCATTGGTGATTTCTTTCTATGTGTTTCTGAGTCTCTCTCTGTTCTTTCACTGATGCGACATCTGAATAAGTTCTTTGAGTTCACTTTTTGCAGAAAATCTGGATCTGGTTAAAGCTGAAAAACTTAGATCCTCTATTTGGAGGGAATTTACAGGATTCTTTTGTATAATAACGTGGGTGTTGAAGTAACTGTGCTTTATCTCTGTCTGTAGACATCAGTAAACTACTGCTCTGTCACCCCACCCCACAAAAAAAAAAAAACAAAAAAAAACACTTTGATTTGTATAGGAAGTTGAAAAAGCTAATTGTTTATAGCTAGCCTAAATATGCTGCCACAGTCTGCTTTCTGTTCTAGACTTTTTTTGGTGGGGAGACTAATTGAGCAAAAATAGCCCAGTGTGTTGCACTGATTTACTAATTTATATTGGTAGCTTGCACTAAATTTGTCTGCAGACAGATTTCGTATAGTTGCCCTCCTTCAGTAGATGCTGCTGCTGACCAGGTATGCACTGAAAATTGACGCCTGTTCATTATTGAAGTGATAATGACTGATACATAGTGTTTCTATGGTAATAAATTTGTCTAAGAAAAGTTTGTAGGCTCAAACCTTAATAGGCCAGTCTTACAAACCTGTTAACATTGGGGAATACAATCCGCTGATGTTTTTATTATTTCTGCTAGCCATGCACGGACGGATTTTTTTTAAAGAGATTGTTTTGCAGCTTGTCAGACTTCATATATACCTGATATAAATAACTTGGGAATTAATTAATCTGTTGACGGTGACCATTTGGACAGCTGGACTTGTACCAATGCAATAAATATTTCATTACTCCCAGGAAATACAGACCAATAAATCAATATAAAAATTCCTGTGGTCTGTTTGGTTCTTACAGATACATCTTGGCATTCTTGAAAAGAAAGTTCAAATTTTGTCTATTTTCTGTTTAAAAATACTGCACTACTGACTGAAATTGATTGGATCAGTGTAACTTGAACTTGGGCTTTTTTTTTTAAAAAAAAAAAAAAAGCTTTGATCAACCACTATCATCTGTTAAACTGAAAAGATAAAATACCCATCTATATTAGATACAAACTAGGGAGCAGTGTATGACTACGCAATTTAAGAGGTTGGAGAGGAGTAAATGGAGATAACCCAAGGCTTTGACGTATTTATTATTCAGTTAACTTTGTTAAAATTGGAAAAATAGAGTGGTGATACATACCTTTGATATATTTATTTTACATTTTTAGACTAACAAGAGCTTAGCTAGTGTGATGGACAGAAACCACATTCTACAAAAGTAGATGGTGGGAGTATCTTACATTGCACGTTTATGCTTAAGAATTTGGAATTAGCTGTAATCTAATGGGAAGGAATGGGAGGACATGCAGGATACAAGCACAAAGCTTCACTTGTCTAGGGAGAGGAGTTCAATGGGAAATTCTGACATTCTGGAGCAATATTATGTCAGTAGAAAATAATATAGAGAAAAAATTGCTATAACATCAATTATTCTTTTCGTAACATAATATGAGAAAGTTAGTGAACAATTTAGATGGTGTATTCTCAACGGTAAAAAGTCTAGTGTGAGATCTAATTACTGGGAAAGAAGAGTAAAGTATCAGGATTCCATTTAACCCTTTTTGCAATAAACATATAGCAAAAGTTAGTATAAGTGAAAGTTTTATTGTATTTAACATTTTACTAAATTTGGTGTTTTAGAAGTAATATAAAGAAATAACTGTGTAAAAACGAGGAAAAGTTAGCTGCTGCATCAGTATTTCATAGTCTGCAAAGTTCATTGCCAAAGACGTTTCCTCTTTCTACCGTTTTTCTATGCTACCTTGAGAATGTAATTCAGAATTAAACAGCTAGAATTTGTGATTTTACCTTTTCTCAAATGGTTGGTACAAACATTGGGGTTGGAGATTTAGGTGACTGTCACTTCTATGAAACACGTCATATTCTACAAATCATTTGTTTTCCTCTTTGAATTGGTAATGAATGTATTTTGAATACTGTACTGTTGCATAATTGTAAGAAATTTCTCCTTGATTTTAAAATAAATGAAGAAAAACACCAGGGAGCAGGAGGAGCGGCAAGAACAGTTCATTACTTAGCAGTTAGCATAACAATATTCCTGTCCGTAACTGCTTTTGTTTTGTTACTGGGAGTGACACTGGAAGTATCTATATTATTTTTGAACTCGGACATATCAAGTCAACAGTAATATGAATTGTGCTTTCTTTTTTCTTTACAGATGTGTTCTTTATGCCATTGTCCTGGAGCAACCATTGGTTGTGATGTGAAAACGTGTCACAAGACATATCACTACTACTGTGCTTTGCATGATAAAGCTCAGATAAGAGAGAAACCCTCACAAGGCATTTACATGTAACTATTATTTATTTACTATGTTTACTTTTGTATATATATTTCATGTTCTTTGTTTTTTTTTAAAAGAAAAAAAAAAACACAATACCCTTTGAATCTAACCAAAACTGTTACAAAAATTCTAATGATTGTGGCATTCAAAATAGTGATGTGCTTAAAAAAAAAAAAAATAAGGCACGTTCTTCACTGCAAGTTCTATGTATCAGTGAGTCTTACAAGTGGGAGAAAAATGTACTGGCATTTAAATTTAAAAGATGAGTAAATAATCTGTGAATCGTAACTGACTTGACAGTTTTCAACTACTTTGTTTATAGGATTTTATGTCGAAAACACAAGAAAACTACGCATAACTCTGAAGGTAAAATTATTCAATATAAATTTTTCCCATTGTAGAAAGATATTTTGGTTAAATTTATTTTTTTCTGGAGAATATAAATGTTTTCAGTAAAAATTAGAACGATATATTTTTGAGAAATAGTGAGTTTGGAAGCCCATCTGTTTTCTGTATTTTCTCTAAAAAAAAAATAAAAAATAGTGAGGTAGAGAAAAACCCTAAAACTAAATTTTAGTCTGTTCTAAAGATAGCGTGTTCCGTCAAAACATATTATGGGTAGAAGTAATGCATTCTTTTCTAGGAAGAAGCTGGCTTATATTTTTAGCTAAATATTCATAGTATTTACATCTAAAATTCATGAAATTTGTCAGGTAGCAGTTGATTTTTGCCACTTCTAGCATTCCTAAGCATACACCATTTTGTTGAACAATTAAATACAGTTTAACTCTTCAAATAAGAAGGATCCAACATTAAATAAATGTGCTTATGATCAGATCGCTTAGATATATTGCTGAATAATTTTGATTAAAAAAGAAAAGCTGTATGCATACATTGATTAAAAGCTATGCATCTCTGCAGAGGAGAGTAGTGAAATGCACAAGGGGTGATATGCCACAAAAGTTGGTAAATCGTGTGGTCTGACAAAATTCCAAACTAATTTTCAGTTTTGTATTTATGCTTTTTTTTTTCCTTGTTAACTACCATATCTGAATCTGGGTAAGCAAGCATTTGTTAGTTTACTTTTGCATTACTTTCACTTCAAATGTTGCAGATTTAGCTAGTGAGGACTGCATTTAGCAATAATAAAATTTCGTAAATTGTCTCTTTCTGCAACTACATGCTTATGGTAACGCATTACTTATGCTATGGGTAGTGTTAATGGTAAGGTTTGGGTGTTACTTCAGTGTTCAAAAGGATATTGAAGGCAGTAGAAAATCCCAAAGTAAATCTTTTGGTTTAGTCTATTTATATATTCTAGCATGCTTTGTATAAAACATTCTGTTGTGGTTTTGCTGTTAGTAGATTGAAGCAAGGAAAGCAGTAAGCATGTTAATATGGCCCTATCTCTTTGAAGAATTGTAGTTTGGGAATTTGTTTTAGGATTTGTTTTGCTTGTTACCAGAAACAAAAGACATTTGAGTCCAAAGACAGAGACACTGATCTCTTAAACTGATACTTAAACATGATATTTTATACTTACTGAGAAATGGCTTATGCTGGCATCTATTGAAAAATGCCACCATTTCTACAGGGAGTCCAATGCCAACAGATTTATTTTTTTCCTGCTTGGAACTCCTTGCAGGATCTGAACTTGTGCTTTTCTTTAAGAGTTTTCAGAAATTATTTAATTGTACAATGTTATCCTCCAAGAGTAGGGGCTTTTAAATTTTACATGAATCTATTTGTATGAGAAGACGTGGGAAAAATTGCTGCAGTAGGATATTGTTTTCTTACATGTTGATGACTGTAGCTTTTTAAGCATTAAATAAGGTTCATCCAAAGAAACTCAGACTAAGAGGAAGACGAGGAGGAAAAACCATCAATCAGATGAGGCCAGAGAACCCAATACATACTATCTTACATAGAATTCAACTTTGCATTGCACTTATTTTTTTGCTTAAAATACCTAGTTCTGGTATGTGTTATGCTTCTAGAAATATGGGTAGTTGTACATTACATTTTTATTTTCTGTTTTCGTTTAGTATTTGTCTGAGACTGTAGCCTGGCGCTCTTCTCTGAAGAGTCAACTGTCTTTTTAGATGATACAATTTCAGGAACTTACTATACTGTACCTGTAAAATATTATTACTTACGATCTGCGATTTGATAATGCCAGAATCAAGGGCTCTTTTATGCGGGACCTCCTGTAAACCACAGGAAGTAAAAATACATATTGCATCTGTCTTAAGGAAATGACTTACAGAATAGTATAGCAATGATATTGTGCTATGTTGAAAAATGATCAGCTTTTGAAGATAGAGAAATCTACAGGATGGTTTTCAGAGTTCAAGAAGAGACCTGAGAGACTTTGTTTCTCGATAATTAAATACTGAAGTTTGTTCAGTGAAGTGGTAACTGGAAGATGCAGGATGGTGAGATTAGTCAGAGATGAGCTTTGTGTATGTATTTTGTTGGTTTGTTTCTTGAAGGAAATGTGTCTCAAAAGGGAATTTAAATGTGAAAGAATGGTGGTTTGTGAAACCAGAGAAGACTTGCAGAGAAGAAACTAGCCAAGGATGCTGGATGCTAACATAGCACTTTTGTTTCAGTTTCATGAATCCTTGCTTACAGCAGTTTTCATAACAGGATAGTTAAAGCAAATCACTGGTTACGTCACTCAGTGTAGATGCATGGGGCATTGGAATTGTAAGTCTCTTTTAATGGAAACTTATTGCTTCTGCTTTGGAATGTTTGTGTGTTTTTCCTTGGTCAGTGTAGAATGTCTGGATTTGTGTCCTCTGCTCTGTATCTAGGTTTAATTGTTGTAGTCCAAGTATTTTTTTCTTATGTCACTTGTGTTAGTGGATGTCGGTAGAGTTTTTAGGAGTGTTTGGTTTGATGTCCTCTAGAACAGTATTGGTTTTGGATTTTTTTTTCCTGTAGGTAGTACTGCTGTCTAATAGTGGGATTTTTCCTTCCCTTCCTTCAAAAACAGGTGCTTTTTTAGCATCCTGGCTCAAGTCTGAGATGTGGTTGATCTAAGTTTTGTTAGAAGCTCTAGTTCTTCTCAGTAAATTAATAAAAATCTGCTAACAATTTAGTACCAGTTAAGGAAAAAATGGTTGAAGGACCTATGTAGGAATTAAGTTACCAATGTAAAACTTAATGAAAAAAGACCTCTTAAATGTTGTTTTTTGCTGTCATGAAGTTCAAGTGGAGCAAGAATTCATCAGACTAAGTATCTCCTGACTCATCAAGACAAAATTAATGAGCAATGGGAGTTCATTTCCCTTTAATTGACAGGAGTTGAACTACCTTCTGTTTTGTTTGAATAGGAAAAAAGGAAACACAATAACAAAGTAATCTGCTCTTAGATTCATTATCTGTCTTGACAGATTGTTGGTTTTGTCTAATTTATCTGAATGGCCTAGCCTTCAGGTGTAGAACAGGAAAAATGCATTTCACCTATTTTTTTGTTATATTTCAGTGTAATTCATTTGTGCTTTGTTCCCATTAGCTGGTAAAAAGAACAGTAAAGTCAAGGTACTCACACTTCTTTTCTTGGCTTTGGCTATGATGCTGACAAATTTGAAGTAACCTGCTCAGAGGAGCAGACCAAGGTGCGGAAGTTTCACGTCTGCATTTTTGTCTTGCTGCGTATAAATGTAACTGTTTTGACCTGAACTTCAAGTAATAGTTTAAATCTTAATCTCAACAAGCCCTCGTAAGTATTCAGTACCTTACAAGTTACAGAAATTGGTACCAGTGCTTTCAGACTAGCACAGCTAACTATTAGTTGAGTTACTGTTCAGTTTGATAACAATTGCATTTATTCTTTTTGAAGAGTAAAGCATTGTTGAACTAAGGTTTTGGGCCTGTTTATTGGAATTTATTTCTATGTACTAGAAATAATCATTGAAAACTTAACAAATTTGTTATCTTCTATTCAGTTACCTACAGGTGGGCCTGCCCTGGCCCTTCTGTATTTAAAACAAATTCAGCTGATCCAGAACAGTTTATAATAAACTAAGATAAGAATATTTCATTCTGTTACATAGTAATAATAAAATGAAGAATAAAGATAACTGCCATGTGATTATTTAATGTCTAAAACAGAAGATGCTTGGGACTATTGAGTCAGAAAATAGTGTACATAATTCCTATCGTATCTGTACCCAAAGCCTTGGGGAATTATGTTTCCACAATAGAAATAAGGACACTTTGTGTCTCAGTATCCTTTTTATCTTATTCTACAGATCAAACCTGAAATCTGTGCGTTTCTCTTTGCTCAGTAAGTGGAGTCAGGATAAGATTCCTCTATGAGAGAATTACGGACTGCAAGCTGTAACAAACAGATCACTTTTTCAAAGCATGGTTTAAGCCAGAAGTTGATAGCAAAACCGTCCAAGACGTTTTTGGCATTATGACTAGTTAAGATTCTGATTCATTTTAAGGTGCTTCAATCTGTCTGTGCTTCATAGTTATGTTTTCTTTAACAATGTTCACAGCATAAACTTGCCTACCGTTGTATGTGCTAATGCAGTCAGGTGTGAAAGTTTCTGTAGTGTTGCAGTTCAGTCATTTCAATTTTGCTGGTGGATGGTTTCAAATTCCTTGTAAGCTCTGCTAACTCAGCCTTCTTGTCTGTATTATGGAGAAAGCTGCTCTGAGTATGGCATTAAATGTATGTATAGTGTTACAATAAGAACGGGTGCTCCAGGTAAAAGGAGAAAATCTAAAAGTAATGTGGTGAGTGATACATACCATCTGAGAAGCTGTCCTGTGATGTTTATGTTTTAATTTTGTTTTCTATCTTGGCAAGACCGTATTCAAATAGGAACTTGGTCAGTTAACTAATATTTAAAAGGTTTATCAGACCAGTTGTCATAAGCCTTCTGATTATGCAGATAAGCTGAACATATTGTCTGTCTTCAGTGTCTGCCAACAATTGTTCACCTGAGAAAGTGTTTAGATTGTGTGGTTAAGGAGTATTTAATTCATTTTCTATGTTAAATGTTCTTAATTGAAGAAACAATCTTAAGTATTTCATAACATAGATAATATTCGGTCAAAAGTATTTTTTGGATAAGAAGCATCAGTTCCTTGAAGGTATCTGGTACTTCTGAAAACAAATTATTGGCTAGACTTAAGGGATAATTTGGCTTTTTCCCCTCCACTCTTATTTCCTCCAATTTAGATACATGTAATCTAGTCTTTTTCTATTTTCAAAAAGAAAATATATAAGAATTATATTCAGTATTTTGATGCTTTATTTCACATCATTTTCTGATGTAAGCTACAGCTATTTCACAACCTGTTCACTTGAACCTGTATTTGCTTGCAAATGTTTTTAAGCAAATCTGTTTTTTATTAATACTTAAAAATACATTTATACTTCCATTATTAACTACTAGGACAATAAGGTTTTTGGATTTTTGTGACATTTCTTTTTAAAATAATTATGTTGTCGCATGAGGTTCGTTGTTTTCATCCATATTTTTAAGGACATCTTACTTTAATATGCTACATTACTTTTTCTGATATTCTATTTCTCTTCTAAAATTCTGTGAAGTTGACTTTTGTTCTTTGTAATTTTAAGAGCTTCTCTTTTGTTCTAAGTGCACTATGAAACTTAAAAAGCATACGCTTGTTTCCAGATTTACATAACAGCATATCTAAGACACTTTGTATTCTACATTTTGGCTACTTTTTATGTACAGTCCTACTTAAAAATGTATATTTCCCATCAGTTTTGTTTATCTTTCTTGTACAGATGTATACCTTTTGCTTCTGGCTCAGTCATTGTTTAAGATAATGTAGCAAGTAGAGTAGTATTAGCTTTTACTGAACACATCCTCCTTTTATTTGTTGTTTCACAACCATTAAATCACTTAATTCTTTGCATTAGTTTGCTTTAACATAGCTTTTTGAAAAGGGTGGTTCCTGGTGTATTTCAAGCTCAAGTAATAAAGAATAGATCAGTGATATCTTAACTTCTGTGTCAAGCTTTGTTTTAAGCAGCAACATATCTTGATCCTTTTTCCTTCTAGTCATGATCAAAAGAGAATTCATAGAATTCTCTCTGAAGCCGTCTTTGTGTTAACAGTTTATAAAATACAGAATTTTGTTCGTCTTCTTTTTGTGGTACTTTGTACTGCTCATAGATTGCTAAAATGCAAACGTGGGGCTTGTTGCTCATCTTTCTGCTCATCCAAATTTACAATATCATTTTCTTAGGTGCTTTTGAAAATGTAGAATGTTTCCTCTTAATAACACTCCCCCCCCCTTCTGAGATCATATTGCATATTAAGCTTGTTTTTTTTTTTTTTAGATGTATTGTTTAGGGACTTCTGCAGAAAGCTCATAAGATAACTCCTTTGAAGAGTTCAGATAAAGTTGTGTTGAGAATATTGTGATGGTTTTAAAAATCAATGCAGTAGCGGGATACGGGATGGGGGCAGTTGAAAGTATGTTTAGGGAATCTCAGGGGATTCAGAGTATGGGTGATATCCATGATAAAACTTCATCTGGTCAGGGAGGAGTTGAACAACTTTTTGTGTTTTCCTTAGTTCAAGCTGACATGAGAAGTTGGAAACACCCAACCATCAGATGCCAGGGAAACAGGGTAAGCTGGCAGTGGGCTTGAGGGGAGGGATAGGGCACGAACCAAACTGTATATTAAACAGTAAAGACCATCCAAGGCAGGTATATTTTAAAGCTGGTTACTATTCTTTCTCCTTGAACTGTTGCACTTATTCATAGTGCTTTTAAAATAGATAGAAACCTTAATGTTTTGAGGTATTCATCTTGCAGGTAGATGTGGTAGTGTAGGTTCTCACATTTCGGGCGTGTTAATCCATAGGCTCATGTCTCTTATAGTGTGGAGAAATAAATCTGCAAGGAATCTTAGTTACTTTAATGGAGGGGTCATGTAGTGTCTAGATTTCAGTGAGCTCTGAACTTTTTTGAAAGTACAAGGTTTGAGGGCAGGAAAGGGGTTCTCCTTTGAGGAAAGCTGTGCAATCCTGATGCTTTTTTATATTATACCAGAAATATCTTTAAGAAATGCAAGGTTTACATTTCATATCTTAAATATTCTGATTATAGATTAAAAATAGCACTTAATTTGCTCTAAAAGGAAGCTGTAACAAAAAATTGGCTTTGGCATGTGCTTGGTTTTTACAGTTAAGCTCCATTTCCAGTTTTGAAAGTATGACTACAGAGGGTTTGGGATATGCTTTAATGCTTAGAAAATAAGGGTGGACAAAGGTGGAAAGCAGCATGGTTGACAGGATAGGTAATGAATTGGGGGAGAAAACAGAGAATGTTTTGGTGAATGGACTTCGTTCTGCTTTATGAAATACAGCAGGAAAATCCATGGAATGATTTTGGAGGGAGTATTTGTCTTACAGACTGTTATTTAAAGGGTCATCATTTTAATAGTCACTTTTTTCTAAGACTTTTTTTCTTTTTAGTAGAAGAGCCATCTATGGTTTCTTTAAATGTAGAAGTATTTATGAAGATTGACAGTTTTTTTTTTTTAATATATTAGGGGGAAGTTCATGTATATGATGAGGGGCAAGATAAAATGTAATTATTTTCTTTGAAAGAGCTTTTCAGGTTGTAATAAAACTTTCTATATTCAGTCTGAGAGGTATGATATCTAAATTGCATAATCTTGCTTTGGGAATTTAGCAACTTATGTTAAATGAGAAATAAATTTAGATAGTAAATTATGAAAAGGAAATGTAAAATGTATTGTTTCATTAGATAATCCCTGTCATCATGTGTTTTATTATACTCTGTTTTGAGTAGAGTAAATTGTGGTACTCCTGTCATCTCATTAGAAAAGAGTAGGATGCATAGTGAAGCATAAGAAAGTTGTGGTAGATATAGTTACGTAGATTTAGTTTAGTAGTGACTTGTGAATATGTGTATATAGCTGATCTGTCAATTTAAGTGAAAATAATTTGCAGATTTGTATGAATTTCTTCTCAAATTTTTGCCTCCTTACCACACATCTGTGTAGAGCTTTGGGGGGAATTAAATTTCAGTCTAATATGTTGTGATATGTTTGGATTAGTTTTTTCTTCTTTATTAATAAATGTGCAAGAAGCTGAAGTTATTTCAGGGATTAGCAGCAGATGTGATAGACTAAGTTTAATAATACACTTGTATGCAAGGCCCTCAGGCCTGTAGTTCACTTTGCTGCAACTAAAAGTTTGTGGCTGTGGAATATATTCAGGGCTTTGATTTCAAACTTCTGTGTAGTTGATTCATTGTTAATCGGGAGATAGAATGAGTGATTTGATTTGTATGCAATAATGGATAAGAAAGATGAGCTCTGAGAAGCAACTCTTAGTCTCAAAGTAAGATGTCCTGTCTGAATTTGAGACAAAGATATAATGGTGATAAGTGCCCTAGTGGTATTTCATAATAATAACACAACGGTGAAGTGTCCCATTAATGTATAAGCATAGTTGTTCTGGATCGCCTATTAGGATTTTGTTCCGGTTTGGGGGCTCATTTTGATGTTTATTGCTTGGAATTTGAGATTTATGTAGCAGTATGCGTGCATGTTTCATTAAACAAGTCTGCTGAAATAACTTTGCAGTTTGAGCAGGGGTAGATTTTGCATACTAAAAGAAAAAAGACTGCTCCTGTGAGCTTTTGGTGATCAGGAAAGTTGTTAGTGATCAAGTAGAGCTGGTTATTAATTATTTATAGTCATAGTGGAAATAAATTCTGCTAACTTCTTGAAGTTATCTTTATTAACTGTATGCTTTTGATTAATCGAAAGAACACTGCTATAATCATAGAATATTTAAGGTTAGAAGGGACCTCTGGAGATCATCTGGTCCAACCCCCCTGCTCAAGCAGGATCATCTAGAACGTGTTGCGCAGGATCACCTCCAGGCAGTTTTTGAGTATCTCCATAGAAGGGGCTCATACTGGACTACAGTTCTGTGTAGCAATTCAGCAGCTGGCCTGGCATTTTCAAAGGAATTTGTCAGACCTCTTCAGTATACTTGTAGTAAAAATATGCTTTCTCATATTCCTAATGGTCTATAAACGCTCCATCTGGGATTTTGTCAGTGTGAATGATTTTCTGTAAACTAGCTCCCTGCTTTTAGCTTTAGATGTAAAAATAGGCTGTAACTAAAATGAAATTTTAGGTTTCTTTCATGGAAGCAAAATACATTTCAATTGTTGTAAAAGTTCTTAAAATTATAGCCAAAATGGGTGATTTCTTTTTTTTTTAAAAAAGTCAAAAGACATCAATAAAGCAAGGTGAGAGGAGTTATTTAGAAAACATTGGCATAATATCAAGTGCAATTTACACCGGATGCATGCATCTTAAAAAAAAAAATAATAATAATAATAATAAATTATTTTGTGGTTGAAAACATTTGTTGGGTGTATTTTAAGTGAAGGTGAATATATTTATCTGAGGCCATATTTTGGTCCTGAAAGTAGCAGTTGTAAGAAAGGTTAAACCTTCGTATATTATGTTATAAAGATGCAAAGCTGTGTGATGTGTATAAAGAAGTAAATGTTTTCAGGAACTTGCATGGTTGTAACAAATGTGAAAAAGCTACCATTTTAATTTCTGACTGTTTTATTTCTGAAAAATACAGAAAATACAGGTTTTTTCTTGTTTTTGTTTTGCGTAAAATTTTTGAGAATGTTATTTGATGATGTTTTCTAACTCCTAAAGCAGATTTAGAAGAAAGTATCAATGAACATGAGTTGGAGCCTTCACCTCCCAAAGGAAAAAGGAGGGGTCGTAAGGGAAAGCCAAGAAAAACAAATTTAAAAGGGCAATCAGAAGACACTAGATCTACGTCCTCACATGGCACAGACGAAATAGAAAGCAGTTCCTATGTAAGCAGTAAATATGCTAAACTTCTTAGAAGACAGAATTGCATATTTCTTCTCTGCAAATATATATTTTTTTTATTAAAATCTGTGTTTGTCTGAGCCTCCAGCTGGTGGCCACAGGCTTTTAAAATTGCAACCTTATTTGTAACCCAGCAGTATGTTTTAGTAAAATGTTTTTCTTTCAGAGAGACAGGTCTCCCCACAGAAGCAGCCCCAGTGATACAAAACCTAAATGTGGATTCTGTCATGCAGGTGAAGAAGAAAATGAAGCTAGAGGAAAGCTTCATATATTTAATGCCAAAAAGGCTGCAGCACACTATAAGTGCATGGTGAGTAACAGTATTGTTGTTAATCAGTTTATTATGAATTTTGACTGAACTGCTATTTTAGGTTTTAATACGGTACCCTTATATGTAGTTATGCATGAATATTGTCTTTGCGTTGATGATCTCTTTAAGTGTTGAAGTGTTTTGAAGTGAGCAATTCATTGATTTTTTTTCACTGCAGGCAATAAAAGTTGGTTACGTGTTAAGAGATGTAGGATGTAGTTCAGGGAGACTCTTTACCATTTAAAAAAAGTTCCCTTAGCATCTAAATGCATACACAGTGTTGAAAAATGAGTGAGAAAATAATTTTAACTGAAAGAATCCACTCCAAAAAATAAAATACAAGTACCTTTACAGGCATTGAGACAGAATCCTGGAAGCATCAATGAACTTCATTAATTTTCTGACCAGTGGATTCAGGTTGTGACACAGTTAGAGTGTGGGACATAGGAGTTCTAGAAAACCCTTGCCAACTGTCAGATTGAAAAGAATCTGCTAATTTCAATGACCTTGTGCAAATAGTACTGTCTTTATGTAACCGATTCTATGAATGAAGTAGTGCTCTGAATAGCAACCACAGTATTTTCTGCTGTACCTTGGAAGGAATAAGTAGTCCAGACAATGTATGCAATATTAATGGTCCTACTACAGCTGGCATAACTAAGCAGAGATCTGGTGTGTGCCAGCAGCCTTGAGCATTATTCTTTGCTGTTTTGTGTACCTGAGCTTCAGATTTAAGACTGTTTAAGTTGACTATACAAGAATGGTGATAGTAGGGATGATGCTTATGTATTCCATTGTCATACCTCAGGGTTTTTTGGGCACGTTGACATTCTGTGCCATGAATGTGCTGATTTACCTAAACGGCACAGAGAAGAAACTGGAATATTCCTGAGAAGTTCACTGGTATAATTAATAATATTGGTAATTTATTACTTTGTATTTTCAGCATTGTAGTCATTTTTTGTCTACTCCTTTTTCATTTAAAATACCTCTCTCCAAGATAGCAAATGTAATTAAAGCAGTCAGGTGGGTATCAGAAAGAACACTCATCATACTAATCTCTACGCAGCATGGTATTTCATCCTCATTTGTTGGTAGAGCACAGTCTGAGACAACTGAATACAGAACACTCCTTTCTGTGATTCCTGCACATAACTTCTTCAATGTTGGTGATCTGAAATTATTTTGTATTTGCTTGTTTTACAGTTATTCTCTTCTGGCACTGTCCAGCTAACAACAACATCAAGGGCAGAGTTTGGTGATTTTGATATCAAAACTGTTCTTCAAGAAATCAAGAGAGGAAAAAGAATGGTATGTATCTGCAGAATGTAATGAATGTGTCACTGAGTCTACTAAGGAGTATATAGGTCTGTCTGTTTGCTTTTGTGAAACAATCTTTTCCATCTACTTATGACAAAATTTAAATGTATTGCTACTTTGGGGATAGCTAGGCAGATAGGAGTCACCTTTAAAATACCATGTGCCCAAACAAATATGTGCAATAATATGTGCTATTTTACAGCAGATTTCAGTGCAAAGGATAGGAACCTGGGAGTTCATGTTTTTAATAAGTTTGTGTTAAATGGTTTCTGGTTTTACAGTATTGTTGATTAACTTTTTATTGGAAGGGTGATGTGCCAGAGAAATTACTGTATTCCAAAAAGAGAACCATAAACATGAGGAGCACCAAACTGAACAGAGACTGAAAGGTTGAACAGTGCCACTCTTCTTTCTCTTTAACAGAAATGCACGCTTTGCAGCCAGCCTGGTGCTACTATTGGGTGTGAAATTAAAGCCTGCATAAAAACATACCATTACCACTGTGGAGTAGAAGACAAAGCTAAATACATTGAGAATATGTCACGAGGAATTTATAAGTAAGAACCTATGTACATCTTGAGTCTATAATGCAAGGGAAGATATTTCATAACATCTTTTCTGCCAAGCTTGACAAATCAAGTTAACAAATACTCCATTTAAAACTAATTTTTTAAGCAATAATTGCAAAATATTTTGGTTACTTTAACTCTTCAAATTTCTGTACAACAATATGTGAGTGGAGAAAAACAATTATAACTCGCTATGTTTTCCTCTTCTGATTAATCTGTATTTTCTATTGCAAAAGCCCTGGATAATTTGTTATGATTGCTCCATATGGATAAGTTTTGTAGCTTATTTAGGTTCTTTTGGACCCCGTAACTTTGTCCTTGCTTGCTGAAGTGCAGCTGTTGTTGAGCTGCCAGTGTTGTTGTGCCCACAAGAGGGCATTCTGTGAGCAGTGTATTCAGCAGTTTTTTAAAATCTAGAATTGATCAAATCTAGTTGGTTCGTCTTTACCTCAGCTTTGCTTTCTTTCCGTTTAACTGCTGCTTAACTGAAAAACATGAATAAGTTACTACCAATTTTCCTGTAGCACTTACCAAAACTAATTGAGAAGAGATTATTTTATTCTTTCAGTAAAAAAATCTTACCTGTTTCTTTTATCGTGTTAGACTCTATTGTAAAAACCATAGTGGAAATGATGAAAGAGATGAAGAGGATGAAGAAAGAGAAAGCAAAAGCCGTGGGAAATCAGGCACTGACCATAATGACATTCCTCAGCAGCAGCTCAATGGAAACTAGGTATGGAAGTTACTCCTGACAGATCTGTTACCAAGACTGAAACGCAATATACATTTAATGTAGTTTATTGCAGTGAAGTATTTAAATCTAGTGTATGCGGATAAGTAGTTTTTATTGGCATACTGTAGAAAAATGGGGAGGATATGTTGGTTTTTAAATCTGGCTGACTTCGTAACAGTATAAGAAGGGAGGCCCTCATTTCTATCGCTAAATATAGATGTGATGTCAGAGCTGCAAAATGCTTTTCTGTATGACTTTAAATTTACCATTGTTTTCATCATTTTTTAAACAGGTTCAAGGGACAGAGTTATAGAACTGGGAATGGCTAAGACATCATAACTACTAATTCTTTTAAATTGTTTTCTAAATTCAAAAAAGGGTTAGTAATTTTTTTACTACCCAACTCTGTTAGAAATTTCATTGAACTGCCTGAAACGTTCATGTGTGTGAGCCTTCAGTAAGTGGCAGAGTTTTACATGTCAATATTAATGTAGTTTGTAGTCTGCAGTGTCTGGAAAAAAAAATGAAACACTATATAAATGATATGTAATATGTACAGTGTCAAAAGTTAAGGCAGACATTGAAATGAAGCAAGATCTATATTTCTGGACTGAATAAAAACCTTAAGATTTGGAACGTGTAAGTTGTTTAGTGGATTCATGCAAAGAAGGAAGGTCTTAGCTAGTTTAATTAACAACATGGACAAATTCATGGTGGCAACAAGCTGGTACTTTGTGAATTTTGCATTTTCTTCATATACAAGTTATGGAGGCCATACATGGGAAAGCCGCTCTCTGTTTTTGCTTGCAAAGCACACAGTGAAAAAGGACTCAGTGTACACCGAAGCACGCTTGAACATTTCAGGTTGTTCCTGTTGTGATTGCTCATTCCGCCCAGCATTGTTTGCAGGAGATTTACTTGAGCAGCTGTTGGTTCTGAGCTGTGAGCTTTAGAACTCATGCCAAAGGGCTGTAGTTCATTCTTTCCCCAACAACACACCTCTTTCAGTGTCCCTGATTTACAAAGAACACTTTACTAAGTGTGATTTAAACCTTACTATATAAATGCTTGGACTCTGCAGCCCGATCTTTCTCTTCAGAGAGTTACAACTCTTAACTCACTATGGAATTTAGCCACCATATCTGACGTCCATACCTCAAGTGTTCTATGTTGTATGGAACACTTCATGTTTTGTCCAGAATATGCATAGAGGTCCCATATTCTGTAAGAAGAATGAGGAAACAACTTTGTTTTTGCTAGATTGGTATTTATTTTTTAATCTTATGACCACTATATGAGAAACTTTGCTTATCATCCTTATTGCTTTAGTGATTTTTTTTTTCCTCCTCTTTCTGTCAAGTCAACAAATCACATCATGGAATTCTACTTGCTGGAGCTTTTGATGTTCCTTTAGGGAATAATCAGATCTAAGTTATACCAAACCTAACAGATCAGTCCTCTGACTGCTTTCAAAACACCTTGTAATTTCTAATGGCTACAAGTTTCTTCAATTGGTCTGTTAAAGCACATTCTCAGACTTAAATAAAACCAAAAAGCTGAATCTAGTCCACATGTTTGTCTGTTGCTATCACATCATTGTATTGTTTGTTTAGGGTTTTGACTTGTTTCGCTCTGAACTCCCAACAAAACTTCCAGATTTGAAGGAAGGAAACAAGCAAAATACACTGATTTGACTATAAACTGCTACAGTTCTGTGATTGGTATTGCAAAAACAGTTCAGTTGTAACATGAGTTTCTGTAGCATTTTTTACTTGTATTTTTAAAAGATTTAATGTGTGTCATTGTCTTCTTATGCATTCCCTTAATGTCTTGAGGGACTCAATTACTGTATATTAGAGTTTCTAACATTTTACCTGTTAGAATTCAATCAATTCTGTTTGCTTTCCTGGAGAATAATGCAGTTTTGGAAAGAAATATTGCTGTGTACAGAAAATATTCAGTTACTGCTCTAAACATGATGCCATTGATCATTTTTATTTTGTATTTGTAACTTTCAAAATTAAAAGCGTGACTTGAATTGCAATGACAGATCGATTATTGAAATTGTCTATCAAGGTGTTTTGTTTCTTCTAGAACATGAACATTTTTCAGCCACTCAGAACAGTTTTAGAATGCGAAATAACATACTTCAGTGTCTAAATTACTTCTAGATTTGTGCCTCAGACATGGCCCTCCCATGGAATAAAGGCACTTTGTTTGCAGCTACTGTATTTTTAACCAAGGCTGGATGACAGGTGCATGGGGTAGATCTGCCAGCATACTGACTGTACTTGAGACTAAGCGCTATATGGCGTCAGTTGCTTAGTATAAAGTATAATATTCAGTCCAGTAATCCATCTGTTGTGAAATATATTACCCCATTCCATGCTTCTGAGAACCAGAACAGCACTTTACCTTTGGGTAGCAGAAAAGTAAGTGGCTGGTTACCTGTTACCTCCTTGTGCTGAGATGGCCTGACTAAACTGTCGTTAATTCAGAATTCATGGAAACAATGTCAAAAGCAAAAATCTCTTTTCTTATGAGCCTCAAATTTGTCATAACTTGACTTCAATTTATGTATGCTGGGTAAAAGTGCCTTACAATGTAAAAATTGTATTTATATGTTCCCAAGTAGCATTACCTGCTGGGGAGTAATTCTGTCGTGGTGTTAATATTTAGAAGAAATGTACCTCAGCAGTGTATTTACTGTACATCTCTTATGTCCTTAATTGTAGTTTTAAAAAGCATGACAATGTATGATAGTATACAACATTTACATATTTTTTTTAAAGACAAAATACTGCCATTACTGTCTTTTTATGTGTATTTTAGCTTGGAATTTCAGACAGTCTGTCTGAGGGGGGGTTTTGTTTGTTTGTTTGTTTTGGTAAAGCAATGTAATCTTTGCAAGCATATATTGGAAGATTATTCTGGAGCATCTACTGCCTTCCCAGAAACGTTAGAAGTAATACAAGTGCTCTGTAGGTGGGATAGGTATGTTTAAATTAGCTAGGTAAATTAATGCAGTCTATTTTTTACTGAGATGATTTTTTTTTTTTGGATAGGCACCTTCTGTTTTCATCTCACAATCGGAGAACTCTTAATTTAACAAAACTTGTCTTTATGAAACTGGTGTCACTATTTTATTTTTATTTTTTGGCCTTTGGGTATTTCTTTTGCTCACAAGTGTAATGTCTGCTGTTTAAAGTCTCCTGGAACCCTCTGGGATGGAGGTTTCTCCCCAACTCACTGTATCTCTGTATTAACAGATCTGCGATCGTGCTATACCAAGAAAGGACTGTACCAAGGAAGGACAGGCATCAGAAGGGTATTGTTCAAATTACTTGAGGATACAGCTGGTGTAATGCCAGAGTCCCAAGGCATGATCAAACACCATAGCAGTAAGCTGTGCTATCACTCCATTTCAAGGAAGGGCAAAAGGCCGGTTCAATACCAACATCTGTGTAGCTAAGTAGGATGAAATAGATTAGGTGACCAAAATACCTGCTTATTCAGCAGGTGTTGATCCACAGGAGGTTCTATGATAAAGCTCCAGTAGGAGTTGTACCAGCGTAATTCCTGGAGGGCAGCAATAAGTCCACCATCTACACTCCACAAAGTCTGATCTTTAGGTACAAAGAGCTGTGCTGATCTAGAATGATGTGGTTAGACTGAATCTGGCTCGAAATTTCTGTTATTAGTGTACAATAAATGTAATATTAAGTAAGAGGCCTTGCTTCTTAACTGCTGCCTAAATGAAGAGTAACTTTACAGTGAAGCAGAGTGAGAGATGAAGGGGTGATAACGTATTTGAAATATCAGACTTATCTGGCAGGTGATAATCGGTTCATTCCAAAAACGTTAATGTGCTGAATCAGATTGACAAGAAAATGAATCCTAATTAGTTGAAATTAATCTGAAGAGAACTGAAAGTACATCATAGCAAATAGTAACTCTTCTTCCACATCACAAGGAACAGATTCCACTGTATTAGTGATGGAGGTTTATAAAAAAAAAAAAAAAAAAGAAAGAACAGCTCTTAATTTATATACTTATTGAAGCAGATTCTATATATGCATATGTATGCACATTCATTAATCAGCAGTACATCTCAACCCTTAAAAGATCCTGGAGAACTGTTGCTTGTCAAAAAGCACTCAGGTTAGGCTAACATTTGCAGCTTTTGCTCTAGCATACATTTACATTAGGTGTAAAGACAAGGAATGTGTAAAAGAGGGTAAATGCATTCCTATCTACAATGTTATGTATATTTTGTTCCTGTTATATTGGCTTTACTTCCAAAGTTGTAGTTTGCAGTATTAGTTTCTTTTTATTGGTATCCTTGCATATATATATATTCAATAAATGAGTTATGAATTTCATATTTGCATATCTGTCCTTTTTCTGAAAGTAGAACTTTAAAACTGACACTTGAATGCATAAAAGCAGTGTTCCCTACTGATGTTAAAGTACCACGAAAGTTTTACCAGAAGACAAGTGAGTGCGTACTTACAGTATGCTACTTACTTGGTGGTAATTACATATTTGTGCATTGTTCCTAACTTTGTGTAATGGGTAAGTTGCTTTGTATTTACCACTTGCTAATAATGTGAAGTGGCTGGCTCACTAAAGGTTGCCGTTCTCACCTTTTAAGGACTTCTTGAAGGCTGTGTCATAATAATTTAGAATAAGATAGATACCAAGAGCGCAAAGTGTAATATAGTTATGTTGCAGAAGAGTGGATAGATGCAGGATGCGTGTTAGAACCATATAAATGTGGTGTAAAAGATCAGCAAAACGAAGAATTGCTTGGAAGATGCTTGGTTTTGTCCAAATAAATGGCTGCTGAGAGCGAGAGAGTGAGTGAGAGTAATATTCAGTATTTTTAAAGTGTCGAGAAATGTAATGGGGAAAACATTAAAATAAATGTTTTTTGTTTGTTTTAAAAGGAGCTGTGCGCTTTTATGTTGACATGTTGATTTAATCACTGTGGTAGGTATTTACTGTGCCCTGGGAAACGGTATCCCCAGTCAACACAGACTTACTTGTCGGGAAAAAAATTGTCATAGATCATCTTCAAATAAGAGTTAACAAATAATCAGATCTTGTTGATGGAGTATAATTATTAATACTGTGATTACATATCCATCTTTGCAAGGGTTTCCTGAAAAGGTCAGTTTTAAGTCTTCTATTGTCAAATCTGATGTTTGGAGTAGTTTGCTACATGGTGTTTGATGCCATATAAATAGTTACCAGATAGATGTTTATTTTATGTGCTGTATGGTTTTGTTTTCCATTCAGTCAGCTGGAATCATTGAAAGAGGTTCAGGATATTGTTGAGGAACCTTCTCTGTTTTGTGGATGTCTTCATTGTAATAGCTGGTCACTGAAATCTTGGAATAATGGCAGAGGAATCCATAGACACAGGACCAAACACCTTTCATTGTCCTCATATAGCGTGATGTTAGAGCAGAGTAGTGAGTACTTCAGTGGCTCCTGTGTCCCCGCTTTAATGAACTTTACTTAATCTACCATATGTGAGAGACTTGCAGCACAGGCAAAACAAGAGAAGTTATCTTTGTGCCTAGATCATGTACCACATATGGTAAATGACTTTCAAGCCTTAGAGACAAAAGAAGGATGCTGTAAAGTCTCAAGTCTCAGCTTGTGTCTCTGTTTCCAGCTTTCTGTTCTGGGCCAGTAATTTAAACTGGAAAACTAATGGAACAGAGAAACTGTTTGTAAGCCTATAAAAGAAAGATCAAATTGTGTCAGACTAATGTTGCTCCTTCTACACCCAGATAAACTTTTTGAGCAGAGGAGAAGCAGTGAACAGAGCTTTACTTTCATGACTTTTCATAAGAAAACATGGGAATGTGGTCCAAGACCAATTTAAAAATAGAGGTTTTGAAAACTTGTTTGGAAAACAAAACTTGCTTGGAAAACCCTATTCAGAGCTGTGAATCATTCACAGACTGCGAGGTTATACTGAATGGCATTCTCTATGCTTCTGCTCTGACTAGGTATTATTTGCTATTTCCATTTGTGACTTGAATGGGATATACTGGTTAAATTGTAGGGAAGACCTATAATGTGAGCTAACTACTGGATTGTAAAATACAATTACAATTCAAAATGAACTTGATAAGTTCAAAAGAGTTAGAGTATGATTCAGTAAATCCAAAAATTGATTTTACATATGTAAATTTTTGCACTTCCAAAGCAATAATCAGCTGAACAAAGAGAATGGGACAGGACAGGCTACTAGAGTAGCAGTGGTACAGAAGAGTACTCTTAGGGTTGTAGCCACTCATCAGCTGCATATGATTCAACAATACGCTGGAAAAAAAAACACAAACATTGTGGAATGTATGAACAGGAATGTAGTCTGTAAGATGCATGTCTTGGTCCTTCTTCCTTAGGTAATAGCAGAACACCTTTCTGGGAACGTGGTATCCAGCTGTTGTAGGCACTGCACTCCATGGAAAATGTGAAGAAAGTGGAAATAATCCAGAGAAAAGCAATGAGAGGGATGACAGGATAAAAAATGAGCCTTGTTTTAAGGTGATGAGAGAAAAGTGTTTTTCAAATCTGTAAGAGAGCCACAGAGAAGAAAGAAAGAAACAGTTCTCACCATTGCAGGTAGGACAAGAAAAATAGGTTTAAGTTGTTGCAGGAAGCCTTTAGCTTAGGCATCAGAGTGGGTAATTGTCCTTGGCAGTAGGAAGAATTAAGCTGTAGCATGCACTTCCTGGAGAGATCGTGGAATCTATGGAATTCGATTTTAAAGGGAATATTTGTAGGCATCTTTTGGGGCTGGTGCAATTGTAGGTTGGAGGTGCTGGGGATAAGGCTAATGGAAATCCCTACCAGCTCTTTTGTTTTTTTTTCTCTCCTCCACTCTAAGGCCTTCTGCAAGGAGTCAGAACCACTTTTTGGAAGTAAAACTCTGTACTGGCAGAGGTCCTGTGCTTGACCTTAAGGCTCAGAGCCATGCATTTCCTTTTTCATCTTTTCACTTAAAATAGCACTTGTGGTAGTAATAACATGCTCTTGCGGAGTGGCACAGGTCTGCATGGTTATGAACTTTCCGTCACCACCCAGCAAATGGCATTATCCACTCTTCTGTTTCAGATTTTCAGGAGTACTTCATTACTCCCAAATTCCTGATTGAATATGACCAAAAACTTCAACACATGTTTTTAGTGCACGAAGTGTACTTCATACAAATGTGTGGGATTGTTGCACACAACTTACTGATTTTTCTTCACTGTGTGCACATGTGCTCTGTGATGATACAGAGTTTGGGGTGACTGAACTGTTACCCAGTCTTTACAGAATTAGGGCAGCAATCTTAAACCTTCACTTGAACTTTTGCTAGAGATGATCTTCTATTTTGTTTAGACAGAGTTCTCCGCTTGCTTGCATTTGTTCTAAAATGACAGTCTGGACAAGAAGAAACCAACCAGGGCTGGCACTGCCCTGCCTTTTATTCCCTGGATACTTTACTTGGCACCTCACTTGGCACACATGCAATACCCTTTTTTCACCCCGGTACCCAAAGAAAATACGTGCTCCTGCACAGACTCCAGCCAAGTTCCTGCCTGCCAGTGGAGGGTGTTACAGAGGCTTGGGGCAGAGGGAGGAAACTCACTCCCGAAGCATATACTAAAAATAGGTCAATGCATTGCAAACAGCTTTGCTGTGAGAGCTTCCTTCTGGCATGCAGCCATGCAGCTGCCTTATAGTTTTGAGCCTAGATACCTCCAAAACAAAACAAAAAGTCACTAAAGTTAAATGCAGCCAGCAGTGCTTATAGTCTTGATAATCCCTACAGTGTATCAATTTTAGTTTCTTCCAGAGTGCAGGTAGCTTGCTCAATTTAACTTCAAATGTCTGAGTTACACCATTGGCAATCCCTGAAGTCTGCCAAGTTCAAAGCAGGGAGGAGGCCTTTAATCTAAAGTTGAAATACTCGGGTGATATGTCCAAAAAGTTTTCCTGTGGCTTTCCTGTGGAGTAGGAACTGCAGTAGCTAGGTTACAAGAAGTTTTTAAACTCTCCAAATTGCTGCTAACTAAACATCCTTAAATCCTGACATGTGAGTATGAAATGAGAAAGTCAGTTCCTTAATTTAGACTAGCTTGAAAAGAGTAAACTTTTTTTACACAAGACTCCCTGGACAGTTGGGCTGAATAATAGAAGTGATTCATTCAGGTCTTGATGCTTACAAGTTTCTTGGGTTTTGCCATATTTTCCAGTGATTTGTGACAACATTTTGCCCTAAAATAAATCGCATCATGTCCTGCCATATGTTTTGACTATGAAAATGGAGGTTTCAGTTTGAATACCGAGCTTTGTTGTTGTTTCTTTCAAAGGCTGTCGATCATTTAGATACAAGCTTCACGTTTTCCTTTATCGTGATTTCTCATTTGCATCAAGAATATTTTCCAAAATAGTAGTTAAATCCCTCCGATGATTTTCAGCTATGTCACATAAATCACTGAAAACACGGAGAAAAACACCTGTGCAAAATTACCTTTTTTTTGGTCTAATATTCAGCTTATATTTGAGTCTTCTGTATCCAATTATCTGATTTGTGTGGCAATGAAACAGAAGATCAGCATCATTGTACTTCACATTCTTTTTAAACTCATCAGTAGAATGACCACACTAGTTGGTCTGTAAGTTTGTAATTTAAGATGTGCCTGGAAGGGGTTCAAAGAGACAGGAGCTGCAGTGTGTCTCACTTCCCTTTGGAAAGCCTTTCTGAAACTGTCAAGCAATATTTACATCAAAAAGGAACTGAATTCTGGTAAACTTTTCCAGACTCCAAGTAAACCAAACAACCTGAGATTTAGATAAACCTTGGTGGATTTAAAAACTTGATGGTATCACTGTCTAAGACTTGTGTTAGCCCATCAGATATTACAGACGTACATTTTGAGGAAAGGCTTTCAGTTAATAGATAAAATTAAGAGCAGAGTTTTGGCAAAACTGCCATCTCTGTTCAGTACTTCATGGCCTCTTAGATTTCTGCAGTTAGAGGTACAGGTGCTCTGTTAGCAATTAACCTGTGCTGTTAATTAAAATGTACTGTTTGCTAAATATGATTAGTGTCTGGAGCCAGGTAGCTTGAAAAAGCTTCAAGATTATCTCTTTTTACCAGGACCATCAAGTTTTTAGCCCTCTCTTTAGAGGAAGGTTCAGAGGAGGCCCTATTTTCTCTGTCCCAGAAGAAAGGCTATTTCTCCCCTTAGAATGGGGCTTGGCAGTCCTTTTCAGAGCACTTCCCATCCTTGTCTCATAGGGATTTTTAAGGACAGATTTCTGAAAGGATTTTCCACCGGGAAAAGTGGGATCCTGAATGGGTGATAGATAATACATAGGAATTCTGGCTCCCTACTACCAGGTTGTTTATCTTGAGATCTTAAAAATGGACTTATTTCCCTTTTTAAGTGTAAACTGAGTTCTTAAGGCACCTTTTCCACTGGAGTATCTGACTTTGCCCTTATTGCCCATCTCAGTCTTGCACATTTAACTCAAGTTCAGATCCAGGGTCTGGTGTTATTCCTAGAACAGCTCTTACTGTTTGAGGATCTGAATGACTATTTTGCCAGCTTGTGCCATACAACTCGAGAGGACCTGCAAAGGGGAGGGGAGTCCTGATGGGCAGTTCCCTCCCAGCCTGGCGTGCGCTTCGTGTCTCCGCTTCCCTTATAATCTGCCCAGAAAAGATTTCTGAGATACTTGAGCAGCTGCCACAATCTGCATGGGAGGCAGCAGCCTTGGCATGTGAGCTCTGCCACCTGATGCCCGGTCTGTGCTGAGACAGTGCCAGCTGGATCTGCAAGCCTCAGCGAATACAGCCTTCGTCAGCGAGTTCTCTGATCAGATTGCTGCCTTGGAGCCTTTTGCTGGTCTTCCTCAGTTCTTCTCCCATTGCTCAGATAGCCTTACCACCTCCTCTCAGCATCTTTTGAGTTTCTATCCTCACGTTACAGCCAGGTAAGCCCATTTATCCATGCTGATATCAACAGGTTCCAGATTTTTTAAAAAACGATCCTGTCTGGCTCACAGCTAGGGAGCCTCTAGTGACACAGCTAAGTCCTCTGCAGCCATTTAGAAATATTTCTGGAGGGATGCAGGTACGTCTTGCACTCAGGTGCCTAATGAAAGCAGATTAACCTGTTCATTCCTTCAAAAGCAACTAAGCAAAGTGGGGAATCCCATGTCTCTGCCCCACTTCTGTGTTCCTGACAGCAAGACCTCCTGCCAGCACCAACCCCCTGTGTTTGGAGTCAGCCAGCCTTCCGTTCTGACTGAAGTTGAAGGTACAGTACAAACTGTTGGCTAGAAGAAGCTGCTTGACTTTAGCAAGCGTGGTTCCCACGTATAGCCCTTCTCCCAGAAGGCCATTTACACCTGTGTGATCCTCAGAGTTTGCTGCACAAGCACATCGTAATGTGGATGTTTGTCCACCCCGTGCTCCCCGAGATTCCTGTAACATCTAATTCCAGTTAAACTGGCAGAGTAATGTGGCTGCCATCAGTCACATTAATTTGACAGAGTGTCACATAGAAGCTGTTGGGTTCCACAGGTTTCTGGAAAAGACTCTATTGATACAAGGGCTAATGAATGAAGGGAACAGGAATTTGCCTTGTTACTGGTACAGAGAAAAAGCAACTCTCAGGAATGCTCACTGCATAGTGAAGGAAACAGTCTGGGTTTCCTAACAGATCTTGTCCCTGCTCTTTGTCCTGCTTTGCTTTTGCGAGGCAAATGTCATTTTGGTACACCTGGCTTCCTCTTCCATTTGAACCATAAGGCCAGAAAAATAGCGTTTCGCAGTTTCAATTACAAGTAAAAGTGGAGAGATTTCTCTGTGGCCGTGATGAAGACAGAACACTTGCACACTAAATTCATATTTTGATGAACACTATGTAACATCTAGTAATATATTCCTTTCCGATTTTTCACTTGATTAAAAATGCCGGTGCTTATATCAGGATCACAGTTTGATAAGCCTTGAGTTCTCCATTTTTGCTCATTTTGTCTGCACAGACAAATCTCAGTTGTTAATCTGCTGAAAAATCATTGTGCTCTTTGCTTTTTTAGGAGGCTTGTCTTGTGAAAAAAAAAAAGCACAGATAAATTCTGCTGATTCCTTCTGAGTCACCCAGCAGCAATGGCAAAGCTAGGAGAAAAAATGGGGTCACAGAGGGATTGATGAATGGACAGTGAGTGACCTGAAGATCTAACTCAAAGGACGCTACTTCAAGTGCAAGTGTCTCCATATGCTAAATGCTGAGTTGTTGTCTCCAGGTACCCCACTGTTGGGGTATCATGGTTACCAAGCACGGTTTTAGTAAGTCTGTTAGAAAAGTTACATACAGCCAACACTCATACAGGCCATGATTTGCCAGGCCTGAGCTCTGAGGTATTCCTGGACGGTTAGAGAGGATAAAATAATTTAGAAATCAGGAAACCACTCAGAGACAAGCCATTATTTATTAAACTATTTTGTCTTCTAAAAGCTGTGCATTCCAGAGAAATCACAACATTGGCTCTCCAACCTTTTTGCATCATCTAGCTAGAAAATGTGCAGCTTCCAGATACCGCCAGATCACCTCCCTTGACCCTGCCCTCGAAATATCAATGGCTCCCATACCAGTAAGAACAAAACTGGTCATATACTAAATCCGTTGCTGATCTCAGCTAACCAACTTCCTGTAATATCAGCAAATATTTCTGCTTTTGTAAATCTGTTCTTCCTTCCATAATGGGGTGCCAGCAGGAATGCTTGGGATCCAGAAATGCGCTGGTTGGCAGGAAGAACAAAGAAATTGCTCACCCAGAAGGGTAAAAAAGGACTAATGCTTTTGTTCGCTTGGGAGAAGTTGCACAGAACTTATGCCAATAACTTTTGCACGCAATCAGAAAGCTGGCGCTGGATGTTACTTTTAATAGCAGATGTTAATATCAGTCATTAATTAGAAACGTCTTCAGTAACTAGAATAAAAGTAGATCCTGAAACACTCCTGTGGTTGAACAGTCTCTTGACAGATACTGCCCACTGTCTGGTAATGTCAGGCCCTCTCTGAACTTGACAGGGCAGCTGCTGTTTTTCCCAGCCTTCTGGAAATAGGCCAGCTGTGACATGTTTCTGATATTAGCTGGGTGTATTTCATTCTGCTGCCCCAGGCAGTTTGATAAAGGCTCCTTCCTCCCGCTCCAGAGCTAACCCACCCGAACTGTAGCCGAGCACCTCGCTGCAACAGAACTGCACTCGCTAGGGCTCCTGCCTGTTTGCTTCATTAAGATCTGTTTAAACTGTTTCATACAAAGGAACACTCAAACTGATTTCTGAGCCCAAAGTAGCAATGCTAGGTGTACATCAGGAGTTGTTTGGCGTGAAGAAACATTGCCATGGCACTGTATGAATAAAGTTATTAAGAATCATTATCCCTTCCTCGATACCAAGTCTTCATGCAGCAGAAAATAAAACTTGGTCTCCACCCTTACAGAAAGCAGAGGAATGCCTTCAGCTGATACGTTGCTAAAGCTAGAATATAAGAAACCATGAATTTCTGTGTGCACTGCTGCTTTGCCCTTCAGTCCAGACCTACAGAAAAAAATGACACTTTTGCTAGCATTTTTTTTTTCCTTCCCGTATGAGATCAGTGGAGCTATCCAGGCACTTCCGTTCTTATAATTTTACTTCAAGATCAAATTTTCTCCAGGCAGTTAAAGGCAGCACCCGGAGACCTCGCTCAGCCTCCCCTTGCATCCCACGGAGCTGCGTTTAGTGAGAAACCTCCCCTACCCGCCCCGAGGTGACGGGCTGCAGGGGACCCCTTCCCACACGTGTCCCCGTCCCTTTTCTCAGTGCAAACGCCCCCACCGCCGCCTGAACCCTCCTCCAGGGTCTGTGGGTTCCCAGCTCCCGTAGGCGGGCAGCGGGAGGGGGCCGTGCCCGCCGGCCTGGGGGCTCCTCACAGGGACCGGGCCCGGGGCGGAGCGGGCGGCGGCGCCGCGGCCATGTTGAGGGCGGGGAGCGCGGAAGGCGGCGCCGGGGCCGCTGCGGGGCGCGGCGCCTCCCCGCTCCCCGCCGCTCCTCGCCGCCCGCAGCCGCACCGGCCCCGGCCCCGGCCCCGGCGGGCCGCGCCATGGCGACCCCCAGCCCCTGCATCGTGGTGAGTGCGGGCCCGGCGCTGCCTCCTCGGCTTCCCGCTGGGCCCGGCGTGCGGGAACGGGGAGGGGGGAGGCGGCTGCGGGCTGCGGGGAGCCGGCGGGGGCCGCCCGTCCCCGTAGGGGCGCCCCGCGTGGAGTCACCTTGAGGGGTTCGGGCTCCCGCTGCCCTGCCCGGCCCTGCCCGGCCCCCTAGCGCCCCTCCTCGGCTGCCGGCTCGGTCTCGCCTCCTGCCCGGTGTCCTGCCACGGGGCGAGGGGCCGGCGGGGTGTTGGCAATGCCGGGGCGCTGCTTGGGCGGCTCGTGGTTGGGAGAGCCGGGGGTGCTGCCTCCGAAAGCGCCCAGAAATAACTTCCACCAGAAATAACTTCCACCAGGCACCGACCCGGCGTGGCACAACTTCCTATTCCTGTTGCTCCTCAGAGCGCGCTCAGGAGATCGTGCTCCGTGTACCAAAACCCGAACCGGGGATGCCTTCTGGAGGAAGAACCCGCTGAGGGTGTATTTTTCACCATCGCTGTGCTCTCCTAAGAATCCTTTTTTTTATTATTTTTTTTAAACCCAGCCCCGGGTGCTGTGAGCGACAGCGGTAGCGTGACACGCATGTGGCGCCTCGCGGCCCACGGCCATGCCTGCCGTCAGGCTGTGCCTGCGCGCCTGCCTTTACTTCCTCGCTAAAAATCCATCCGTAGAAGCCACCGAACAGCCCGCTCCGTACCAAACATAGCCTGCAAGGCTTAGTGGATGTGCTAGATGTAATTATGGGGCTGAACCGTAGGAAATTTCCGTAGCTGCTGAGAGGGACCCAGCTCCTGACACGCAGCAGATCACGGGCTCGGTGCCTGGCCTGCTGCGAGCACGGGCTGTGCAGGGGCTGCTGTGGCTGGGAGGGCAGGCCTGGCTCCTGGCCGAAATCCTCATTACCGCTTGCGCAACCAAAAAACATGTAAACAGCTGGCTGATCACAGGCAAGGTAAGTGCTTCCTTGGGCACTGAAATGGAAGAGTGATCTGCACAGGCAGCGTGGCTGAGGTGGATGCTTACCATGCCTGCCCCGCTGCGCTGCCAGCAGCAGGCTTCGGTGTTCCCCAAAAAGTTCTTTTTACACCAAGCAGCCTTCAGCTGCGTAACCAACAAGTGAAGCGATTCAAAATATATTGTCATTTTCAAGTGGCAGCGGGGCTAAGCTTCAGGGAAAGTTTTTCTTGGTGCTTTTGTGACAATATGCCCCGAACTGCAGCAGTAGTTGTATAATTACATACAAAGGCAAACCCCTTGTCCTAATTAATACACTCCTGCTAATGTTGCAAGCTGTTTCATGTGGAGAATCTGCCCGTGCGGAACAGGTTGCTGAAGCAGGGCTTTAATTTCTGGTTCTGAAGATCTTGAACCTCCACTGTTTCCAGATTGTGGTCAGAGAAGGCTTGTTTCATAGGCACATAACTTGTCCCGTTAATATAGCTGTCTTGTCTTGTATTGACAGCTGGCTCGTGTGTTTTGTTGTGATTCGGTGTTGTGGAGATCTGGAAGATGTCCCTGTTACAAGGTCTGCTTGCTTAGTTGCAAAGGCAGGTTTTGCATTACACTGCTGAAATCAGAGATGTTGAAAAGCAGAAAGCTGCTTGATTCTTGTTTATTTATTTATTTTCAAATGAAATAAGATTATTTGAGGTGTAGTAATTTCATTTTCCCCCCTCTCCAATGGGGGGAAATGTTGTTAGGGCTTGAAATTATTTCCCCTCCACATCGTGCTGAGTGACAGCTCATGTAGCATTTCAGACAACTCTTGTGAGCTGTGGGTTCTGCAAGCTTCCACTTTGTGCTCTGTTCAGAAGGAAAATAAGGTGATCCCAACGAGTGTAATGGATTTGGTAGTTTATCGGGTAAAGCAAAGGATTGGCAGTTTCTCACTACAGGCTTTCTATAAGACTTTGTAGAAATCTCACCTTATTTCCTTTTCAGATTCGCGATGATGAACAAGGTTACGACCTGGACTTGTTCTGCATACCTAAACATTATGCAGATGATTTGGAAAAAGTCTATATTCCTCATGGGCTCATCATGGACAGGTTTGTTTGACTTCAGACAGTACACTGCTCCAGCTGATTCCATGACACTGGAAAAAACAATCTTCCAGTGATAGTTTTGCTGCCTGGTGACTGTCTAAACAGATTACATTTAATTAGAGACTAAGAAATACACGTGTTAATTAACTCTTTCTTGTTTGGCTTCAAAGAGTTTGTACGTTTGCAGTTACGCTATTGTTTGGAAATTTGTCAATTCTCAAAGAAATTTGTGGTACTTAGCAGTCTGCGACTTTCTTTACAGTGTTTCTTTGATGTTTTACTTAAAGTAATTAGAACACATTACTTGTTGTGCTAGTTCAATCTAAAAACAGTTACAGTCTCTCAAATATCTTTAGGATGTTAATAAGAGTAGATTATTAATCACATTATGATAAGACTTTTTCACGTTCATGTGGTAGATAACTAACACCCGATTTTCCCCTACTGTCTGCTAAAGACATTAGCCTTTGCAAATACCAATCTGTCACTTGTGGTTGCTGAAATGTATGATTTTCTCTGGAAGTTTTATCTCATGTGATGAGAAATGGGTACATGAACCTGTAAGGTGTTTTTGTTTTACTTTGTGTTTGATACTTGCCTAATTCCTTTTAACAGAATGAGCAACAAATTCAGTGGAGGAGTTGCTGGAGACACAGAACCACTGAAAAGCGGTTCTGAGTAGATCTTGTGAATAGGAATGCTTCTAGATTTTGCATGGTGCTGTTTGATTAGATTATTACAGTATTTATAATAAAATGTTTTTTAACTACACTGAAAGACCCTATGTAGGAAAAAATTGGACAAAGTACGGGTCATTAAGTAGCTGATGTAAAGTTTCTAATGGCAGGCATTCTTTGAGAAACCTGCTGTCAGCTGCTATACTGTAAATACATACCATGCTTTCTGAAATAAATTGAAAGATAAATTTAGAAACAATGATCACTGAAAAACTGTTCAGTGTTCTCTTGCTCTGCTTTATTGGCATTATATTTTGCAATCAGGACAAATTTATTCAGCAAAACATAAAGCTATAGTTGATAATTTGAGAGTTTTCTTGCTCCTCAGTTAGTGAGAGCTGCTGTCTTTTTGGTTGTGCTGATTTATTTTGCTCTTTGCATGGAAGCTGAACCTATCTTTGAAAGAAGAAAACACCCTTATGTCTCTTATCTGACGGTAAAACAATTCAGGGTGTTCAGATTTGCTTTGGCTGAGTATGATGTATGAAAACAAAGAAGTTTGGCAGTGTTACTGTTAGATTAACCTTGGAAAGCAAAACTTTGTTGACCAATAGTGGGTTAAAGTGACTGAAGTGGTAGGCAAATATTTCCGAGCAAAATATGCTTCTGAGTTTGCATGTGTTTGCTGTTGTTGTTTGCAATATAAAATACTGCTGCTATAGTAAGCAAACTAAATGTGTTACGACAGCTAACTTTTTTTTTTTTTTTTTTTTTTTTTGTATAGGACAGAGAGACTGGCACGAGAAATTATGAAGGGCATGGGAGGACATCACATTGTAGCTCTCTGTGTACTCAAGGGTGGCTATAAATTTTTTGCTGATTTATTAGACTACATCAAAGCACTGAACAGAAACAGTGACAAATCAATCCCCATGACTGTAGACTTCATTAGGTTGAAGAGTTACTGTGTAAGTATCTCTGCAATACCGTGCAATTTTTCTGTAAATTTGACTAACTTCAAATTAACAACAGGGATGATTGAGTATTGTCACTAAATATTGCAAAAGCTTTGCCTAAGTACTGCCTAAATTGTGTTAATTTTATATAAATAGTTAAGACAATTAAGAGGAAAAAAGCAGTCACAAGCTAACTTGTTCTTTGTCTATCTTATATGATCTGGTTTCTTTCAGACTTTATCTCCCTCGGCCCAGTAAAATCCAGAACAAAGAGACCCTTTCTGTGTCCTTTACTTCTTAAACAATTTCCTCTCTGCCCCCTATCCCACCTCTAAAACTGTGGTTCTAGAATAATACAGAGGATAGTCCTACAAATCTTATTACAAAAACTTCATTCTAGGAATTTTCATGTGGCTTAGACATCACTCACCAGCTAGGAAGACTTGAAAACTGCGAACATGGTTACACTTGGGTTCCCTACCTCATCTTTTGTTTGGCTCAACTGAACAGTGAACGAAATGAATTGCATTTGGCCATGAGGAAATACTAGATTCATAAAAACAGATTTATGGTTAGCAGCCACTGAATATGGTGCTACCTTTTAAAGCCTAGGTCTAGGTTGCCTTGGCTTTATGATTTTGGAAAAGAATTTATTTTCATTTTGAACACAAGTATTTAACTTTATAGGGAAATGGAGTATGAGGTTGTATGTAAGATTTTTATAAGGGAAGCATTAGATTACATTGTGCAGGGCAAAGGAGGAAGCAGATGTATGTTAGTACTGCATGCTTCCCAACTCAGCAACAGCCTAGTCTCGTGTTTTCAAGACAGTATTTGTGGGTAGTTTAGATTTCTTCCATAAGATCACTTGTAGTGTGGAAATAATTAATTTTTTTTATTTCAATTTGTGGTGTCAAAATAAATTGCTTCTTAAGGTCCTGCTGTTAATTCTGTGTCTCAATGACCATGTTTTCCAGTCAGTAGTATAAGCTACTTGTTGTGGTTGTGGAGGAGTGCCTGCTGCAGTAGAAAAAAATAGATTACTAAGTTGGAAACTCAACTGCATTGTTCATTTAATTAAACCAGAGATAGGGTTACTTGCAGATTTAGGTTGGACTGTAGAAGAGCTTCATAAATGCGCTGCTGCTGTTGAGCGATCTGTAAAAACTTCACCTCGTAGTGTGGCAGAGCTCAGACCAGTCAGAGTTTGGCCAGGCCTGTTTGCAGAAGAGCCGTGCCAGCTCCCGAGGTGTGTGTGCAGTGATGTCCTGGGGCTACCTGGAAACCACCGTCATGTCTGCAGAGCGTGCTGCAGTGACTCAGCTGCACTCTTTTAAGAGAAGGCAAGGCCAGGCAGAAAGGGACATGCCAGCCTTTCGTTACATCTTGCAAGGGGAGAGCTGCTTGACACACTTTCTTTCTGCTCCTCACAAAAGATTCAGGCTCCCTCTACCAGTCCATTCAACCACAAAGCCACTACGTGCCCACATACGCTGTCTGTAAAAGCCACAACAGAAAGGTGAATGCCTCTATTAGAGGATAATATTTGAAAGAATAGGAAATAACTCCCACCTTTTTTGGCGAGGAAATTTGTATTTTCTGCTTTCTTCAAGGAACACATCCAATAACTTTGTTGATTTATTTAAAATATAAGGACTACACCCTTTTGCTCTCTCCACCTTCCAAGTAACTTGGAACAAACTATGGGATAAGTGTTGTGAAACACCTGGAAAAAATACTATGTTGCAAAGCAAGGCTTATTGTACAGCATGTTTTCATTGTTCATCTTTATGCATTAGGCATGTATTGGTTCTGCTGCTTTTATTTTTTACACCGCCCCTCCCAAACTATAGTGCTTTTATATTAATAGGAAAATGAACAGCAAAATAATTACGGAAGTTTTAATTCTCTTTTTGTAGTAAGAAGGAGTAAACAAAGAGAAAAGCAGAGAAATTTACACAGAAAGGAGTGTAAGCAGAATGTTTTCCATGAGGTGTTGGCTTCAGGGTTTTAGTTTTGTCAGCCAATTCTGTAAAGGAATGTTTTCTTGTTCTATATGACCGAGGAGCTCCAGTTACTTGATGGCCCCACTAGCAGATTATTACGAGCATTTCATTTCTGTCAACTCTCTTAGGTAGTTATTAATATCCAGACTTACGTTCTTTAGATTGCATAACTTGATAGACTGGGTAAGACTGTCCTAACACAAACATGCGTGTAATTGATTCACTTAGTTTTCCATTATTAATGGTGCTGGAATGTTAAATCTGCTCTGTAGTTTTCATTCGTGCTTTACTAAATGGAGGAGTCAGCATTCTTAGTGATGGGAAAACCATCACAAACCGTAATGGACAGTTGAAAGTAGAGCTAGCTCTCTTGTGATTGTTTTTGGATGCAATTACTAGATCACGCTGCCTGCCTTTACAGACTGGGTAAAAGATGTTAAAAATACCATTGTTGCATAAACAAAGCAGCTGAACTCGTATAATGGTTCTAAAATTGTTGTGATTGATGTTCTATTCCTATTTGAAATTGATCATTTAATATTTTCAAGCTTATGGGTTATTTGTTTCATAATGCAAAGTTCATGCTATGATTGCACCCAAAAATAATTCTCTAAGAATACTGAGATGATGAAGCTGTGATTAAATGTTACTTATAATTCCTGCTTTCGGAGTCCTTACAAATGAGTTTTAATGATCTGGCAAGCTGTTAAGAAATTGAAAGATAGTGTTTGTGAACAGAACCAGATCTCTGTATTCTTGACAAATAGTTTATTTTTCTTGTGCTAGAAGAATGGCTTTTCACCAGTTTCCTGCATGTAAAGTTAGAGTTAAGCAAAAGTTGCTTATGTAGTCACAAAGGGCAGCCAAAACACAATGGACGTGTTGCATTGTCACTCAGGAAAATAGGGCTTTTTGGAGGAGTACTGCAGCTTTAAGGCAAAATCTAGTTAGGCTGGTTGAGACAGTATTCTGAAAGATCTTGTGTTAACTGAGCCTTATAGCAAATACCATGAGGAACTTAAAATGCCTTGTCAGGGGTTACGATCTTGCAGCACGTTATTATTTTCCAGCAATGACAATGAGGCAGTGAAAACAGATCTAAACAGTAAATCTCTAATGTGTTAAATCACAAAGCATTAAAGTCTTACCAGTACTGAAATCAGAAATAATGCTCCTGAAGATAATTAAAGTGTTGCTTAATTATTAAACAAAGTTCTTTCCAATGGAAATCTGGTTAAAACCAGTGTTGGAAATTCGTTAACCATTTTTGATCCTTTAATTGCTCAGAAACTCAGTACCTGCATAGGAATGTAGGTTTATATGCCAGTGAAGGTTTATGTTTTGTGTTAAAAAATGTAGCAATTTGTAGGGTGCTTGGTGGGAAGGACAAGGGCAGATTTTGTTGGTTAGATTGTTTTTCTCTGCTGATCAGTATACTTGAGTATGCATAACCCACAGGGTTCTGTAGTGATCTGTAGTTCTGTGTTGTTATTGTTTGATTATAGTGTGTTGCTTTGTAGCCAGAGAGATCACCAGGAAACTGATCTGCATGCATGTAATGAGAGGACTGGTCTATCATCTGTGCATGTTGTTTTAATGGAACAAATATCTGTAACATCTTTCTCCGTCTTCCTTCTGTAAGAAATGGTGCTTTTTACATCCTTCCATGGAAAAAGGATGAAATTCTTATTCGTGTAGGAATAGATAAGAGAGAATCCTGCAACATGAACAAGGAAAAGCTTAAAGCTGTCATTTAAGATAATTTTAAGATATGATGAACACAGGAAATGCCCCTCAGCATTACAAACATGGTGCTTAACTGAATCCCATTTTCGTGATTAATCTAACCAGTATCTCTGGCATTCAGTATAAGTCTGCTATTTACTGGGTCAAGCAGCAGACATTTTGGACATCCTATTTTTGGACTTTTTCAACACAGTGGTATTGGTTCTGTTCACTATAGTTTTCTTTAAAACATGGGGTAAAACTGTAAAGGTGCTTTTTCTAATGCTTTGTGCTTGCCTTTTTTTTTTTCAATGTTTTGTCATGGGAATCTAAAATAGAAAGTATCTGTTAGTCTCGTTATCTGCTTTTACATACCTAGAGCTGTCAGCACTTCTTTATCCTAGAGCATTGACGTCACTGTCCAAGGGATTTTAATACATTTTCTCTTTACTGTAATCCCAGTGTTGCTTATGGTGTGCTCAGTGTGTGTTTCTCTCTAAACCATTTACCCCTTTTTTGTGTGTGATAACACTTCTACTTTTTGTCTACAACTGGTACAGTATGAATATGTGTGTCAGTGAAAACAGGAAGCTGTATGTGGCTGTCTGTTCCCCTGTGGTCTCCTCTCTATTGTATCTGCCATTTTGGGGCATGGGGAAGGAACTGCTCTTTTGCTGCTTGTCTGCATGGTCCTGCAGTAAGGTTGGGCTTCACACTGAAGCGGCAAAATAATAAAGGTTTTCTAAAGGGAAGATATGCAGTAAAGAGCTGTGAGAATGAAGTTTGAAAAGTGGTATGACCCTTCAAATAAATGATTAAATTGTAGGATAATGACATCATCTGTAAGTAGCACAGTAATGAGTATAGCACGATTAATAAGAACTATGAGACAATGTCAAGGTTTAAAGTCAGCTGAATGACTTTAAATAAACTGCAGAGATCTGGAGGTACCCCAGGAGTTGTTTTTAACTTTCTTATATAACAAACAGTTCACTGATGCTTACATCAAAGCCTAGTTTTACTAAAGCAAAATGCTGTACTTTAGTGATAGGATTGTGTAGCTGTGTCGCTGTTTAATTACCACAATGAGAAATTTATCACTATTTGTAAAATAGGCAAACCCAAGCTTTTCTGGCTATTGTAGCTTATATTTCTTGTTCTTAATCTGTGCCTTGTTTGCTGGATATTTCATTGTTGTTATGATTGCTTATTTTTATTCAGAGTAAGGCTTTTTAAGGCATCAAAGTTTAAAATGTAAATTACCAGCTATATAGCAGCGTACAGCTTGGAAACTTTTTTTTTTCTTGTTTTCCATACCTTTAATGTATATGTAGGAAATAATATTTTTTTATATACATGTGTGTATATAATGGTCACAGATGAGAAGTGGTGCCTGTATTTATGTAAATATTTTTTTCAAACAATCTTTTATCTGAAATACAATCTTTCAGTTTGATTACTTGTAATTTCTTAGTTAACAGATGTTGCTGGTGCAATGTTTCTGAAAGCTTTGGTATTTGTGGGTTATGTACTTTGCAGTTTTGATATTTATTAGAAGAAAAATTACTTTAATTCTGGTGATACTAATGCTTACCCTGCTCTTTCTTACTAGAATGATCAGTCAACTGGAGATATAAAAGTCATTGGTGGGGATGACCTTTCAACCTTGACTGGAAAGGTATGGCACATTATATGTTTAAAGCAACCCCTTCCCCCCCAAAAAAAAAATCCTAAAAAAAAACAACAAAAAAAAACAACAACAAACCAAAAATAACAAACCACACCGAAGAAACAAATAATTAGAGTTTTAGAAAGGAAGAAAAAAAAAAAAAAGAAAACTAATGTTTCATTTAAAATATTCACCATTGTAGAGTGGTGGGGTGCATAAGCCCCACCAGAGCCATCTTTATGAAGCATCTTTTATGAAGCATTATGAACTTCATAACATATGTGTGTATATTCACTGTCTTCAGTATAAGGAAGTGTTAGATTTGTTTTTCTGCATTGCCTAAGAATAGTCTTGTCTTGGTTGTTGTTAACAAAGTACCTTTAAAAGAGAGTAGCGTTACTTATTTACTGTGTTGGTGTTTCATTGCAATAGTGAACGGAGTTGGTACTGTCTAGACATGTAACTTGCAGGTTAGGGAATAAGGGTCCTGTTACAGGCAATGAAGAGACGGAAATGCAGAGAATGTAAATTGGGAATCTGCTTTTCTTCAGTGGCTGTGTAGAGATCATTGAGCTAGATATCTGTGGGTAAGACATTGATGCCTCCTGTTCTGTCAGAACACATGGCTTTCCCCTTCTGATTACACATAAACAGTCTCTGTCCCATTTCAGTGTAAATGACGTAGGTGTGACAAAACAGTACATAACTTTATAGTATGACATTCTCTGCATTATAAGAATTTAAAGGCCACTTTGTACTCAGCATGAGATGTTGAGGCAAGTCTCATTGTCAACTAATTGTCATTAGAGCATCAGAAATGTTAACTAAATAGAATTCACTGTTACATGTCCTAACATACGTAAATCATGATACAAATATTTAACTGCATTGAAAAATAAATTATTAAGTTATAGAAGACAATATATGTAAGAAATGCTTTATTCTTTAAATGCTAATTGATTCTTCTTGTCTTTTTTTTTTCTTTCCACCAGAATGTTTTAATTGTAGAAGTAAGTATTATGTTTCACTTTGAAGTTCTAACGTGTGACTGGCAAAAGACCTCAAACAGAAGTTGATTTTAAGTCAGAAATCCTACAGTTTCTGGTTTCAAGGTTTTTAGTTTCTGACTCTGGGCCTGAATTATGCAAGTGGTCTCTGAATTTGAAATGACCTGTGTTTTGAATTCTCACATAGCATTCAACTATACCAAATTTGACAAGGAAAATATCTGTGTAAAATTGCTTGCTGTTTGCATTTGATTTCAGTTTTCTGTGATTCTGTCAATTCTTAAATGTCTTTAAAAAAAATAATAATAATAATTCTTATTAAGAAGTAACCTGAGCAAAGTGGTACTAAGTGTGTTATTGTTCTGAGTTTATAACAGCAAACTAGGAAATTAAACTGGAGGGGTAGAAAGAAGTTCCTAGTAGGAATATCCTAAAATACATGGGAAAACAGAGCTAAGGCCAACATCTCTGTGTACAGTTTCTTTAGCGGCATGGAGAATATTGATTCCTAATTTGCATTTTGATAGTGCTAAATTCCCATTTCTCTATCTTGTCATGGTTCTTTGATACTAGGTACAATACACTTCAGTCTGATTTCCTAGTAGGTACTGTTGCTTAAATCTTGCTTCCATACCTCTTTGATGAACGATGTTGCTTACATTCAGTAAGTATGACTTTTACAAAGGATGATCTAGAATAAGATCGCTAACTTGAGGATGGCAAAGCAGAAGTACTAAACGGGAAAAATGAACGTATAGAAGTAATAATGTCTTCAGACTCCAAATAGTGGAAATGGCTTTGTTCATAAGCTATGGCAACTGATTCAGCCACCAAATGAAAGGATGTTTCCTTCTGTCATTAAATGTGTTTTTTTATGTACGTCTTTTTTTAATTTGAGAAGGTTATATTATTCCACAGGAAACACTTTTGAACTAAACTGTTTTAGTTCAGCTCTAAAACTCCTACCAAACTAGTATGTATACAGCAGTCATCTGTGTGACCGGTGGCGTCCTTTGAAGTGTATTTGCTTCAGATAGGCAGATGCATTTAATTATGTATCTGCTCCATTTCAGATGAATGTATGTCTTCAAAGTCCCAGGCAGCTAAGTAGGTTAGTTTCTCATCTGTTCAGTGAATCATCTCTCCAGTGCCTTATATTGTGCCTTATATATAATTATACATTGTCAAATATGAACCCTTTGACCAATCACCATTTTAACTGTCAAACAGTGGGGGAAAACAAACAAACAAACAAACAAAACCAAAAAACATTATTATAGGCACCAAAGCACTTAGGTTTTCCATACAGAATCCCTTTGATGTATAAAAACAAACAAACAAAAAAGAAGAAAAGAATCCCATCCCTTTCTGTGCAGGGGATGGGATTAAAATGGTGTGTCAAACATCATTTTAGTGTATATAAATAGAAACTTTAGAACTGCACCCAGATATTGCCAGTGCAGCTTCTTTGTCTTTGGATCTTTTTGGGTTTGTAATGTAAGTTGCACTTCTTTTTCCTGTAATTGCATTGATGTGTTGTTCTGAATATTTTCCCTTCTTATTTTCTTTCTGTTATATACATCTCTCTCTGAGTTCAACTGCAAGACTAATGTTACATTTATAATACTGGAATTAAACAATGTTTGTCAAATAGCTACAAGGAACACAAGCCATAAACTCTTCAGAGGGAGCCTAGAAGGTCATAGTTCAGTAACTGCTTTCAAAGTAGTAGTTATCCACAGTTTTGACTGTTGCGATCACTTTACTGAGCATCATTGCTTAAGCACAATATAGCGTTATATATCACCTGTATTTGATTATGAACGTTATTTTGTCATACTTTTGTGCTATTACGGATGAGCAATTTCTGCAGTAAAAACTTGAAAATGCTACTCTGAAATTTTTAATATTCTCACTTACATGACACTTTTATTTTCAGGATATAATTGATACTGGTAAAACAATGAAAACATTGCTGTCTCTACTCAAGCAGTACAATCCAAAGATGGTGAAAGTAGCCAGGTAAACTTCTAAATGTGATTATTTGTGCTGTATTTCAACTTCAGAATGACACACAGTGGAATAAAAAGATAATATAGAATATATTCCCATAGAGGAGAAACAGGAAGGAGCATTTCTGCAGGAGTCATATATGATGGAGTTAGAATTCAGTATTTGTTTAAACTCAACTTCTGCTTGTTGTGGGAGCATACGTTCATTAAGGCTAACAGAAATGCTCTTCTTTCCAGTCCTATTGCTTGAAAAATATCAGTGCATCAGAAAGGGATAGCTTGTGCGTGTTCAGTACATGTGTTGCCTTATATTCTAGTAATATTTGTGGGGTTTTACCACTGATCTTTAACTTAGGTTTAAAAGTATATGGAAGAATTTAAATATTTTGGGCATAAAAAAAAACCAACAACCTCTCAAGGTGGCAGGGGTATTTTCAACACAAATTTAGTTCATAAATATAAACTTTTACTAGAGATTGGGATTAAAAAAAAAGTCAGTGGTTGACATCTATGGTCACACAGTATCTGAACGTGTTTCTGTTTGCAACTTCATTTTTTTTCAGTGGTGTATCTGTGCAATGGAGACCTTTGGTCTGCCAGCTTTAATTGTAGAATTAAATTAGTTTGCACTAAACATTACTGTTTATATAGAGTATATAGTGTAGCTGAGCCTCAGAGGTCATTCTGTGAGTCACCCAGCCATATGCTCTTTTAGGCTTTTCTACTTAGTTGCATCTTTAATCAGTTAGTTATGAAACGTCTTCTAATTAAATAACTTACAGTTAGTAAGAAATGTTGAAGGTAATATTAACCAATATCAACATTCCTCCTACTTCTTTTTAAATTGCATCTTTTACGCTCCTATGCTGTGATTGTGTATTTTACAATAAAAGCATAATGATTGCTGGGGATTAGAGATAAACCAGAGCTGTGTGTAAAATCTAATCAGTTGTGTTGCCATAACAATGTCAAGGCGGTTGTTAGATGTACTAGAGCAGCTCTTCTTGATGATAATGTGGGGATGACCTGCTGAAGGTGAGGTTTTTGTTTGTTTTTTTCTCCGTGGCCTGCTTAAATGTACCAGATTTTAAATATTTGTCACTGAATAGTACCTTAATGCTACAGTGTACATCAGAAGTAGAATACAGCATGAACAAAGCCTAACTTCTGATTGTTTAAACCTGTTGCGGTTCAGGTCTGCCAAAGACCTGAGCAAGTAAACGTGATCATGCTGGATAGGTTTAAGTGTTATGCTGTTAGATAGTTCACTTGCCTTTCTTTTCTTAATTTTGTTTTCTTTCTCTCTGACAATTAAGCAGTTGTAGCAGGGAGATGTGAATTAATGCTAATGTGATTTTGGGTTGGTTTGATCAAGTCTTATGCCAATACTCAAATTAAGACTCTCAACTAGAAGTTTCAGAAACTGAATGTCTAAAGACAGACAAATGTCAGGATGATGGGGTCATCTTCTGAAAGTGCGCAACTGAATAATGAGTGAGTCAAATTAAACTAGCAAGGTATTTCATTCTGCTACAGTACCCCCAACTCTGTATGTCTGTGCTTTTTACACCTCTGACTATTAATTCTGTGAAAGTGGAGCTGGTTTATATCAGCTTATGATCATCAAAACCAATTACATTTTCTGTATGGGGGTAATTAGTACTACCAATGGAAAAACAGCTGAGGACATGTTGCACAAGTGCAATTGAGGTTACGTTTAACCAGCTGAACTTTTGCTTCATAACACTAACGCTTTTGAAAAGATCTCAGCTGGTCTGGCTAGATCCCAAGTTGTCACCTCTTTACCTGCGAGCTAAACCAATTGCACCTGAGGTTTCTAAAAACACATAAAACCTAATTAAGTCACTTCTGGCAATGAAAATCCTTCCAGTAAAGTATCTCACAGCCTCTTTCCTGCAAACATTTTGTTTATCCCTTAGGCTGTAAACCATTCATGATTCTAGGAAGTTTTGAGTTTGTCTATATGATCAGCTGCACCTGCAAATGAATAATATGTTTAAAATGTATATAGTTATGCTGTCAATTATGCACATGTAGTCTCACTGAAGTGGAATTCAGCTAATCTTCATAACTGTTTCATATAATTGAACCTGGTGTTTTTCCATGTTTCAGTTTTACATTGTTTTTATTTGACAGTTTGTTGGTAAAAAGAACTCCTCGAAGCGTGGGATATCGGCCAGACTGTAAGTGACTTTTTGACACCCATTATCAGTTTTTAAAAATATGTTGTATATATGTTGATGTATTGTGTACTCTTTGGTCAAAGTCCAAGGGTGTTCCAAGTAAGTTTTCATGAATGGTTTTTGATTTATTTTGCTCTTATTTGGGAAGTTTAAATATTTGGAATGTATTTTGACAGAGTTAATACAGATTTGGTCTAGTCTTTTTTTTCTTAACTTTTTGTGGCATTTTATTATACAGAAAGGAAACTTTGATATTTTGGTCCAAGTTAATCCCTCTTCATATGGAAATTCTCCTAGCTTGCACGTTAATCAAACGGTTTGTTCAGCAGAATCTGCTGGATTCATCCTTGACACTTTTGGGAGTGTTCCAGGTGCCTAAACATAGCCACCCAGTGCCACTTGGATGTCCCCAGAAATGTAATGGGACCACACAGGGTAACAGATCTGACCAAAGTTTACAGTGGTAAGATGTTCAAAATAGCACAAACCCAATCTTGTTTAAGCATCTGGATTACTCTTGTCAGTGTCTTCTTGTCTGTCCCAAGACCGTAAAGGAAGGAATAGCATCCAAAGCACACGAGGGTGTCAGTGATAGCCCCTCTTGGCTTGGAAAGGGCTACGTGTGCTATCCCTGTGCCAGAGGTTGATTTCCTGTTCATGTGGACTGTGCACTTTCGCAATGGAAGTTTAGCAGAATTGCATCTTCTTCCCCCTCCTTTCCAAGTTTGCACAGTATTCTTAGATTGAAATTTCTCAGTGCCTTGAAAGCTTAATTCAGGTGCTTCCCTCACTCGAGGATGCCTCTCTTTCCTGAGATCTTATTATGGGTTTAGCTGGGTTAACAGTCTGCCTTTCTGAGCATCTTGCAGCAGATGACTTGTTTTGCCATCTGTCCAGAGACGACCTGTTCAGTGCAGAACCCGTGAGCTCTGAAGGCAAGAGACAACGCAGCAGTAGTGCTTGGGCCTGCCTTCTATCCGTGTATCATGAGGCCAAGTAGACTCTAAACATTGCCTTATTTTTTCCAGAAGCGTACACAGTCTTTCACTGGAATTGTGTGATTTATCTCCGTTTTTTTCGTTACTGAGCCTCTCTGTAACCAGGGAGAGAGAAACAGCATAGCTCAGGAGTCATTCATTTTTAGCATGAGGAGAGAAAGCCTTCTGGAAACGTCCCTACGTTGTCTTACAGTGTATGTGGATGGCTTGGACTGATAACTTCTTGACTATCCAAGGACTGTCCTGCTAGAGCCATGTCCACTTGGACAATCTATGGAACAGCTGATGTGTTTTTTTTAGGCAGCTTCTATGGGAAAAAAAACTGAAACAAAACACAACAACAAAAAACCCACCGGTTTCTGAAAAGTGCAAGTGACACCATAAATAAGAGAGCACCTTTTACCCTGTGGTCTTCACTGTTCTCTATACCAAGGGCTTGGCACTTACAGCGTGCTGCTCTGCAGAGCTGTCCCGCAGTCAGAGTATGTCCTGGTACACCAGGTTGTTGTCCACGAGCAGCCAGAGGGGAGTGAGTTTTGTTTGGGCACTGCCTCAAAGACGAAGGACTGGTTCCCCTGCAGTAACTCTGGTTCCTCCTGGTGTTGACGTGTTCCATGCTTACTCTCCCAGCTCTTCACAAAGAGCCCAGTTGGACTTGCACATCTGTAGTTTTGAGGGAGCTGAGAGCTGAACCTACCTGCTCATTATCCCAGAGGTGACCTTACTTATAGCTGTGCCCAAGGCAAGGAGGGCACACTCACACAGGTGCTGCCTTTTGAATGATACTGTGAGGGTGACAACTAAAACAAAATAAAATGCTACTGTCTGGGAACCAGTAAGTAAATCTATTTCATTTTGTTTTAGTTGAATTAAATCAACAAATAAAGTTAGACCATTAACTAGCTTGAATATTAATCTCGGGATACTTGAATGGAAGAAATGAAATGTTATGCTTATATGTCTATAAAATTCTAGATTCTCTCTGTAAAAAGGTCTAGTGAACTCTAGGAAGTTCTTTTCTTATGTTCTTTTTCAGTTGTTGGATTTGAAGTGCCAGACAAATTTGTTGTGGGATACGCCCTAGATTACAATGAATACTTCAGAGATTTGAATGTAAGTAACTTTTCCCGTATGTTTTTGTCCATTTAAAACTAGGGAGGAGGAAGGAAGGGAAGTCTCCTTGCATCACTCTTTCTCCTCTGTGTAAATCACAGCTCACGTGCAAGTCTGTTCCGTTAGTGATGCAACGACGAGAGCAAAGGCTAGAGCAGCACAACAGTGTTTCGGAGCTCATATGAAACTAACTTTTGTTTTGCTTCATGCAGAATGGAGGCTACGCATCTCCTGTCAGCTTTGAAATAATGTGGCAGTTTGTATGAAGTTTCTTATCTTACCAGATATATCTGCAAGAAATAAGTGCATTTCCTTAGTTACATCAAAATTAGAGAGGAGAGACCTTGGATGTTGAGATGTTTGCATTTTATGCTAGGTCATTATGAATTTTTCATCTGGGTCTCACTAACCTTATAACAGACGTTGGGTAGGAGAGAGAGGAAGTCCAGTGCTGAGATCTGTAGACAAAAAAAAAAAAAAAGAAGCTGAAGTTTTTCTGCATAAACAATATCACAAGGCTCTTTGGTACTGAAATGTGTATAGCATGCTTTTATTGTTTTCAGAAGTGCATTATTGAATACATCTGTAAACATCATCCTACATTACTTTCTAACAGGAGCTTTTTATTTTGTTTTGTTTCAGCATATCTGTGTGATCAGTGAGACGGGGAAGCAGAAATACAAAGCATGAAAGCATAGTTCAAGTGCTCTGATAGCAGAGCTTTGAAATGTTTTGTTTACTGAGTCCTATCTTTCACAGGCTTCAACTCTGGTACACCAGCTAAAATTGTAGAATTATCCACCCCCATTGTCATATGCTTACTATAACTTATTGCATGTACAATATACAAATCTTGTCTTGTTCATTTATATTTTAGAAATGTAAACAATTAGTGCAATTCTGCACTCCTTATTTTGATTTGCACTATGACTCTACCGACTATTGCTGCCCCTGGTTGGGTTGTGCTGTTTGTGAGCTCCGGAGTCTAACTCTTGCAGTGGTAAATTGCTTAAACCTCATCAACCCAGAACTGAAATAGTTCAAGTACTGTAAATGTAAAACACTTTATGATAGGGAAGTCTATTAGTAATATTTTTAAAATCTGTAATTTAAGTTTTATATTTTCATGCACAAATAATGTGATTGTGATTAATGGATAGTTGCACCTTTGGGTGTTATAAAACATGAGGAGCAGCCAGTTACAGTATCTGTAATCTCCAAGGAGCTGATTCAAGTCTCCTGGAGTTGCCTTATCGCTGTAAAAGTCTGGGTAAAAAAAATCTTTTTTTTTATTTTTTTATTTTTTGAGCTAAAAGGAGATGGAATGACAAAGCAGAATGTTTAAAATCTAGTTTAAGTTGAGCTGTTCATTTCTTTTGGATTTTTTCTTTAAAAATACCCATCAGACAGTGAAATTGCCTTTTAAATTTAAACAATTTTAATATATTTTTGAAAAAGTATTGTAATGTTTACTTTATAAGATCTACAAAACAAAGTACTTTAAATAAAGGCTGTCTCTTTAAAATAAGCCCCATACATCTATGCCACTCATTCTGTATATTAAAGTGCTCTTGAAATTTTCTTAGTAATATTTTTCATAAGTGTTTCTGACAGTGAAGGCAGACTCTACATTTGTTATCTTTGTAGAGCCTTTAGTCAGTATTGTGCCATCTACAAGAGATGATAAAGGCCTGAGGGAAAGCTATTGAAATACTTGCATATTCTATAACCAAACTGGATTTCAGAGAAAATGCACTGAGTAGTGTCCCTGTGTTCTGTTTTGGCAAAAATGAAGAGTGAAGAATATGTTCATTTAAATAATATACAGGGGTGGGAGGGAACACACAACCATTTTGTAAGTAATCAGTTTGGGTTTGTTTTATTAACATTTTGTTCATGCTGAGTTTAATTCTAAACATGGCAGCCCACCTTGCACATTTTCCTTCTGCCGTGGTGTTCCATCCCTTAGCTTACACAGTACCTGTACTTCTGCACGTGGGTTCTTCCACTGCGTGCTAGGATTCAGTGCTGGTCAGTGCTTAATACATAACGATCTTTTTGACAGCCTGTTTTTAAGATGTTTTCTGGTTTTGAAGTTTGGGTTGTGCTTTTGTACTTTTCCAAGTACTGCACATCATTCTCTCTCCATGGCGTATTCAGTTACAACTGTAGTAGTTTGCAGCAGACCTGAAATATGAATAATTTACATAATGTAATTGAGACCAAATGACCGTGATGTGTTGGAGATGTAAATTTGTATTTGTAACTCAAAGTTCTCATTAACAAATATGATAACACTGGTTGTGATTATACTATACTTCTGCAATGATCCAGGTTAAGGTTAAATGTTCCAAAGAGCTTTTCTGAAAGCACTACGAAGACTGTATTTCTCAATGTTTGTGTGTATGCTTATCAACCTGCGCTGTACCTGGGAATCCCTTTTGGAAAATACATGGTGCATGTCTAAGAAGAGGAAGCACCAAAACAACACAAAAAAATATAAATCCACTTAAGAATTCTTACATCCATTAAGTTTTCATTAGGTGGGGTTGAACTTAAGGTCTAATTATAAAAAAGTACTGTTTTCTCCTGCCTTCTTAATGGTTCCTACTTCACAGTGGATTTCAAAATTGATTGATGCCATCTAGACATTACACCAGAGAGGTGGCATCAACGTACCTATTCACATGTGAAACGGTAAGAATCGATGATGTTCAATATCTTTTAAGACTAAACCCTTACGCGAGTTTGTCCTGTAAGTTTTCCTATCTTGGTTAAGACCAATTCAAACGCTGTGATTTGGGAACAGCAGGAGAGGTTGAGTTAGTCATAACAAGGGGTTTATCTTCCAAAACATAACTGGACGAGAGAAAATACCAGCCCTTTGGGGTAAGGGTTCAAACTGCATGAACTTGCAGATGGCATAGTCACAGCTTGAACGCTGGCAAGATATTCCAGTGGGACCTCTTGAGCCACACTAACAACAGGACTGAGACTGCAGGATACAGGATTGTCTTCTAACAACCTTGGCTGTGTCTGATAGAAAAGTTAGATACTCCAGAAAAAAAAAAAAAAAAACTATCACCCCAGAGGGTTTCCTTATTCAACAGCTTTTATTGTTGCCTATGAAGATTATTCGGAAAAGAAATGTCCCCCTCTCCTGCCCTTGCTAGAACAGTCCTAACCTGTTGCAGTCTTTTACAGAAAATGTCTGTGTACTACATGAAGATGAATTTTCACATGAAAAAAGTTGAAAATGCAATCGTTACTTCTTATTAGGTAATTTTGGTTAAAAGACTGGGGTTTTGGTCACACCTTTGCAAGTTAAATGCAAGCTTTTTGCAGCCCAGATGTGTATTGTTAAAACATTATGAAAGCACGGAGAAAATCTTGTATTTGAATATTTATGTGGCATTTGAAGTTCATTATAGTTCCACATTTTATGAATCACAAATGTACACTGGAAAAGTAATTTTGATTATTTATAGGCTTTAATATACTGTTTTACCCTGTGGCATCTGGAATTTCTGCATGTTTTGATTCTAGTCCGTCACAGACCATTAACGCTGACTGACGCGGCACCAAAGTGTGTAGCTTTGGTTAGAGCATTCATCCTCCTTGCTGTACATTTGCACAGATCCAAATCTAAGGGACTCGAGGCAGATCTTGGAGATGTGGGAAAAAGGTTTTTATGCAAACTGTGCTGACAGTTCGCTTTTGGGCGGGTTGTTTTGGGTTAAAGAGAAATCCCATTGTGGAAAATGTAGACAAATGAGGATCTTTGCATTGCCTTGTAAACGTATGTCGTGGCTGATGGTGTGTTGGTGGTGTCCCGTTGTCTATTACGCTCTGGAAATCCTGTCAAGCATGCCTTGATCCAGCAGTGAGGACCTGGCACTACATACGGGGAGCTGGTTACATTAAAGGACTGCTTTTGCTGTGTCCGACTGCTTTTAATTCCCATTCAGGTTGCACCTTGCAAGATCAGATCTCACCTGTATACGAGTACCTTATAGCAGATGAGATGTCATGGTATGTTTTTTTTTCTTCTTGTAGTGTTTGAGCGCTTGAAATCTTTAATTTTCACAAGCAGCTTTAGTTCAGGAACTATTCTGATGGGGAAACAGTAGCTTAACTCTGTAACGTGCCAGTCCCCAGCAGGTTATCTGTGCAGACACAAAGTGAAGAGGCCAGGGCAAAAAAAGCACAAAGGTTCAGCATGGCCTTGGCCTAGAAAGGGTCCACAGTAGCAACTGCCAGGTGATAAAAGCTGGTGCAAGGTCTGGGGAGGGGAAGTGGGTACATTTGAATGGCTGCAAGCACTACTTCTGAAAATGCTTCCCTCCCATCTGTTCTGCTCTTAAAACACCAACTGGTGGATGGAAACAGAAGGTGAAAATGATTACAGAGCCGCTAGGAGAGGCAGGCCTGTTATGGTGAGTAAAACAAGGCAGGTATTTATCTAACGTGATTATTGGGGGTGTCTTGTTTCTAGAGACTTAATTTAGAGCTTAGTTCTCCCACAATATTTTGCTATGCATGGCAGCAAAGAAAGCCTATTGCACTGGTTCCACACCTGCCTCACCTTCTGAGGCTGCCGATGCTGGCCTGGCTCTGGGTTTGCTCCCTGAGCCCCGGGACCCAGCAGGGAAAGTGGCCACGAGCCCTGGTGTGGTGTTTGCATGAGCACCAGGTGTTGGCTGGACTTCCCTGCGGTGCCGAGGGCCAACACCCTTCTCCCTAAGAATGGGGTTTCTGGGTACTAGTGAAGCTGGGTGCTGGCACTGCCTCACCTGCTCTGCCATCGGGGTGGCCACCAGGTCTGGGAAGTGTCCGAGCAGTGATGCCGATGCTGCTTGTTCCTTTGGCTGCTGCCTACCGGAGGAGCTGGGATGTGATAAAACCAATCTTATGGTGAGGGGGAGGTGGGGCGGGGTGTCTGTGTGTACGTGTACAGCTCCTTTCCCTTAAATGCTTTGCCCATTTTCTCTTCCATTCACAAACTGCGACACACCAAGCAGAGACGATAAACTGCAGCAGAAATACACTTTTCAGTGTAAATTCGTTATGCTTGCAATTAGAAAGCCAGATTGTGCTTTCTAGTAAAGGAATAACCACCAAAAAAAAAACCACTTTGCTTGTGGCAGCTGTGTCTGTCTGCCATACAACCTAGTCTCCTCCTTGCCATCGCTTATTTCCTAGCAGTTGGGCACACTCAGATAAATTTTTTCAGTATGAGGAAACTGTTTCCTCTCATCAAGCATAAGCCGTGAGAACTCCCGCTCTGCAGTTTATAAATGAATGTGTGCTCGATGTGAATTGTATTTTGAGTAATCGTCGGTAGTCTGTTACTTGAAGAGAACATAAGAATGGTTTTACGTGAGAAATTCCAGCGAGCAGTGTAGTGTTATACTTTGCTTCAGAAATGAATGGATTGGAAATAGCATTTGTCTTCCATTTGGTGAGCTTGTTGCCAAGAGCCCCTGAGTCATCAGGGCACCAGAGCCATCGTTTGCTCTGCTCGTTGCACTCCTGCTTCAGCAACCTCACCGCAGAGCAGGTGAGCAGGGCTTGGTTTGCCAGGTGCTTGGGACCTTTCTTGTTTAATTTAACCTGAGATTTTGTCCTTCTTGTGCCTTTGCATCACAGGTACTGGATACTTCCCACTGCATGACATACACTGTGTACATGGTTAGCATCACCTTAGTCAGTTACTCTTGATAAAGGAGACACATAAAGTGTTTCCTCCCTCATGGTGCAAAGAGCAAGACCTGAACTTATTAACATTTAGCACTGGGAGTTGCTGTTGTGCAAGGCACTGCACAAACACGTACTGAAGCCAGTCCTGGCTCAAAGCACGCTGGAGGAAAGATGAGGAAAAGCAGATGAGGTGGGTGGGCAAGAAGTGCAAGGAAAGCAAGATAATACTGGATACCACAATGAGCTGCTAACCTCTGCCAAAATTCCTTTTGCATCAAAGGAGGTGAGCAGGAAAACGCTGAAGGTAGATAAGGTGGCTTTTCGGGTTGCTTTTTCAGTGTTTACAGGAATCTGCAACACCTCATTTGGCTCCCACCATGCTGCCTCTCTAACGGCAGTACCTGGTACTGAGTACCCTCACCCTGACTGTGTGGGAGGGTTTCGGTCTGGGGGAAATTAAAGAGACTGGCGTAGAGGCGTGTGATTAATGAGCTTTTTTAGCATCTGCCTTCTAAACCCAGCAGCCACACAGAGGTGCGACGTGCTGCATAGATTTACCTACCACAAGGAGCTGCAGCCTTTCAGCTTGCTTGTAAAAATCCCACCAAAACCAGTAAGGAAACCCAAAAGCTTTTCCTTAGCAGTAGTCACAGATGGTCCTGCTGCAGCAGAGTTCACGTTTTAAAAATCCTACATCTGGCTTTGTCCAGAGCAAACAGAGGAGCTGCTGAGCGTGCTGCTGCACCACGGTGTGTCCGCACGCCTGTACCTGAGCTGCCCGCGGTGGGACAAGGGCCTCGTTGCCTCAGCTCAGGCTGGTGACGCTCTGCGAGGGGCTTCTGGGGCTCACCGGCAAGTGGGTTGTGCTCAGCTGCAGCTTCACGTCGACCTGCGAACACCTGGAAGACAAGCTTTTACATCAAGAGGAAGAAAATCACAGGGGCTCCCCCAGCCCCTTGCCCTGGGCTGTCCGCATCCACAACCAGCACCATCCCGAGGCTCCCAGCGCAGAGCAGCCAGGGGCTCCCGAAGCACCGCCGGGAGCCGCTTTCACCACCACTGGGAGCATCCCCGTCCCCTTCCCCGCCACCCCAGCAGACGCCCCGTTGGCTCAGCGTGGCCGCTCGCCCGCTGCGCCGCGCTTCTGCTCTCCTGGGGCTGCTGCTCAGCTCCTGGCGAGCCCGAAAGCGACGTTTGAGCAGGAGCCCTCCCCCCGGCAATGGGGTGGAAGCCTCTTTTTGCAGCCGAGTAAAAGCAATCCGAACACGACAGAGGTCTAAAAAGGAGTAAACCTGATTTTAAACTCTTGCACTCCGCACAGAAAATGCTAACGATGTGAAACTTTTTTAAGCACGTTAAAAATCGGATGTAAAATTAATAGTAGAGAGACACAAAGTAATCACTTCACTGACCAGTCGCCCTGCAGAACCAGTTACTCATTAAGTTGTTAGCCGTTGCTCCTGAGGGAACGCAGTATTTTACACGGTGATTAAGGGCTCGACTTGTAGAAAGCGGGAACCAAGTGTTTTATGGATGCAAGTGAGGGAACACAGATACCCGACGTGAAGCGGGCTACTTGTGCGTGCAACCGTTCTGACTCCCACCCGCTTGCAGGCACCCAGCACCAGGGGAACAGGTCCCACGGAGGGTTTTGAAGGCTGCCCCGACCCCGCTCCCCTCACACCTTCACTGTGCCAGGAGCAGTATTTACGTGGTGGCGGAGAGCTTGTGCCGATCTCCCAGAGGTGTCAGCACCCACTGCACAGAGCAGGAGCCACCGTTAAGCTGTAAATCAGCAAGCGTACATTCCCCTGCCCTCAACTGTGATTTATTAATTCCTAAAAATAGTTGAAAAAACGATGTTCTGGGATACGCAGGCACCAGCACTCCTGATAGCACAGAATTGGAGCTATTTGCTCCACCATCACCTGTGGGATGTGCAACTCCATTCCCACTGCAGATGGATGCCCCAGCAGGAGGGGACAATCCCAGGAAGACCCCGCAGAGCTCACCCCGACTGCCCCTTGCTGCCACAAGGGCTAGGGAGCTCAGGGTGTTAACTGCCAAGGGCAGAGCTGGGGAAAACCCCTTTTTCCTGGGGCTCGGCTCCCTCCAGAAGAGCTCTCTGCTACAGGAACACGCCTGTGCCACCCACCAAACACTTCCCCCCATGGCCCAAGTGCCACCAGGCATTGCAGGGAGCACTGAGCCCAGCTTTCTGCATGGCAGGGACAGCTCCCCCCAGCTGGGACTGCCCCCCCAGGAGCCCTGATGCTGGGGAAGGCATTGCACAGGGCTGAGTGGCTTCCCTGGGAGCACCTTTGTTCCCCCCCCTTGTCAAACCTTCAGCTTCCCTCCACCCCGAGGTGGTTGCCAGCCCCTGTATCCCTCCCGCAGCTGCCAGAGGCAAGCACCCAGGCCCAGCATTATCCCTTGTCCCTCTCCAGCCACCCCCAGGCCTCCCTTACTCCCCCTGTGAGCAGAGGGGTGCCAGGCGTGGCCCCCTCCCCCTGCACAGCCCCAGTAACGACACCAAGCCCTCGTTCGTCGCTGCCTCCGCAGTGGTTTATTGGTGTGGGAGATGGGAGCCCCCCCAGCAGCAGGGTGGAGGCACGGGGAGCTGTGCCAGGGAGGCACCCCAGGAGCCAGGGACCGATTTCCAGCCTCACTAAAGCAGCAATGCAATACTGGAGAGCAACAGGCAATCCCAAACTCCAGTATTTACGTGCTGCTAGAGCACTGCTGACAGCTTTTCCATCCTAGCACCTCTCCACGGCCTCCAGATCCACCCCCTCCCTCCCAGGACCCCCAAAAACTATGGGGGAGAGTACCTGGCCAATCCTTTTGCCGGGGCAAAGGCTGAAGAGCAGGAGCATTACCTTGAGCAGGGCTTGAGGGGTAACATGCCAGCCAGAGGCATTATGCTCAAGCCAAGATCAAGCCATCCCCGCCCTGAAGAACAAAAGGAGCTGCAAGTCCTTCTGCCTGCAGGGCCAGCCCCACTGAGACACACAAATGCAGACTCACACGGCAGGTATTTGTAGCTGCAAAGATGTGCACGTCAGCACCGAGAAGACTTATCTACACATACCTGTTCAACTGAACTAAAGAGATACATGGGAATGCGTTAGCTTCCACATCTATGATAACCAGAAGCTCACTTTCTTGTCTTATCCTTGAGGTAATGAGGCAGCCCAGAATGGTCTGTATCTCCTTGTCCCTACAAACCATGATGTGCTGCTACATCTCCTCAAAGCCCACTGAATGTTGACATTCCAAATGGTATTTTGATTTTTTTTTTTAAAAAACCATGATATAAGGTACTGAAGAACACTCTACAATGAAGACATTTAACGTGCATGCATTACCACCACGGGACTTTTTTTTTTTTTCCTTCACAGGTGCTACCTTAAAGTCTGTAACTATAAAGAACAAGCAGTTACACAGTGCAAACAAACAAACAGAAATCAGCCATCCCTCCCACCCCCCAACAACACAACACTTGGGTCTTGGCAAATCTACACTTTCAGATCTAGATCTGCTGCTTTTGGTGCTGTAAAGATCCTGCAGACCTTTCCGGCCCTTCCAAACACTCTCTCTGGAGATGTCACACTGTACCTTCCTCTGAGCAGCTGCTGAACATCGTGTGTTTTCCAGGAGTTGCAATGCTAGTATTTAAATACACGTTCCAACAGGGCAAACCTGTTAAAATCTCCTTAAACTACTTTGACTTTTGGGAAATACCACCCCCCCTTTTTTTTTTTAATTAAAAAACCACTGTATTATGCTCATTTACTATTTGAACGGATAAATCGTATGCAGCCAGAAATTAAAGATACTCTGAAACTTCATCACCTCCCCTCCCTGTACCTGAGCAGAAACCTGACAGCGCAGGGCAGAGAGCAGCTGTAACTCTGAAGCACGGAGCCGCCAGAGGCCCTTGCAAGTACCCATACAGAAGCCGTGCAGATAGCCTGACATTTTTGTGTTTCCTTTTGACTTTTTTTCCAGTTATGTGACAACTTCCTTCAATTCATTTTCTTAAAAAGCAGCATCACAAAAAAAGAGAACAATGTCAGAAATGACGCAATTAGTTCAAATCCTCGTGCCGTCCCTTGCAGTAAGCACGCTGGTTATCTGAGTTCCAGTTTGTCCACCTCTCAGTAGTCCTTGCCTTTTTAGCAAACTTAAAAATAGGAATTTCAAAAGGTTTCAGGACCTGTGCCAAATTATTTCAAATTTTAAATTAAATATTTGCCAATGCAATTTTTTGCCAACAACTCTTTTTTTCACCCACTTCAGTGTCCTCAATACTGATAGCACTAGCTCCAACTCTATAAAGAGCAACTGCTATTTACCGCAAAGCAGCTAACAAGTACCCAAAGTCAGACCTGTACAAGCCAATACAAAACAACCCCCCACATAATTTTACCTTTTTTTCTTTAACACTTTGACATGACCGTACCTGTGTAGTCTTATTTCTTTCATCTCTTCAAGGGGCTCAAAGAAACAAAAAGCAATAGTAAACAAGTTCAGTTTTAGAATCTCTTTTGACTGTGTTTGGGGTTCACCTTTTAACAAATTTCTATTTATATATATATATATACGTATACACACACACACAAAATAAAATACACTTGTATACATACACATGTATACATATATAGACAAAAATAAGAAAGTTTCTAGTCTAGTTTGACAAGATGGTGCAAGAGCTCTTCAAGTAAGGATGAGTTTCCCCAGGTGAGGTTTCAATACATGCCAAAGACGAGCAACACTCACACTGAGCACCTGGAAATTTGGGACAGGCAATGAAATATGTATCTGAGAAAATGTGTGTGTTTTTGCCATGACAAAATAATGACATGAAGCAATACTAAGCTCCGTGTTTGAATCACCTCATCTCACGCTTGAGCTTTTTTCCAGAATGTTTCAAGCTTGCTTTGTGTTCTGGGTTCTCACTATTAAGTCAGAAGGACGGCAGCCGACTGGAGTTTCACCTTGACCTCTCCCAGAGGACCTGCACTGACCCAGAGGGAGGCGGATGCTGCGAGTGCCTCACAGCGGGCCAGGCATGGGTGCTGGCACTTACCTTCCCTACTCACCTATGAGCGCTGACACCTCAACTCCTTCTGCAGGGCAGTCACTGCTCCAGCGGGAGCTGGAAAGCAACACAAAAGGTTTACGAAATGCTCATGCAAGTGCTGTGCGTCGGGTGGGGGCACCAGGCTGTGGCTGTCACCTCACTGAGGTCACTTCGCCACATGAACGCAGCAAAGGTTTGGGTGGGCACAAAATTAGGGGGAAAAACAAACAAACAAACAGACACCAAACAAACAGCTTTCCACCTCCAGAGTTGCAAGGAGTGTTCTTCTTGGAGACTGTACACAAAGTACACTAACGACCCCGACGCTGCAGGGACATGTGGGTGACACCAGCCCTGCCCTGCTGTGCTGGCAGCCCCAAACACCAAGGGAATCACCCCCAAACGCTGCATCTCAATGCAAAGCCATCGCAACACCTCTGCCCCTGCAGTTCACGCGCCAGCTATTTCTAGAAATCAAGACTTCTACCTGTCAAATATGTAAGCCTGCCACCTACGGAGGTTTAATTAAATCTTCCAAATAACTGGGAAAATTGAACATGCAGAAATCTATTAACGCAGTTCACAAAACAATGCAATTTCTGCTTGCCAAAATATATTGGGCAACTAAGTAAAAAGCCCCCCCCCCCCCAAAAAAAAAAAAATCCTAAGCTCAAACACAAAGAGATTCACCCTGAAATACAGGGATCCCTTAAAATGTAGTTTAAACCTTCCTTACAACACTCTAACAAGAAAAACAAAAAAAAAAGAAAAAAGTAAGAAAAAAAGAGTGCGAAAGAGCACCAGGGGAAAGGAAAGGAAATAAATATATGAGCCCACGACAGGACAGATTTGCATACATGCCCTCACTGACTCACACCCTCTCCAGGGCTAGGTAAGCTCAGAGACACGTAAATGTTAAGTATTTCCTATATATACATTAAGGATGGAAAAAAATAAAATAATAAAAAAAACCAATGCTATTCAACACTTTTTTTTTTTTAGGAGACATGCACAAATAAATACTGAAATCATTGTTCTCACTTAAAAAAAAAAAAAATAAAAAAAGCATTTACTATTTTACAAAAAAAAATAAAATAAATCATCTTGTTACAGCTGAAGGTCCCAAACATTGATAAGTGAGATGCTCACAATTATAGTAACAAGATGAAAACAAGGCGGCGAGTAGCACCACTGAAACACTTCATATCTGACTGGATCTGAAAAATCACACCACTTTCATTCCTGCCTTCGTTTGAACAATGAAATTTAAACAAAGTCACGTCTTAATATTTACAGATGTGGCTAATAGCTGGAATCGGACCCGCCGTTTGACCGACAGCCACCACATGTTTCCAGCTATTACGTTTCCGATACAACCCGACTCACAGAGCAGCCGAAGCGGAGCTAAGGCTGCGTGAAGAGCGATGACGACCAGGCAGCACGAGCAGCCAGACGCGGGAGCTGCACGCAGCGAGGTTACTTTCATTTGTATGGGTGCCTACAGCGCATCTCCTCTCCCGGGTGTGCAAATGCCACATGAAAATCCCTGCTACAGGTGTTTTGCTCAGCTAAGACTTCTTACTGGGCCACGAAAAAAAAATAATGCATAAAATATATACATTTTAACTAACGTTCACATGTCAAACCTGGATGAGAGCTGGTGATTTCTCATGCACTTTATTTAAATTATTTTTCCCCTCACTAATCTGCTCAGAAAAAGGGTCAGAGAAGCAGCTTGCGTTTCATCTGAATTACAGCCTAGGAGAGCCACACGTGGGTTCCAGCAGCACGTACCTCTGCGTGTCAGCCCGCGCCGCTTCAACGCGCCCTTGCTCAGGGCAGAACACCCGGAGCCACGCTGCAGCTACACCGGGTGAATTCAGTCCATGCAAAAAACAAATTCGTTAATTTTACTCGACTCGAAACTTGACCCAAACTCTGCTCCTAGCAGGACTGACCGCATTTACCAAGACGGGCCTGGTAACAGGAGGGAAAGCTCCTGGTGCTCGCAAAGGCCTGCAGGATCCGACTTCAACTTACAGTGCTCCAGAAAACCAGTAAAATCCACAGTAAAATTCCAGGATCCACAGTTTTTTCTCAGCACTGCTGAGGAGAAGAAAAGTATGATGCTTCTTGTTACTTCCAGTTTTTGCATTGTCATCTCATCCAGTTTTAAACAACAAGGGACAGATCTGGAAGCACGATTCCTATAAAGTTTATTTGTTAAGAACAGAAAAAAAAAATAAAATTGTTTTGTCAGATGGACATTAATTCAAAACATAACAAGCACACAGTCAGTTAACTTTTTTTTTTTGAAAAAAAAAATAAAAAATTGGTTCATTTTGCCTGAAGCATTAGTTAAACCTTCCCTCTCATACTTCATGAACGTTTACTGCCTCAGCAGCTCAGTTTTGCTGTATTTTCCCCCAAAACGGATTAGCCAAGCACAGGCTCCCGCAGCTGACGGCGAGCCGTGGAGCTCTTTGGGTTCCTTCAGCGCACGAGCTGATGAAACTTGGCAGAGGGTCCCTCACCTACCTACAGCCGCGCGCGGCACGCGAGCACGACTTCTCATTGATTTTTTGAGCTGCTGGTGTTTTAGCCTCAGAAAGATAAAAAAAAAAAAAAACATAATAAAAAACAACAGCAAAAAAGCCCAAAGCCATCTCCCAGCCCGCCCAAACGGCGCGGGGCGGCTGAGGGAGCAACGGCCGGGACATCCCAACGGCCGGACAAAGCCGGGTGCAAGAAGGGAAAAAGTTATAAAAAAAAAATAAAAAATGAGAGAAAAAGGAAAAGCTGGGTCCTATTTTTTGGGCTCATTTCACATCGGTTCGATGAATTCCTTTCAACTCGTGTCACGGGTATTTTAACCGTTTCTCCGTGTTTTATCACTTCAGCCTGCTCCTCACGTGCGGCCGCTCGCGCTTCAGCCCCCACCCGAGCCCCGACGGGGAGAACCGGGGGGGGGGGGGGGGGCGGTGTGAGGAGCTTTTCCTTCACCCCCCCAGCCCCGAGCAGCCCCCACCGGGCACACACCTGAGGCGGGGCGGCCCCGGGGGGGGATTTTGGTGCCCGGAGGGGGGAATTTGGGTACTGGGGGGTAGAATTTGGGTGCCGGGGGGGGGGCTGTCAGGGCCGGCCGGGGCGGGCCGGGCGCGCTCCCGCCCTAACGGTCCTGAGGCGGAGTGGGGGGGGGGGGGGGGGCGCCGCCCCGCCCCCCGCTGTCACTGCCCCGCTGCGTCACGGCCCCCCCCAACCCCCCCCTCCTCCCGTGACCCCCCCCCTCCCTTCCCCAGCGCCTTTGTGCGGCGCCGCCCGCGGGAGGATGGCTCCGAGTGGGGGGGGGGGGGGGGGGGGGCGCTATTCGGTGCCGTTAAAAAAAATAAATAAAAAGTTTTTTTCCGCCCCCCCCCGCCTCAAAGTGGCGCGGCCCCCGGTGCCACATGGGGGGTGGGAGTGAGGGGGGGCAGCACCCCGTTGTTGCAAACCCCCCCCCGGTTTCTGCCCGCTGCCCCCCCCCACTCCGCCCCGCAGCCAACGCGCCCCGGTCCCCCCCCTCCCCGCTGTGTCCCCCCCCCCACCAGGCTGAGCCGTCGAGGGAGGGGGGGGAGCGGGCGGTGGCGGGGAGGAGGAGGAAGGGGGGTGCAGGGGCTCCCCCCGCGGCGCCCCGTCCCCGCACGCCCTGCCCGCCCTCCCTCCTCACCTCCGAGTCCACTCGAAAATGGCGCCGAAACCGAAAAAACTTCGCAAATTTCATTGTAGGCGTTTGCAAGGGCTGCTGGGAGCGGGGGCGGCGGCAGGCACCGCCCGACGGGGCGGCACCGGGCGGGACGGGGCGGCGCGGCCACGGCACCCGGAGCCGCTCGGGGAGGGGGGAAACCGACAGAAACCCCCCCAAAAACCTCCCCAAAGACCCCCTCAGAGCCCCCCCTTGGCCGTCTGGGAGCTGCATCCCGCAGGGCTCGGGGGCTGGGGGCAGAGCCCCGCGGTGCTCGCCCCGCTGCCGCAGGTGAAGGCGGAGGAAGGGGAAGCTTGGTGAAGGAAACGCCATCGCCGCCAAGGAGCCTTTAAACAACCCGTGTTTGTCTTGTGGGGCGTGCGCTGTTATTTTCTTAATTATTCCTGGAGTTCTGCCTGCTCCGTCCACCAAGGGTTTTCTCAGATGGCAGAAACAATTGGTCCCTTTTTTTTTTTATTATTATTATTATGCTACTAGCAGAAAGCATCCCTCGTAAAAAGGCTCCGTGCATCCCATAAACCCAAACGGGACGTGTCCCGCCAACAATCGCACCTCTTCAGCCAGGCATCCCAGCTGCTGTGCTCTCTGCCCCTCTCCCCGGTGTCACTGTTCACTACCACCGCTCGGCCTTGCTGCCTGACCACGCTTCGGTGTCAAAGCGAGAGGGATCGAGGCAGTTTTTTAGCACCGAAGCCCTCCCACTCACCCCCAGCGAGTACGCAGAGATCTGAGCAGATGTGGCAGGGAATGAATGAGCGGGGAGATTCACCTACCTCTCACATCTGCTTGTGGGTGGCCTCTAATTAATTTGGCTTCCAGGCGCAGCCGCGAGGTAGATGAGTTAGGAAGTCTGGCCAGGAGTTGTCTGTTTGAATCACACCTATTCTACAGAGAGCTTCAATGTGCAGCTTTGTCTGACCCGCACCCTTGCAAGAATTAATTAAAAAAAAAAAAAGAGCCCCACACTTATTGGAATGTCAAATATAAATGTCAGCATTTCAAATGAAATGGTATCTTGGGAGGCTCCTGCACATTTAATCAGCCAGTTGCACCATCTATATCGGGGACTAAAAAGCAACAGCGAGAACCACGAAAGGCACTGGCTTAACATCAGCAAAAGTGTTTGCCAAGCTTGGATTATGTCACTGCTTTATGATCTTGCTTTGTAAAGGGAGAATACTCTTGGGGAGAAAGGACTCGGCATGCCGGATCTACAGCAAGAGCAAAGAATGAACGCTGCTTGCAGGGACCGGGGGGGAGGGAGAGGGATTGCGTTTGCTGTGGTATTTCTGCAGATGGATGCTCTGCGCCCGCCTTCGTGAAGCAGAGATGCACCCTGCAGATCACTCAGGCTGAGAGCAGAGCCCGAATTACCCGGCAAGGCTGTGAGCTGCTTCCCCCAGCTGCCCTCCTATGTGCGCACCTGCCCGGGTGCTGCCGCCGTCAGCCCCGCGGTGGTTTTGCTCAGCAGAAGGTGACAACCCGCCAGCAGGCCCGGTGGCTTCCCCTCGCCCGCAGGGTACATGCACCCAGCCAGGCTGCGGCTTGCCGAGCAGTCAGGGATCGCCGCGGTGCCTTTGTGGAGGTGGCAGCTACGGAAAGCGGGCATCCTGGTGCTGCAACGCGGCAGGACTTGTGCTCCTAGCAGTGGGATGAGCCATGGGCACCTCTGCTATGCTGCTACAGGCTCGTGGCAAAGGCAAGAAGCTTTCTTTGGAGAGACCAGCTCTGCGTCTCCGGTACCAGCCCGAATAACAGGCTCACCTTTGCTGTTTTGTAAATGGGAGAAAAATAAAGCGGAAAATTCAGATGTTACACACCCTTCAAGGACTGCTGGTGTTGCGTGCAAAAAAATACACTGCCCACCTTGAGCTCTCTGCTTCCTTCTTCCATAAGCCTCTTCCTCCAGTGTTTTGGTCCCTTGCAGACAGACTGAGGGGTTTCTTTGCGCGTCTCCTCCAAAGGTTGTTTTCCTCCGACTGGTGGCCTTTTGCACCAGCCTTGGCGTTTTGCAATTCCCCAGCTTCGTGCATGGTGTGGCATCGTAACCCCAGCCTTCCGTGCGGTGTCAGTGTTTGTGGCGGCCTCGGCTGCGAGCAGCAGTGTGCAAAATGGGTGTGGTGGCTGTGCCGACGGCTTTTTGGCAGCAACTCCTTCCTTTGCTTGGCTCTGAGGGTGCCCAGAGCGCAGCCCTGTCTGGACAGGGATTTCGTTACCCGCCATGCAGACTGCCAGCACAACCTTGTCATTGCAATTTGTCACACATACTTGCTATGTGTTTAGTATCTCGCTGAGGGCTCGTTCATCTAATCGCTACTTGTCTGGTGCAAGGAGCGGCTTCGCGTTCGCTGGGTCCTCAGCCACCTGGCCCCGTGCCATGCTGTCACCTCGCCCCGTGCTGTGCAGTGCCATGCCGTGCCATGCCGCCGGGCCGTACTGCACTCTTGAAGGCAGTGCTGGCCTTGCATAGCAGTGAGGTGTGACCCGGCAGAACAAGGTTTGCTACCATCACCCTCCCTTTTTCCACTAGAGGGGGTTTAATTTTTGTAGAAAATGCCTATTTTTGTCAAAGCAGTAATTTTAAGAGTTTTTTTGTTGTTCAGGGACAGCCTCTGGAAACCTTTTGCGAAGGCACCAACTCCTCATTCCTTCCCCCCATGTCATTTTAGTTATGTGCTCTATTTATTTACTGCAAAATTTGCTGTTTTGCCTGACATTTTTCGGTTATCAAAATATTTTGATTATGTGCAGGGGAGGGGGCGGGTTGATGGTGCAGCCGACATTTCGGTAGAAAATTGCCTGTAGCTAATAGCTAAACTCAGGGCAGGGAAGAGTGAGAAACTCCAGCCTGCCCTGGACAAACCCGCAGCATCACAGCTCCAGCCTGGGCCCACACAGAGCCCCAGGGAAGCCTGGACCCATTTCCCTCAATATTTGCCCCTTTTGGGTCCGAGTGCCCAGCAGGAGCGGGAACATCAAGTACAGTGAGCGCGAGGAGAGGCTCAGCAGAGGACACAGCGCTGCGTGAGATGAGACCCGAAACTGCTGCGGAGGCTTTGCGGCAGCGCGAGACGGGACAGAGGCAGGATACAAAAAGCAGAGCTCGGCAGGGCGGGAGGGGAGCTGCGCGTCAAGGTCGCTCCGAAAAGGGCTGGCGTTCTTTCTGCTTTGTTTCCTCTCTCTGTGAGAAGCAGAAGTGCTTCTCCGGAGGGCAGATGTGCCAGCGCATTGGCTGTGGAAATGGCTCCTGCCTGCACTTAGTGCCAGGCAGCTTTCTGCCCTGCCAGGGTTGACCAGGCTGGGGCTTTGCCTGCCCTGAGGCAGAGCGGGTGCTCGCTGCAGCGCTGTGGGTCCTGCTCCACCGGCACCCGGCCGTACGCCCAGATCCTTCCCCTGCAGGTCTGGGTCTGCCCTGCTCAATCCCCTCGTCGCTGCCAAACCTGCACCATCTGGGCAAATTCCAGCAGCTTGGGCACAAAAAATAGATGGAGAAGAACTTGGCAAGTGCCATCAGCGGAAGATGGGCTGACCATGAATGAAGAGCAACCTGAAAGCAAAGCGATTCTCACACAGCCCAAATAGCACTGTGAGATTATCTACTACAGCATCTCAGGCTTCTGGATACAAAGCTGTTAACGGTTTTGAAGATCAATATTTATTCAACTGGCCTGCGATAACTTTGTCTGCTATTGCAATTTTCCTGTGTCTAAACATTCTCGTGTTATTTCCCTAAAGCCGGCAGGTTTAAAACTATTTCTGACTTGTGTTACCAAACTTGTAATTTGTCATTAATATGGCATTCTGTCAGAAAAGCAGTACTGTGGGCATGTGTGTGTAAATATTGTGCTCTCCTGGCAAAGCAAAACGTTGTGATAGCATGATATGTTATTTAATACAGAGCTGTAGATTAGGCAGGAACATTTGCAATACAAATCAGTCCTGACATCAGGCATTTGCAAAAGTCCTTGTTATGCTGATACAGTAGGAAAACTGATATTTTCAGTTGAATATTTTTTTTTGTCGTGCTCCTTGACCATCCCATGGACCACTGCCATATGACACATACTATTAAATTATACCATCCAAGAGTTATGTTGTACAACTCAAGGCAATAGCCCCAGGAGGCAGCCCTTAGACACGTAAAGAGTCTGTGAAATGGTAAGTTAGTGGTTGTCTTTTGATGCCTTGGCTCTCCTCACAGGAAAGACAGCCTGGCTCCTGGCTTTTTACCTGGAAGACATTAATTCCTAAACACCAGGTCCGAGGACTTGTGAAAAGAAAACCCAAGCAGCAAAGCCGTGCACCTCTGGTAGCTGGCATCCAACCAGCTATTAGGAAAACACGTTTCTCTGAGATGCCCCTCACCCCATGGACTGCTCCTGGCCAGGTGCTTCCAGGAGATCCAGCTCCATTTCCAAAGCAAACAGGTCCGTGGCCAACCCAGGAGCACCAGGAGGGAGCTGAGGAGGCCCCTGGGCAGGCCCTGCCCCCCAACATTAGCCAGCATTTGTGGAGACCAAAACCTCCGTGTGGCTTGGAGAGGGGCCGCACTACATACCGCCTTGTGAACACACTTACAGCAGCACCATTTGGGACAGAAGACCAGACACTTGCCTGCCACATCTGGCCTATCTCCAGTGAAATCTAATAGCAGCTTCATGCTTTCCATCAAAACTGCAAACACCAGCATTATTTGTAGAGGAAGAAGTAGCATGAGGAAGCAGTTGCTTAACACCATCCCTGGGTGTCTATCCTTGAAAGCCGCGGTCATTTCTGGGACCTGCCGGGGCAGCTGCTGCCGAGCCCCCCGGCAGAGACGGCTGTAGGTGCCGGGGAAGGAGAGCTGGGAGGGAATGCAGCAAAGAGGGAAGCGGCAGTAAAACCCGTCTCACCCAAAAGGCAGGGCGCCAAAACGAGACCACCCAGAACATGTTTAATTAGTGCTTTTCCTAAATGAGTGCTGCTCCCTGCTCTCAGCACAACATCAAGTCGAATGGGTGCGGTAACGTTGCTCTTGCTGCGAGTGTGAGAAAGAAATAAATGCAGGCAGCCGGGAAAGGACGCGGGCAGCGGCTGTGCGCTGTGTCCAGGGTATAGGGTCGATCCAGCACTGCAGAAACAAGGCCACACGTGCATTGACAGCCATGCTCGACACCTGGGTCCTGGGGGTGGCAGGGCAGGCAAGGTGACGTCCTCTCTGTCTTACAGCCTGTAATGAGGGAGAGGTGGCAATGGGATGGTCAGCCTGAGCCACCACGTTTTGTTTGGTCCTTTTGCAAGACTGCGTCTGGTAAAATATTTCAATTTAAAAACAACAACAACAACAAAAAGACTTCAGAATCTGGCTTCTGGAAACAGGGTCTACGTTTCTGCACTCCTTATAGAAAAGAAATCCAGTTTTGTTTTAAAGAAAGAGTAGTTTTAGCCTCTTGGGGAAACTACCTAACTGTAAAAAGGCAGAAGAGAAAGCCCAAATTAGTTTCATGATGTCAGTAAATGATACCATGAATTGAGAAATCCATGAGTTTCGCTGAAACCAGTCACGGTTTCCACCTCCCCCTGCCTCTCATCTGCTCAGCAACACTTTGCTCAGGCCTGGGGGGGTGGAGGGAGCCAGAGGAGTGCAGGGGTAGCTAAATATTTCCACATCTGGTTTGGGGAAGATTTGGAAAAATAATTTCACCATAGAATTAGCTGCAGTAATGAAGTTTATTTGTTTCTCTCGCTGTACTGCAACATCTCACAGCTTAGCTGTAGCCACACTCCTGCTGCGGAAGGCAGAGTGCCAGGGGCTGCCAGGCCTGATGCTGTGAACTCACCTGCACCTCAGGGAGGAACAGGGTTTGCTTCCCGAAGAGATAACGGGGCTATTCACAGCCATGGAAAAACTTCTGCTGTTCCATTTTATCAGCCTCTCGCTGGGAAGGTTTTGCCATCCAAGCCCGAGTTCTTCTGCACTTTCACTTACTGCAACACTGTGGTTTCTTGTGCTGAAAGGAAAGCAGCTGTTGGTGATACCAAAGAAAGTTAACATGGGAGACAACTGCATGTGTTTAACCATTTATTTGCATCTACAAAAATGCTCCAAGAAAGCAGAGAGATCTGTTCTCGAACAATGAGGGATTTATCTCAGGAGTGTACTTTGCCTAATGAGCTGTGCAAAGCCAAGGGGCGTATGACGACTCTTTACCTCCAAAAAGCCCCATGGTGCGGGTTGCCAGGTGCACCCATATCATCTGCTAAGACTCTACAGAGGTCACTCGGATGCAGCATTTTATCTCTGCAGGGGCATTGGCCAGTTTGCAAAATGCATAAGCAGCGGGTTCCTGCGGCTGTGATGCTCAGGGGCCGAGGGGTGAATGCTGCTGGGTGCCTCTTCCCAGCCTCCTGCGGGCTTTTCCCTGGGAAAGGCCGTGCCGAGGGAAGGCATCAGCACACTACGAGACTTCTGGGCAGGTTTTGTTTTTTTCCAGCAGTTGCCGTCTGCAAGCTGGAGCCAGAGCTCACCTCCTCGCTGCCGCCTCTGCGTCCCCCGGGGAGGGCGGTGGGCAGGGAGCCACCGCGCTCAGGAAGAGGCTTTGTTGCGGACGGAGCTCGGCCATTGAATTCAGCTGCTCACAGAGAACCCCACACTTGTTTTCAAGATTTATTGTTTGCTCTGGAAAGCAGCTCTGAGCCTGTGCACCCCGGGCTGGACCCGGACCCGAGGTGGAGATGTCCAGATGTTGGGATGGTGGCGGAGAGGCCTGGTGTAGTGTGGGGCGTCCTGGGGTGCCGTGGTGGTGGCAGGAAGCAGGAGGAGGCTGCATGCAAAGAGCAACAGCATCTTTTTTTTTCTGTTGCTACACCTCTTCGTGTCCTCTCCCCCTTCCCCTGCCTCCGAAGTGCCCATTGCTTCAGGCTGCTCTCTCTGAGCCCCAGGTGCGTTGTGTGCATGGCCTACTAGCACCAGTGAGCAGGGCAGCCTGTGGGGACAGGGATGGGGACGGGACCTGGGGCTCTGAGCTGGGGCAGGGGCTGCGTGGCCCCGTCCTGAACCAGGTCCCCTCCTGGGATGTCTGGGGGAGGAGGCCTGCGCCATAAGCAGGCTTTACAGGGCCTCTGAGAGGTGCCTTGGCAGCTGTCATGTGCTCGGCGTGGAGCGCAGCTCTCCCACCTCCCTCCCTGGCTGGCAATAACTGTTAGAAAGCAGCCTTGAAACAGCAAACGGCTTTCTAATAAAGCTGGCAAGTACTGCGAAGACAGAAAGCGTCAGAGAACCGCATGTGATCACGGAGAGCAGCCTGAGCTGCCCTCACACCAGGCCTTGCACTGCAATGCTTCGGTGGCACGTCGCCGCTGGTGGTGGTGGCCTGTTGCATGGGTACTGTGGAGGTGTTGGTGCAAAGAGCTGCACTTTGCCTTCTTAAAAAGGAGTTAACCTGTTAGAGTTAACTCCATAGAGTGGCCTGTCTGTGCCCATGTGTGACTATTTAATAAAGTGATCCATGCAGCACCACTCCTGTTTGCTCACTCTTCATCATTGTTTTGTTGTCAGCATCACTCTCAGTAGCGTTATTTTAAGCTTTTATTTTGGAGGGAAGTTTCTGAGGCTGCTCCTGAGAACGTGTGGATCCCATCTGGATCTGGCCCTGCTCTGCCCAGTGCAAGCCCAGCAGCACTCCTCTGTCTGGCCAGCAACGGGGACCTCTCCCTCACTGCAGGTGGGCTCTGAGATGTGCTCTGGGGTGCTGCTGCCCCCGGGGAGCAGGGGTGCCCCGAGGTTTTGGCAGCACCGGAGCGGTGCTGGAGCAGTGCGGGTGCGATGCTGGAGCGGTGCCGAAGTGGTGCTGGCCGTGCCAGGCTGAGGACCAGCAGAGGGAGCACAAGAGTGCAAAAATCCCACCTGGGAGCTGGGGGGAGAGAAGGGCTCAAGCTGCACTGGTGTGCACTGGTCCACTGCTCTGCCCTGTGGGTGGTAAATCGCTGCTCCCCGGGTCAGCGGGCACAGTGGGACCTACAGGGACAGCACCTAGCAGCAGCAGCGATGCTGCAGGCTCGTTAGGGCACATTTCAGGTCAGATTTTCTGCCCCCCTGAAATTCCAGCTCGCTCTTCTGCAAGTCACTGCAGCAAGCAAACCCAAAGCTGTGCCAGGTGCTGGGGTGGTGGCAGGGCAGCTGGTGCCCCCCGGGCTGTGCACAGAAGCTTTCAGCATCGCTGAACCTACTTGCTTTTGGAGCCCGCTCTGTGAAAAAGACACCGTGGTGAAGTTCACAGGGTTATTTTTGATGGAAAAATGTATTTGAATGAAAACAGAGCAGCTATCCAATTGCAGTCAAAGAACATGGCAATATCTGTGCTGTGGGCTGGTGCTGCCTTTCTTGCTGCAATTCTCTTTCTCACAGAGCCAAAGATACCACGAGGCTATGGTTTACACCGGGGCATCTGCTCTCAGTTAGTATTTGCATCCTTCCTGCCTTCATGCAATAGAAGTCTCTGGCTGCATTCACAACACAATTCCTGCTTCTTCAGTATTTCTATGTGGTGAATCCACCTGGGAGTGGAAGCAGGAAGAGGGCAGCGATGGAAACAGGCCATCACAGGAGCTCAGGAAGGAAAAAGGCAAGTAACGTCTAGTGCATCGCTGCTGGGGTACGGCTCTGAGGACTTGTTTCAATTGCTTACTGAAGGAGAGCGTGCTGGGCAGAGCTGCCCTGAGCCAGCGCCACAATCCCAGCTGGGAGAATTCACCCCTCGTCTGTGCTAATATTAAAAACATGCTGGATGGTTCAGTTTTAAGCCCGGTTATCTTTCTCACTGCATAGTTTGACACAATTGCGTGGCAGGATGTCTGCAGAGGTCAGATGGGAATAATAGAGGTGTTAGTCACTCCAGAAAAGGAATTAAATTGTGCCAGCGTGCTTGCATGGTTACTTCTGGTGCTGCTGTAGGGCAAGCTGCTAGGTCTTGTCTTGCGAAAGTTTCTGCATTTTTACAGGAAAGGATAGCTGACATTTTTTACATTTTCATCTGCCTTTCATAGCGGGGCAGCACGCCTGGGCCGCAGCTGCTGTGAGAAGGGCGATGCCCCCTTGCACAGATGGAAAATAGGAGCATGGTCCCTGGGCTGTGTGTGCAGGTGACACCATGCAGGCAAAGAAAGAGTGACCGAGGATGTCCTCAGCATGAAACAAGCTGCAGAGCAGGGCACGCAGGCTCGCCCTCACACGTCCACCCGAAGCTGCTATGGAAGGAAGGGACCGAGCTGACGCCGGCAGAAGGGAATGGCAGTTCTGGAAATGTGTGAGTCATGCTCGGGTTTGACATTCAGGATAGAAAGGCTGTGATGCGCAGGCTGGGCTGGTTTCCTCCGTGGCTCCTCGGCGGGCGAGGGGGCTCCAGTGGGTGCATCCTCGGGGGCCCGGCCCCACCACCCCGGGGCAGCCACACACACAAGAGCAATTGTGGTTTTCTTGCTGTTGGGCAATGAACGGGGCCTGAATATTGTTGTGGATTTCAATAGAAAATGCTTTCAGATTGAAATGACCTTGATTACAGCTGGTTGTATAATTTGTTGTGAATAAGGTTCTGTGCAAAGTTTGCCATTTTTTGTTTTCATTGCATAATAATTAGTGATTACATTTTTCCAGTATTTATCCCGTGCTAATCTTGATAGGAGCCTGAAATGCCAGCAGTGAGATGACATGAGCCAGCATCCACGCAAACCAAGCCATTATTTGCTTTCGATAGTCCAGGAACAGCAAGCAACCTAGAATTGTTTCCCTCTCATAAACATACATCTCACTCATGTCCAGTTGGCTATTTTTAATTTTATTAAGGGATCTGCAAGTCCCCCTTGGGGGACAGAAGCAAATGGAGAGATGAATTAAACTTAGCTGTGCACTCTGTGAACAAAAACTTTCAGCAAACATGTATTTCCTTGTAAACCAGTTCATTCTCACAGTGTTCCTTGCCCTCACTATGGGATCATGGTGTTAGTAATGAAAATAAAGATGCGTTGTCCTTGGTGTTTATACCGACCACTTCTAGAACCAACCAGAATGTCTTGCCTTCTATGCAATTTCTGGAAGAAAATAAATAAATAAGTAAATAAATAAAGTCAACAGAATTATTTAACAGAATAATAATAAAATACATTTTGTAGAAATTTCTTTTAGATTCAGTGCATCTTTTTGCATTGAAGCATGACTCTAAGGGCACATCTGGAATTGCACTGATTAACAATGCAAGCTCTAAACTGGAACAAAAAACGAGATGAGCCCCACTAGGCCTTGTACTAAGCTGGAATATGCCTAAGTTAAATTGTTTGGGAGGGGGGTTTAAATAAGCCACAAGAAAGCCTACTTTAAACCAACATGGTCGTGTCTGTACAGGAAGTTGCACCAGTGTATTTGAGCCAATGCAAATTTGTGCGCAGACAAATCCTGCGGGGAGGGAACGGCTGCGTGTGGCACGTCCTCACGGAGGTTCACACTTCTGGCTTGCAGCATGCTCTACCTTTTGTGCCAACTGCAAGCCAGGTGAGCAATGACAGCTACGGCAGGAGCTTGAAAAAATGGGAGGTCATAAAGATTTGCCTGTGGAGATCAGTGGACGCAGGACAAAGAAGTTACTCCAATAAGTCAGCTGCAGTGAATTCACTGGCATTTGTGTGCTGTTCTGCCTCCTGCGCTGGGTCTCACTGAACAGCAGGATTTGTGGGAACGTTATTATTTTACGTTTATAGGAACTTTATTTTTTTAGGTGAAACATGATTTCTTTGAAGGATAACTCTGAGCTGCTGTAGATAACGCCAGTAACTTCAATTCCTTGCTCATGCTGGCAGGTTGGCTGACACACAGCTGAGCCTGCTGGGCTCTGTATGTGATCAGTCTGCTGTAAGGCACCAACAGGGCTCTGCCTCCTGCTGCTGCTCCGAACCCAGCGATGCAGAGGGCTCCAAGTAGACTTAGGAATGGAGCGCGGAGATGCTGGAGCATCTCCAAGGGGTTTCTCCAACGGGGCATCTCCAGCGGGGCATTTCCCAGGGGCTGTGCTGGGTGCTGTGCTCCTGCTGTCCCAGCACATGCACGCACAAATACACATTCAGAGCTGGACAGAGGGCTTGCAGCAGCCCAAGAGGAGGGCTCGTCCCACGCAGGGCTGGGGGACCAGACCCAGCCGGCTTCTCCAGCCCAGGGCCCAGGGGAGTGCAGGCCTCTCAGCTGTAAATGTTATTGTATATTTATAAACAAGACCAGACTGGAGGGATGACATGGCTCTATTTACCCCAGTGGCATGTAAAAGTAAACAGCCCGATGAGTTGATCATTAACTCGCCTCCCCTGCTTTGCTTTCATGCCTTCTTATATGAATAGAAACATCTCTCCCCCCCCATCTCCTTTTGCTCTGTCTTTGTTTGCCCTATCTCCATGAGCGCTAGTTTAATAGCCCTCCTTGAACTCGGAGAAGGCTATCGTTTGCTTGCAGATCAAAACAATGCTGCAATGCTGGCTGCCTTATATCTGAATCCCCCCTAAATTCTGCTTTACAACTGAGATTAAAAAAAAAAAGAAACACAACTTGTTCTCAGTTTCAGCAAACAAACAAGCAGTGAAACTTTGTGTGGTTCGGGACAGTCCCATGAAAACAGAGACTTTACTGAGAGCTTGGCAGCAAGCCAATTTGATGCATTAATCTAAAGAAATAAATCACATGAATTGGAGATAAGCACATGTTTCCCCCAAGCAAATAGAGGCCACTTGGCTGTGAAAGGCATATCTTGCTCAAATAATGAGTGGGAGACTCTAATTTCTTGCTTGCAGTTGGTGTTTCTTAAGGGGCTTGCAGGCTGCGAGCAGAGGAGTAGCTGAGCGTTATCAGCCATCTACTGAAAGGCTGTGTGTCTCACACAGCTCACATAGCTAGCAGAAAAGTCAGCGTAGACTATTTTCCCACCCACACACTTTCACAAGGAGTGAACGGCGCCACTACTGCACAGGTCTTGTAAAGGGTCAAGGATTTATTTTTCTTGAGTGAGCAACAGGCTGCTTTTTCACCAGCAATAATATTTTGTGACAGCGAGGCACCATCCCGAGGAAACAGTAGTCTCCAATGCAACGGGTGCCAGAAGTGCAGGCGTGCAGCTGCTCGAGGTCCCAGACCTCCGTGGCACGCACAGACCTCTCCTTCGCACTAGGTTAGGTTTCGAGGACACGCTTGTAAGGTAGCAACCACCTGAACTTCTGCTCGTGAAGGTGTAACCTGCCTCCCTCATGTCTCATCACACGAGCCTGTGGGCTAGAGCCTGGGCAACTGCTGGCTCTGCAGGCAGCTGCAGGGATGCTGCATGGGATGAGGGACAGGGACAGAGAGGGGCAGGAGGGCAAATTAGGCTATCAGTGTTACTTTACATCCACCTTCAGTTGCTTTTCTCCTTTGGGCAGTGAAAACCCACAGGTTTGGAGAAGTCACGCGGGTGAGGTCTGCTGCAGACTTCATCCACAGGCCTGAGCATCGAAACCTGGCATCAGCAGCTGCAGCAGTGTGCTCTAGTTAATCTGGAGTTTGGCTCTTGTGGCTCAGGAATTAGTTTCATGAAAACCTGAAGCAGCCCAACCAAACCTGTGTAAGTTCCATAAGCACCTGGTTGGGTACCCACAAGCTTTCTAGCTTAACTGAGGCAGCATGAAGTGCCCTGAGATGAGCACCTCTTCTCTTTGCCCATGCACCAGCAGCCGGCAGTGCTGCCACCACACACCTTCCTTGGATGCTGAGAGCAGCACAGGGATGTCCCTGGCCGCTTTGTGGGTACCTGCACGGCTGTGGGGTTTGGGAGAGGAGACAAGTGGGAGCCAGCTGCTGCGTGGTGCCTGGGGAGCCATTAATTTGGCAGAGAAGAAGCCGCTCAGCCCTGCTGCCTCGCCTCTCCTTCCCCCAGCTCTCTTCTTCGAGGCCACATTGGCAGCTGGCTCGACTCTTGCAGAGCTACCAAACCACATTTCATGAAGATTGATCACAGAAGCCATTGTTGTCCCGTGTTAAGCCATTTATTTGCTGGTGAGTCCCCAGGGTCCCTCCGGAGGGAGAGGGGGAAAGTGGACAATAACGAGAGCAGAGGGACCCTGCCCGGCGCAAGCTTTCTCAGAGATGCGAGCCCCCGGCTAACCGCAGAGTGCTTCCACCCAGACACCCAGCTATTTTTAGCCTAACATCCAGGCTGGGTTGCTGCTCGCAGCCCCAGTGTGCTCTTGGCAGCTGGCTGAGCCGCGCAGCGATGGCGAGCAGCCCGAGGATGCGAAATCGGGGTAACGGGGCAGGCAGGGGGCAGGTCCCACGGCCTCACACACAGAGCGCTCTTCAGGGCATCCTCTGGTAAGGCTGCCGTGCTGCACGTTGTTCTTGTGCACAGATCACGCCTGCTTTGTGTGGATATCAAGGGCAAACCAAGGATATACGGGGAAAAACAAGGGCCTGAAGAACGGCGTGGCTTCACTTTGCTCTGCATGGCCTCTCCTCCTGCTCTTCACAGGACGATGCTTTGACCTCCTGCTCAGCGGAGCAGGCCCAGCCCCAAACCCAGTGCTGCTGGTGGTCATGCCCCAGAAATTATTGGCTGCTGGTCCCGGGACACAATCACATCCTCCAGGGTAAACGGAAGAAGATAGAGAATAAATGCTCCATTATAGTGATTGTCAATGGAGACAGAGGTAATAACCATAACGAATGGAGTCTCCTCGGGGGGAAGAGGAGAGTTTCTGGGCAGAGCTGGGTTTCCTTCAGATGCTGGCTATCCACCGAGTGGGCTGGGCAGTGCTCCCTGCCAGGACACTGCTGGTGGACTTTGCTGCGGGTGCTCGCTGCACTGTTTGTGTGCCTGGCTGTCTGGGCACATGGCATTTGTTTCTGCTCCTGGACTGGGAACATATTAAACAGGAGACTGGAGAGCAGCAAATAATGAATACCACACTCTGGTCTGAGCTCTTGGATGAATAATCATTGGTGTTGAAATATATGAGACTCTGTGAGTCCGGGATCCAAGTATTTTCACCAATACCCAGCAGTTGTCCAAATACAAACAATGAATAAAATGAACCACAGCAAACTCAGATTGGGGAAGGGGAGTGCTGGTTTTGCTCTCTCTCCCCTCTCTGTCACCAAGCGATGGCACAAAATGGGCAAAAGTCAGCCCTTCCAGCCTTGCTGAGGCCATGGCATGTCCGAGCCATGCAATGGACTCTTTGTGCCAGGCACCTCTCCCCGTGCTGCTCAGGGGCTGTGAATGTGCCAGCTGATGCCAAGGGCTGCTCCTCCCTGGGCTGGCCAGCAGGTACGGGGACGGTTTGTCCCTGCTACCACCTGGGGCCACCACAGTAAGTGAGCTCTGCCCCACAGTGCCCACTCCCTCTCTCAAGCCTATCTGCAGCAGAAAAGGCACACAAGCAGAAATGCCCGGGGTCAGGAGTCACTGGCATGTCGTTTTTAAATAGTTTGGCTATTTTAAATGCTGACAGTGTTTGTTTGTGAGGCCACAAGCTTTTCACAGCCTCCCCCTAAAGCCACCTGAAGCAGAGCAGCTGGATGCTGGCATGGGCAGCTCTGCTGTGGCCCAGCAGTGTCCCTTGGCTGCCGGGGACAGGAGCCATCCCCATCCACAGCGAGGAGCAAGCAGAGGCACGGAGAGATCTCAGCCAGAGATCTCCGTGAACTGCTGCCAGGTAGGAGCCTCTGTGCAAGAAGCTGCTATTTTATACGGTCCAGGGTGACTCCTGGCTGTGTTTTTCTTGCCTGTGCTCGAACTAATGTTTTGTGCCAGTCGATATTTCTCTAGGTAGCTGTTCTGTGTGATTTCAGCTTATCCAGCAAACTTTTTGTTCAAACATCAGCTGTACTAAATTTGTGCAAAGCAATTCTCATGCTGTCCAGATGCCACTGCTTCTAAAAATAGTCCGGTCTAGTCCATTTTCCCAGCTTCTTGCCTTTTATCAGTAATACTTTTAATAGTCTTTGCCATATTTCAAGAAGAGGAGTCATTTGTCCATGTCAGGCCAGCAATTACTGGGAACAAGAGTCCTTCCCAGTTCCCCCATACTCCCATTCATGCTCTTACACACACACAAAAAAAGACCAAGACAAAACTGGGAGTTTCAGAAGCTGTTTTTGCACTGGAAAACAGAAGCTTTTGGTGTACACTGGGTGGGAGCTGCACCACGTTGGGCTGAGCCCAGGCCTTCTTTGCAGAGTTCCAAAACTGCTGTGGGTCCCTTTCTTGGGGCTGAGGCAGCATCTGGAGTGGGTGTGGGACATCCCCGAGGCGCCCTGGCATGGTGGGATGCTGTCCGAGTGTGCCCGGGAGATGGAGAGCCGTGGGGTGGGATTGGGATGGGGCGAGGTGGGATGGGGTGGGGTGTCAGGGCAGCGGCAGCTCCCTCCTGCTGCCAGCTCAGTGGAAAGGCTGCAGCGCATGCCCGTGCCTCAGTTTCCCCATCTCCCAGCGGTGGGACTGCACCGTTTGAGAACACGGAAGCTTTGTGGCCAGAGGTCACTGCATCAGCAATGCTTTTCTGAGTGCCAGAGACAGATACTGTCTGTGATGTTATCTTGCTTGCTGATATTTTATTTCATGAAAAATTTATGCCATTTCAGAAACATTTCTGCAAACACAAGCAGCTTTTAAGGACATTGGCATCTTTTAACTATCCAGCAACGTTCTTGAACGTTGTGGCTTTTCCTGTGTTTATTTTTCCTCCTCCTGGACATTTTGCTCAACAGACGGGCTGTTTTTTTTTTTCCTTTTGGCTCTGCCTGCCCACAGCCAGTGTCCCAGGAGGTGCAGCACTGGTGGAGCCTGCGTGGGGCTGTGTTGAAAGCCCCAGGGTGGTCATGGGGGTGCTGCAGGGACTGGGAGGAGACACGTGTGCTGAGGCAGCCAGCAGCCCTGCTCACACCAACAGCAGAAACAGAAACGCAGTTTTCCTTGGCGTTAAAGCCCCTCTGGCAGTGTCAGGGTCTGCCCTTTTCCAGGGCTGCTTTGCACTTTGGGGTCTCTGTGTGCCCTGCAGCCCTCCCGGCAGGCAGCCGGGGTGAAACAGCCCCAGGAAATTACAGACAGTCAGCCTGGAAAATCCCAGGGAGCTTGATTTACTCACAGAACATGTTTGTGTAACAATACAATGGGGGAGCCCTATTTTTGGTACAATGCCTCGCTCTGCATGCCAAGACGTGCTGATGCTCCCTGGTGCTGGCAGGCACCGGTGCAGCAGCGCTGGGGCTGTGCTCGGCTGCCCCTGCTTGCCCTGCAGCCCCTGGATGAAGAGCAGAGCCCAGCGGGCTGGGGGTGCAGAGGGGTGCCCCTGCCCTGAAAGCACCAATGCTGCTGCCCGCAGGGCTGCTCACTGCCCCTGTTTGGGCTGAGAAACCTCGCAAGCAAAAGTTACTGGCAGCCCAGGTCTGGGGCATGTTTCTGAGCCAGCCTTTTGGGGGCAAGTCTGAAGAGATCATTAAAAAAACATCAAAGAGTTCTTTGCTAGCAAACAGAGAGAAGTGGTGTGAAATATTGCTCAGTCTGCAGGGAGGACTCTGTTGGGCTCTGCCTTGTAGGGAACTCCATTGGGTTTGAAATGCTCCACGTGGCTGCACTATTCACACCTACTTTTGCTTGAATCACGTTTGGAGATGAAGCAGAAAAGAGTTTTCCAGCACCCAGCATGGGTTTGTGAGGCAGTACCACGGGGAGATGGCGGGGAGCACAGTGGGTGTCCCACTCCAGCTGCCACCCAGCTCCTCTGCAGCTGTCCCAAGGCAAGGCTCCTTCCCGGAGACGCTGAGGCTAACCGCAGGGCTAATTTCAAGGACAGGTGGCTAACGAGCGTGCAGATCTGCCCCCACCACCTCTGGGATGATCCCATAATGTCCTCAGCCAGGGGACACAGCCAGCTTCAGCCCCTTGGCATTCCAAAGCACAACAGACCAGAGCAGTGCCCGGTCCATGCTCACGGGCTGTGGCATGCAGCCTGTCCATGGCTGCTGCTGCCTGGGGACATGGCAGGAGACCTGTCCTCCTGCACTGGCTGCCTTGGGCTTATTTGGGCTTATTTGGAACATTTCTGGGAGATGCAGCATAGGCGCACCCGGAGAGGTGGGCTGCGAGAGGAACACTGGCACTCCTCTGAGTGTGGCCACCTTGCTTTGGCTTTGCAGCTGCACTGGGCTTGCCATGGGGCCAATGGATGCCACCACCCACCCAGCTGCCTGCCACCCAGGTTAAAAACCAACCACCTTCCCCTGCACCAAGCAGGGATGTGCCCCTGCCCGCCCTCTCTGCACCCACAGTATCCCGGCCCTGGCACCAGTGGTACCAGTGCTGTGCCATGGCCATGCTCTGGGCCATTTTGGGGATGCGGATGGGGCTCTCCAAGCCCTGTCCAGACACAGTCTGCTGGGTCAGCTCGTGTGTGCACCAGCAGTGCCTCGCCGTGGGGAGACGTGCAGCTCCCCTGCTGGTGCTCGTCCTGCAGGACCCCTGCTGTGCTGCGGGAGCCGACTCCCGCATGCTGCCCTTTATTCTGCTTCTTCTCGGCGGCTGCTGGGAAGACACGGAACAAACAAACTGGTCGAACAATGCTTTCCAGGAACCGCTCGCTTCCTCCCGGAGTGCCGAGGTCGGGGTTATGAGCGCCAGAGGAGCACCCGCACTCCAAGTGCTGCCGTGCTGGAGAGGTGAGCGGCACCCTGAGCTGTCCTGCGGGCGTCTTTGTGGAAAAGCAACGAGTTGTGCCTCAGCCCCCATCCCCCCGAAGGAGCATTTCTGATTTCCAGCAGCCTGCGGGGGGGGTGCCGGCTGCGAGGAACAGAGCACTTGCGCTTTTGCACGTTGGCGTTTCGGGGAAGGCTCAGGAAGTGCTGATGAAGCATTCGTGCGCTGGGTCTTACAAGCTGGAGGGGAACATGCGTGGTGAGAGGCTTGTTCCCATAGCTCTTCCAAAAAATCTTTGCAAGGGTGCGTTTGTGAAGTGGGCTGCATGTAAATTACCCATAAATAAGCTTAACGTTACTGAGCAGGTGGAACAGGGCAGGGTTCAGGAAATTATGCAAAGAGAGGAGACAAAGGGCCGGGCTGCAATTGCCCTTTGTTTAGGGGACCCAGGCTCACTTTCTGCAGTCACAATGCGTTAGCGCAGGGCACAAAGGCAGGCAATTTCAGATTTGATTAAACTGTTTGACAGCATTCATATGTTAAATGATTATGTGCTGCTATCTACTGCTACAGTGTGCATATCTCAGGAGAATCACAAATGAACCCAATGAGGCCAGAGTGTGGTGTAACAGGAGATGTAATTAATAAACTAAACAAGAGGGGGAAAAAAGCAAATTTGTTGTGGTTTTACCCAGTGACCAGGCATGACAAGTCAGGAACAAATGAGTAATACAGACGAACACAGATGCATGTCCTGGCATTTCAGAGCCTAATCCGGATGCAAATATTTTAGGCAGGATCCCGTCTCCCATCTCCAAACCTTTAGACACACATGGGGGCTGTGTGGCATCCCCTGTGCTGGCAGATGCCTGCGGAGTCAGGTCATGGCTGTTCAAAGGCATTCCCAGCAGAAGGATTATTTTGCTTTTATGCTTGCTGCCCATTCAGCCTTTTATGAGATGCCACGAGGAATCGAATGAAATTCAAAGCAGGAGTGAGGATTAGAAACCCCCCTGTCAGCCGCACAATGTCCGGGCGGAGGAGCCGGGCAGGCTCTGCGGGCAGAGGCGATGGGCACCTGGACATCCCCTTCTCCTCAGGATGGGGACAGGAGGGATATCGCAGCCCAGGTGCGCTGCCTCCAACCCCACTTTTCCCCATCCCTGAAAAGTTAGCTCTGAAACATGCTCCTTCCCTGTGCAACTTCTGGTCAGCAGCCCCAGCCTACGGGAGAGGTGCTCAGAGACGGCTCCTGCAAACACCACCAGTCAGTGCATTTCCCACTCTCGTTAGGCTGATTGGCAGCTGCCAGACTTAAGTTGCCTGCAGAAGCATTATATCATTATATGCATCCCCAGCTGGCTTAGAAATACCTGTGCCCACGCACAGAGTAGTGTCCTGCAGTGTCACTGTGCCCAGCTCCAGGCAGCCTGTTATGCTGCTGCAGCGCATCGGCATGCTCAGGACAATATTCTCCCCATATCTTTTAATACCCACTCTGCCGTTGCCAGCAAGCATTTCCACTTCCCTCCAAAATATTAAAAAAAAAAAAAAAAAGCCAGAAGTGGTGTAACGATGTTTCTCTGGAGGTGAGGGCCCTCGGAGGGCGGCTGGGCGGCAAAGGGAGCTCGCAGCACTCCCAGTGCACCAGATTGCAATGAAAGCTTTTATTGCCCACTCATCTAGCCTGTATCAGTCAACTATTTGGCTGAGGGAGAGGCGTCCATTCAAAGCCAGTTTACAGCACAGTCTTTATTTTTATTTTAAAAGCATCTGGAAATTAAAAATCCCCTTTGGCACTTGTCCACTTTGGAGAGAGAGCCAGCCCTGTCGTCTGGCCAAGCAGCCCAGCTCTGGCTGCATTGGGTGGATCCAGCGCTGGGACGTTTTTCTAACTGGAGCAGACACGGGCTGCTGGCTTCCTTCCAGCAGCTCAACAAACTTCCCACGCCGAGCGCCGGGTCGGTCCTCACGCCGTGAGCGCGACACCGCGGGCATGTCACTCAGAGCCACTCAGGGTGTGCCGTGCCCAGCCGCGGGCTCTCCCAGCCCAGGGACATCCGTCAGGAGATGCTTTCACCCAGACAAAGAGCTACAATCTGGCTGGTGCACATAGGGTTTGCCCCAGGTGAACCGACACCAAGCATGCACTGTTTGTTCCCATTTTGGGGTGGCTGCAGGTCTGGCAGGTATTGGCCGTCCCCAAAAAACTGTCCCCATCAGGGGGACACATCGTCGCTGCCTTCTCAGCAGCGTGGCAGGAGGTGACGGTACCTAGGGCTGTCCGAACCTGGTGGCACAGCTGTGCTGGGTTCACAGCAGAGCCCTGGGAAGTTCTCCATGAGCAGCGTTCTGCCCCGAGATGCAGCACATTTCGATGAAGGCCTTCCTCGGCAGGCTGGTAAAGCCCAGCTGGGTCAGCCCTGGGGTACCGGTGTGTTTTGGAAAAAGGAAGAAAGTAAAAACACGGTTATGTGCAGGTGTGGTTATGTGGACCTGGTTTTCATCCTGTGGGAAGCTGCAGGCACTGGAAATCCCCAGCCAGCACCTCTGGCTGCACGGCCCCAGACATCCCCTCACTGCGTCTCTGCAGTGGGAAGGCAGAGGACAGAGCAACAACAAGGATTTATCTTCTTTGTGCTACAGAAGGGAAATTGAGCAACCCCTGCCCAGCAGCTTGAGATTGCCACTGGAGAGCATTGAACCTGCCGGGCACATCAGCTGCAACCCGAGACAGCATCTTTTATCCAAAAAGGGCATTCAGGCACCGTGCCGACATTTGGCTCCTTGTTACCTTTTGCAAGGTCTACAGAGCCTGGGGCTGCCCTCATCCTCTCCTCCCCTCATGGCTGGCAGACCTCAACCCAGGATGGCCGCAGCAGCAGCCTGTTATCCTGCCTGCATCCATGCCTGGAGGAAATAGGGATTATTGCTCACAAGTGTTTGCTGGGGGGAGAGGGAGGCAAGCCCAATTACACCCCTCACGAGGGCCAGGCATCGGGAGATGCGAGCAGAGGCTCTCTTCTAATCTTAGCTAAGCTCTTGCAAAGCCCTGCTGCACATGCACAAACTAGAATTTTTCAAAGGCTCGTAAAACCGAAACAACCGTGGTCAGATCCTTATGGCAATGGCAATTCGCCCGTCTTTAGCACAAAGCTGATCTTCCCCCGCTGGAATTCAAGTCCTTCTTTCAGAGTATGGAAGCATTAGATCTCTCCAAAGAAAGGATTTCCTGAATTATTTTAACACTGAAATAAATAAATAAATAAATAAATAAATAAATAAATAAATAGTGTATTCTTCTCTGGCCTGGCTCTTGCAGGCAGTTGAACTACTTGGCTGAAATTTTCTCAAAAAAAAAGCAAAAGCCGGAGTCATGACATCAGAACAGGATCCTGCACTCAGAAGGGACAAGCAACCTCCAGTGCAGGCTGTGCTACCAACTCTGCCTCCAGTAATATCTGCCAACTTTGTGTGCATCATGCATTGTTTAAATAACCTAATCAAGTTATATATTCCTTTTGAAGTCAGACAACTTTGATTTAAACATGGCTTCAGAGCTTTGAAAACCCAAATCTTTTCTAGTTTGTCTTCCATGATGGTTCCTTACCTGTCTCCCATCATTGAATAAATCATTATAAACATAAACCAGATGCTTGATGCTAACAATAACTTTAGAGGGCCCTGCTTCCCCTACGCTCTATGGGCAATGACTAACACACTTTTAGCCTCCAGACTTAATTTAAAGCATTCTGAAATTGTGCACTGGTGAGACGAAGGCTGCCCGAGACAATAACTTTTACATTAAAAATAATCTGTCTGTAACAGCAACAAAGTGAAGGTTGTCCTCCTTCAGCCCCAGCGTGCCTGCTATGGGCACTGCAAGCCATGGATTGCACTTACATGAATTCGTGCATGAAGACATTGGGAAGGGAAGACTTTGCAAGCACCTTAAAGAAAATGAGGTGTCTGTGGTTACATGCACATGAGCAGGGGCTTGCAGTGAGCGTGCAGCAGCCAAACAGCTCCTTGCAGCGACGCCTGCAGTATTTTCCTCTGGGATGTGACAAGGGAAAGTGCTGAGTCTCCAGGTTATGGGCATGATGGCACTCTGGCAGGAGCAGCAAGTGGTTGAGTTGACCTCAGCCTCTGCACTGCAACCAGACATTGAGCTAAAGCACTTTGAAAACTGGAATTCACCTTGCCTGGAGATAGATTATCAATTCATGGAGCGGCGGGGCGGTGTGGTGGTGCAAGATAGAGCATTTCTGACCCAGAGACGTCAGCCTGCAGAAAGTCTGGAGCTAACAGCTGCTCCAGAGCTGCTCTGTAGGGAATATATTGCTTAGCAGAGGAACACTCTTAAATGCATTACTAGTACAGCTAAATCAGTGTCTGGAGATTGAGCTCTGGCAATGAAACAAAGTTTTGAAAGCTTAGTTCAATATTCTTTCACTTTTCTAAGCCTGCACACATTTAGCCCACAGGTCAGTTAATCCTGCGATTTAATTTACACATTTTTGTCATCCCTTATTTACATACTTTGCTGTCTTATTCACTTGAAGCAATAACCCAAAAGCGGAGAGAAGAAGGAAATTTCATTATTTTAATGAAGCATTTTCAGTTCTCACTGCAACACACCAGGAGCACGGGTTCACAGTGGTGGGATGGTGCAGCCATGCGTGATGGCCACGGCTATGCTGGGGTCACAGTGGGGGACCGGGGGCCATCTTCTGTCCTCCTGCCCCCCATCAGTCCCTGGGCTGCTCTCTCCTGGCCCTCTCCACACTCTGTGCAGGTTTGTCGCATCCAAGTGGTGGTCAATGAGGGTGAGGAGCAATCCTGACCAGGAGAACAAGTGCTTTGTTCCTGGTTGTCCCCAAGGAGAAGGCCCCCAGACCTGCCCTCCCATGAAATCTGGCCAGAGAACCACGTACTCCAGAACTTATTCATCCTGCAGGTTTTGGGGGCTGCTTCTGTGCCAGGTGCCCCTTGTGTGAGGCTGGTGTTACCTTTGCACCACAAACTGGCTTTTCCCAATTGCCATACACCTTCATCCTCCTCCCTGGCTCTCCCCTCGCTGTGCCCTGCCTGCTCCTCTGCTGCAGATGGCACCAGCTCTAACCCTGGATTTTTTTCCATTCCAATTTCTGAATGAGAGAACTCACCAAACTCTATGATATAGTGAATGAGAAGAAGCACAGAGTAGCATGAAGGTGGTACAGGCTCTGGTCCCAGCCTCTCCCAGGAAGCTTTTGCCACCTGCTTCACTTTCCAGCTACGGTGCGACAGCCGGGGTGCTCCTTGCCAAAGCAGCCCCTGCTGGCTATCCAGCCATGCTTGCAGTAGTGCCAAATCCATCTCCAGAGGATGTTACTAGAGCACTAGCATATAAAAATCCATAATTTATGCATTTCAAGCCATGTTTTTGATTATGTCAAATGGTGAGCAAAACCTGAAAAGTCTCTTTTATAGAAAACGTTAATTCCTTATGACGTTTTTTTCCTTATACAGAATGATTTACCTGTCCCTTGGGTTACGGTCTTTGTACAACACAGCATGTGTCTGTTCTGGTTCCTCACATCTGAGATACAGATCCCAGGCAAGCAGCTGTCCCATGGTATGGTGGGTTTTTCATGATGAATGGGAATCCTTTACAGGCAGCTTTCATTTTCTCATCTGAAAGTCTCAGTACATTAGGAGTTGTCAGAGTCTTCTGAACGTTCATATCTATTATGCCATCACCACTATAAATGCTTTCAAATTAACAACCAGACAGATTTCCTTTCCTTGACCAAGCAGGGAAATAAAGGGAAAAGACAGAAATTATTACATTACAGACTACCTTCTCCTCCATCCTCCTTAGCCATTGCTTTGCAAAGTGATATGAAAGGTTATTTACATTTGGATACATCTAAGGGGATGGATAGGACCAAATGCTCCAGAAAGGATCACAGCTCTTTCCTTTCTTGCCCTTGCCTGTCTCTGGCACCGAGCAATCAGCAATGCTCAGATGAGATCCTGACGAAGGATGAAATACAAATAAAAATATTTGGGAGAAACTGGTGGCAAATGGGCAGTTAAATAGCCTCATACATTCATTGCCTGTTTCATTTCCTTTTTAGCTCACTATTTTTTTCTATTCCTGTTTGGTTCTGGAGAGGGGCATTTTCAGTCTCTGTGCAGGCGTGCAGTGGACAGCAGTTCTGCTGTTGTGTGGGCAATGGCACTTCCCAGGCCAGCATTGCCAGCAGATTTCCAAACACACAAACACAGTGGGTTATACAGCCAAAGACTGGAACTGCAGCCCAAGGCCTCTGCAGGGTAAGATGTCAGGATCCCAGGTGTCCATTTTGTGTGTCTGGCAAAAACATTGTACATCTAAAAATAATGAGTGAAGGTAAAAAAAATGAGAAAATTGTCTTTCATGTGAAATCTCTTTTTCAATCTCTTCTCATGACTCTGAATTTTTCCTGTTAGTTACTGTGTCTTTTAAATGTGCCCTTTCAAGCCCTTCCCAATGGCCCCGTCTGCCTGGCCACCAGCAGTGGAGGCAGAGCTTTGCATGAGGACTTGCAGGGCTCTGAGACCTTCGCTGGCTCCTGGTGGGAGATCACACTCAGACAACCCCGAGCACCCCCCTGCACTGGCAGCCTATGGATAAAATCTGGGTGGGTGACTTAAGAGCCTCAAAAATTGCCATGGTGAGTAATCCTCCAAGATTTGAAGTTACTCGTGTAAACACGGGCTTGACAAATACTGTCTTTTACAAAAAATAAAAATAAAAAATAATAAAAAAAATCAAAGGATCACACTTGCTTTTAAAGTGATGTTTGGTCACAATACTCTGTTCTTCAGGTCAGCTGCATTGCAGAGAGTACACAACCACTTCAAAATAATTGATGCAGTATCTGTTCTGCTAGCTGATGTGTTTTAAAAACTGTACATCCAACAAATGCCAATACGTGGTTCATATGTACTAGGTTCTATCCTGGAAACACGCACACATGCTTTATTTCTATCTTCACTGAGAATAGGACAGGATTTTGCATTCCTGTACTTTTCATAACTCTCTCCTCACCCTGCTATGGGTAGTGGCAAAACTTTCACAGCACATAGTCTCAAACAACTGTGGTGGAGGAGCTTTTATTGAGGGGACTCCAGGGGCTGCTGCTGTCTCCTTTGTGCCACAGGTTGAGCAAAAAGGGACTGCCAGGGAGGAGGTTCAGCCCCAGTTAATGCAGAAAAGTGGCAATGCACAGATCAGAAACATAACAAATTCCTTTATCCTGGTGCTTCTTGGGCAGACTGAGCATCTCGACATTTGATGCCTTGGGGACAAGGCTGGCAGGGCTGTTTCTTCTTGTCATTCTTTCCTGAGTAGCTTTTAGTGTTGCACGTAGGGAGATCACAGCAGAGGGAAAGGGAGACACAAACCCTCTTTTCTCAGACTCTTGGCTAAAACCCAAATATGTTAAACATTTCTGCTAGGAATTGATTCCTCACAGCAAATCTCCAAGCTCTTGTCTCTGAAAGCTATAAACCCAGGGCTGTTTACATGAGATCAGCACATGCCCATGCTGCTGTACACTTCACAGCGTGTGCATTTCGTGTATCTATAGAAATAGGGAATCCATCCTAGCAAGCCCTCTAGCGGTCTCAGCTGGGGAGATGGGGCCAGATCCAGACACGAAGGCTCCACACAGTGCAGGAGGACCAGCAAAACCTTCCCTAAAGCCTGAAGACCTCAGAAGATATGAACCGGCACTTGCGGGCAGCCAAACAGTGCAGCCAAAGACCCGTGTGACATTTCAGCTGTGCATAAGGCACCGAATAAACAGAAAATATTGGAAGCACATTTCTAGAGAGTTTGCAGAAATATTGTTTGGGTAGGGGAAAGGGAAGAGCTATGTTTTGCATTGCATCCCATCACACTGTGGTACTAGTCACAATTTTGTGATGGCTTTCCTTTTTATTTAGGGGAAAGGGATAAAAAGCATGATGGAAGTCATGGAAGTGGTTAAATGGAAAGATCTGTTGATCTTGCAAGACCACTGGTAAATAATTTAACAAAGATCTTTAACGAGTATCACTCTACAGGGAAAAAATAGGTCCACTTTAAACACTGCTTTTCCAATTTGGATGTCTAAATCAGTATTGCAGTCCTTTAAAACAGCCAAACTCTGTAGGAATTGCCATGGAGAGTCAGACGCGGAGCTCTGGCTGCCAAGTGTAAAAGAGAAAAATGTGAGAAACTTCAGAACAGGCAAGCATGGGGCAATCTCCCTTCCCCCAGAAGAGCTCATCCGAGCCCTGGAGACTATCTGAAGTATTAAAGCAATAGGTTTTGCCCTACCCAAACCATGGCTGGCATGAACTCTCCAGTGATGGCTCTTCTCCAGAGGAAGATTCTGCAAAGCTTTCGATAATTTTATGGAAACACCTCATTGCATATTTTAAGTATTCCCGTTACCATCTCTCTCCCAGAAGGATTTTAACCTCTCCAATAAACTGCGACTAGACACATAACATCCTGTGGTCACTCTGGATACCTGCACACATGGAGAAGCCTTCACCGGCAGGGCTGCTTCACAGCCGCAGGAGAAGCTCGTGCGAGGAGCGTGGGTTCCCCACTGGGAGACACCTGATTCCTAGGGAAGGGAGCGCAGGGCAATTAGTCACTGTAAAACAGCCTAATGAGGCTAAAGAATTAGGAATTGCCTAGGCCCCAATAAAACCCAGTGCTTTATATGACTCGAGATGCAGTTGGAGGAATCTGGCTAATCTTTTACTCTCCTAGTAAATCATTCATTGAGGCCATCTGTGAAACATGAGAAGAGCAGCTTCAACCCAAGATTCCCGCTTAGCAAAGCTCTCACTGGCTTGGCCGGAAAGAAGCTTTCCTGATAAAGCTGATAGCTGGTCCGAGCCCTCATGATTTCCAGCAGCACTAATCCTTCTGGGGAGATTAGAGGAGCAGCCCTCGACGGTCCTGGAGCATGGGTGTGCATGTTAGCACAGTTTAAGGGAAAAAAAATCCACAGCACTTGCCAGGGGAGGGCCTGGCCCAGAGGTGCACCACTGGCCGCTTGCTTCTCCAGCAGCCTCTGCAGATGGGTCTGACATGTGGCCCCAGAACAGCTGATCGCAGCACCCCGGGGACAGGGAGCATCCATGGGACACAGGAGAGCATCCAGGGAGAAACCTGGTGCCTCGGTGGCACAGTCTGAACCACAGTTTGGTTCAAGGAGAGGCATGGACACCCATCTGGAAAGTGATGTTCAGCTGAACTCAGAACCCAAACTTCCCTGTGTCAGGAAAGTTCGTGTCTGGATCGAGTGAGTACGGTGTGGGGTTGTGTCTCCTGAGGAGGCATAAGTCATCCAAAACATCCCCCCAGTTTCCACACCAGGCTGCTTGTGCATATCTGTGTCCTCCACCCAGATCTGATGGTGTTTTTTAAGGAGCAATTAGCCTCTCTCCACAGGCATTACTGCTAATCTGGGAATAGAAAGTCCTCAGACAAAGAAAGTCCTCAGGCAAATACTTCATAGGGCAAAACAAATAAAATTTTAGCTTACAGGAGAAAAGGGCTGAACACCTAACCACAGCATTTGAGAACATGAATTACAATCCACTTCCTCCATGAATTAAGACAATACGGTTTTTTACTTTTTACTTTTTTTTTTTTTAAACCTTCTAGTTTCTGATGTTTTAGGAGCTGCAGTTCCCTGGTGGCTCAATTGCCAGAAGGAACAGAGTTTCAAAGTGAAAGATGAGATGCTCCAACTCCGGGAACCAAATGCTTAAAGGGAAGTGAAGGAAAAACCAGTATGAAGTTTAACAAGGCCAAGTGCCGGGTCCTGCACCTGGGGCGCAATAACCCCAAGAAGAGCTACAGGCTGGGAGAGGAATGGCTGGAGAGCTGCCAGGCAGAGAAGGACCTGGGAGTGATGGTGGACAGTCGGCTGAATATGAGCCAGCAGTGTGCTCAGGTGGCCAAGAAGGGCCAACGGCGTCCTGGCTTGTATCAGAAACACTGTGACCAGCAGGGCTAGGGAGGTGATTGTCCCCTGTACTCGGCTCTGGTGAGGCCGCACCTCGAGTACTGTGTTCAGTTCTGGGCCCCTCGCTACAAGAAGGACATCGAGGTGCTTGAGCGGGTCCAGAGAAGGGCGACGAAGCTGGTGAGGGGCCTGGAGAACAAGTCCTATGAGGAGCGGCTGAAGGAGCTGGGCTTGTTCAGCCTAGAGAAAAGGAGGCTCAGGGGTGACCTTATTACTCTGTATAAGTATATTAAAGGAGGCTCTAGCGAGATGGGGTTGGCCTGTACCAAAGAAGAGACAAAATGAGAGCAGAACAGGGCTGGAGGCACAAGCCTGAAGTCTTACCTGGTGCTGGGCTCCCAGAGAAGGCAAGGTGTGCAGGCTCTCCATATGATTTTACCCTCCTCCAACACGCAGAGCACAAGCACCAATTTTCCTGCCTAATGCATAGTGTTGGCACCAACCGTCCCAGCTCAGAGCAGAAAGCAGAGCACAAGCAGACTGGCATGGTGGCCTGTTTCGGCCAGGGTGCCCAGGAAGCTGAGCAGGTCCCACCTTTAAGATCCATCAAACACATGTGCAAACCCAGATCGTTATACTGGTTTGGGGTGCCTTGCAGAAACACAGCTGGCGATGGGAAAATACAGCCTCTCCTTCCCCGTGCTTAAGCTAAGCAGTAACACGCTTGATTTAGTGCTGAAGTGTTCTGAAAGCCTTGGCCCAAAGTATAGTGCTCTTGATGACCAAGAGACGTTTGGGAAGTGATTATGTCTTGGAGCAGCACGTCAGACAAACAGTAGGAGCTGTAGTTCCTAGGAAGCCAGAGATCCTCTTTGCTATGTGAACTTTAACCAAGGTTTGGTGTGATAATCCCTCCGTGCTGTGGTTTGTAAGATTTAACTATTCCTACTGTTTTCCTTGGCTTTCTGGCATTTTCTCCACTGAGCCTTGAGGTCAGTAACTGTATGGAATGCATCATTTTTTCCTGCCTTCTCCCTAAAACCTCCTCAGATCTAAGCAGAGCAGCATCTCATCAATTTTTTGCACCGACCAGCTTATTAAGTAGGATTGGAAATTGCTTTACTTTATTTGTAAAAGCTAAGGGTCCTCCCTCCCTGCTCACTAAATGTATAACTGTATGAAGAAAACATGGAGAAGTGCTTCCTCCATCTCCAGCCACCCGTCACAAGCACTGTGAATGCCCCTTCTGCAGCACTGCTTCCTTTCCTGGCATGTTCTGCACCACCCTTGGCCTGCCCAACAGAGATTTCTGTTGGGCAGGACTCAGGTTGCTCAGCAGCGGGCTGCTCTGGCCTCCCAACCATGGCAATCGTGGTGCATCTTCCACCCTCCAAGTCACACACAGCGGAGACTGCAGAAGCATCTGGTATAAATCCTCCTCTCTGGGCAAAAGCAGGAAGCACAACTTTCACAAGACTCTCTTAAATGGAGAAAATCATCCAGGCCTTTTCTTTGCAAGCAGTGCACCCCTCCTGGAGCCCTGTGTGATCTAAGTTGTTTAAGAAGTAAATGAAATAGAGTGAGCCAGAGAGATGTTAATGGTTATTTCTCCAGGAAATAAAAGCTTAATTTTACCATGGGGATCTTGTCTCTGCTATGATCCTTTCAGCGGCTCACAGGAATGCAGGAGGAATTAACCAGCAGCAAGGACTGTTTTGCCCTTGCAGATCTGTGAGGAGTTTCATCCTTTCAAAAGAAATGCCCCCCACTCCTGAAAAAACAAACAAACAAACAAACAAAAAAAAAAAAAAAAAAAACACAAACCCAGACAAAGAACACTGACTCCAGTTGGTAACATGCAGTTTCACCATGGTCTGTAGCACTCTCTTTTTTTCCAACTAACCAAAACAGACCTAGAGCTTGTAAGTTCTTTGGAGACTTGGGCTGCGGCTGAGATGGTTGATGCACAAAGAGCAGGCAGCATTACGTGAGTGGCAATGCTGGAGGAGCTGGCTCCAGGCAAGGTGAGAGGAAAGGGAAGCAGGAGGAGGATTTCCAGGCTCAGAGCCATTTGTCGCTTGCTCGTGGTTAGTATCTGTTAAGCTAACTGGCAATTGAGATCAACAGCTAGGATTTTTCCATCCAATCTAAGCGAGCCAGCAGTTGGGTTTCATTCAAGTAATTGTTCTAATGGATAATAATGTATTATTATGACTAGAGGGCTTATTACTAGAATGTTGCACTAAATTCAATAACCCAAACTCACCATATATTGTCCCTCTTGTGGGGGCTTCAGTTGTTTCAGAAGGAGCCTTAGAGTTGCGTGATCATCCCTAAAACCTTCTCCCCTAAGTTCCAGCTTTGGAGAACAAGTTGTTCATCATATGCTGAATTCAGCCTTGGAGTAACTCCAGTGAAAACAAAAGGAGTAACAACAGGAATGGATTAGGCCCAATTGCTTTCACATTTCTCCAACTTGAATTTCCAATTCCAATCCTAAAGGAGGAGTGAAAAAACAAAAACAAAAACAAAAACAAAAACAAAAACAAAAACAAAAAAAAAAAAAAAAAAAAAAAAAACACCATCATATGGCACAATGACAAATATACTTCAAAACGTAAATCTGCCTATGCCGTGAGCTCATGCCCTTTGAAAAATGCACCAAGGTGAGCTTGCAGGAGCTTACCCATAAACAAAATCCTGCTGTTATCTAGTAGAAGCAATATATATTCCTACTTTTGCCAAAGTGTTGTAGTGATTTTTTTCACAAAATGGTCAAATCCATGACAGTTCTAGGTGGCTACACTTGAGACTACTGACCTTACATATATATATGTGAACCAACAGACAGTATGTGGAATAAGGACTGAGATACAGGACTGCATGCTCCCCTGCTGGCTGTTGAACCATGCTTTCTCTTGACGTTTTCTGCACCACTCACTCACCATCTTTAAAGTAAGTTACATCTAACTGTGACCTGCTGCTTCCTGCCCAGCCTGGTGAGCCACCAGCGTGGAGGAACTTCCTCTGGGCACGTTCTTCAGCGCACGCTTTCAGTGGCTGCCATGTGAAGTTAACCTAAGAAAAAAAATGTTGCCCTTCTGTTTTCACTGGAGCTATTCCCAGGACAGATTCAGTGCATTACAAAGGGGGTAACAGAGTTATCCAGTGGTCAGGGAAGTGGGAAGTAAACTGAAAGTCAGAATTCCTGGGTTCGATTCCTAGCTCTTGTTAAACCAGTTCTGACCATCTGCTCCCTTTGTGCCTCCACACACTCGGTTGAGAGTTTTGTTAATAATGATGACACTCATTTAAAATTATTCCCTGACAAATAAGAAACGTATGAAACACCAGAGAAGCACAAAGCATTAAGCCTGAGATCGGGTTTGACCCACCGGCTTTACAGAATAAATGCAGAGCTTCATTCAGCTGCCACGCTGGAAACTGAGGAGTCCAGCTCAGCTGCTATCTAGCTCAGAAATCACTGCACATTGTTTGCAAACTTATCAGGAGTGACTTGAATTGTGAATTAGCTTCAGCAAGGCAGCTGGCAAGCTGCTGAAGCATACAATGCCTGCTGAATCTGCACTTCCTGTTGGAGACGTGCGAAGGAGAAGGCAAACTATGAAAGAGCAGAGAAACCGCTCCCAACTCAAGTCAAAGCTACGTGCAGCACAGGCACAACAGGGCCAGGCGCTGAGCGGGGGGAAAACCAGAACCCCCAGCAACAACGGTGCTGATGGTACTCAGCCCTCGCACGGCACTTGTTAGGGAGAGATTTCAAAGCACTTTGTGAAAATCAGGACCATCATCTCCCCCCACCTCCTCACCCGGCTGGGTTAGGCTGCCGAGCCGGGAGGGCAGCGGCAGGACCTTTCCAGCCTGGTGCTGCAATCCTGTCGGCAGCTCTCCAGCACGCAGCCCAAGGCTGCTGCATGCTTATTCTCACATCTTGTTTTTCAGTAAAGAACCCAAGCTATGACAAAAGCAGCAGCAGCCACCAAGATGTGCTCCAGCCAGCCTCAGCCAAGCACTCACCTGGACACAGCACCAGAGCACAGCTGTGCGGTCGGACGCTTGCTCCGTGCAGGCAGGCATTCCCCTTGCACTGTAGGTTACAAAGCTGAAGCTGCTGTAAATTCTCCAAGACCCAGGTCTGTATGTGCCCACATAGAGAAATAGCAGAAAGATGCTTGCTGCCTGCGGTCTGACGGGAATGCTGCAGCATCAGCACTTCAGGAGAAAGAACCCAGCTTGTACACTGCAATTCACTAAAACTAACCGAAATGTGCCACAGCATGCTTCTGAAAGACTTCCCAGGGCTGGGAAAACAGCCAATATGCAATATACTCCTAGAAAAGCTCTCTTGCTGTGAGTAGGGTCTTTCATTCATTTCAGGTTGTCAGTAAATTTGATCAAAGTCTCTCCTCTAGTATGAGAATGTGTCTTTCTTATAATCAGAGCTCCATCTCTTCATTTTTATCAGTTTTAATGTTATTAGTACAATGAAGTCCAAACCTGACTCTGGAAAGCTATCATTTATTTACACTGAAAGGAGGAGGTTGCATTTGAGTGAAAAAGAAAGAAAACAATAGAAGCTTCTAGCAACAGGGGTTGCAGGGTGAACCCAACTTAGACGCACTTCAGCTAAAATAACTGCTGCTCATTAAATACCATCCCGTGCTTTGCAAGCCACGATACGCCATCCTGTGGTCATACAATAACCATTAGCTTCTCATGTCTTCTAGTCCAAAGTGCCCAGCGCAGTCAGATGCACAGTGTGTGTGCTGGCACTTATGCTTCAGTATCATTCACACTAGGTTTCTTGTTGCTAATGCAAAGCAAGGATGAAAAACTTCAGATACTCTCCAAAAAATAAGCCCCGATGTGCACAAGTTGCAAGACGTATGGCTGGCTTGCTGTCTGCATACAGGTGTAACACAGCCCTTCAGCACGAGCCTTCTGCTGGCCAGGAGCGTAGCCAGGACAGCCCACAGGAGAGCCATGGCTTCCCCCATGCCACGCAGGCGTACCAGCTCCTGCCCTGCTCTCTTCTTCCTGCTGGGTGGCATTCTTCTTTCTGCTCCACTGGGCTGCTCTTTCTGTACTGCCTGGTCCTGCCAGGTCCCCCCTGCTTTCCAGTCTGCTCTTTGGGTATCTCTGTCCCACCGAGATGTAGGAACACCCTCGGCCTCCCTCTCATCTTCCCCCCCCCCCCCCCCCAATTTTACCCACTAACACCTAGGACGTACCCTTTCCTGTTGGAAACTGGCAATCCCATTTGGTAACCGCTCCTAGACAAGTTGAACATCCAGCTTTGCTTTAGCCAGCCAGAAAACACAACTGCAACCTTCAAGGCTGGTGCAAACTCAGCGTGAAGTGGGGTGGTGGGGAGCTGTGGCAGCACACAAACCCAGGTGCCCACCTGGCCCAACCTATCCAGGCTGCTCCTTGCTCGTGTTGCCAGGTTTTAACAGGAAAAAAAGTGACCAGCAGCAGTAAGAGTCCTCAAAAGGCAACTGTTTCCCATTACAGTACTAGTTCTTTCAAGCTCTTTGATGTTGCTTCTCCCACACAAACAAAGCTGTTTCTTTCACAGTCTGTTCTTGCACACGAACAAGATGTTACACGTACTATACGTAGCACATCCTCGACTTATTTAAAGCACATTTGTCCCAACTCACTGTACTTTGTTCTCTATCATTTTTCAAACCAGTGCTCATGCATCAGAGGCACAGAGACATTTTATTTTACTTCTCCCTGTCGCAGTGATTTGTCTTCCAAATTCTGGGAAGTTCTGATCACAGTACAGAAATTTCAGTCCTTAGGTAGGGTTGAGACAGCTGTTAAGTTCATCGCATTAGCCGAATTTTTCCCTAAATTTTAGGTGTTCAGAGAGCAGAGTTTGCTTTGCGAGAGGCCTTTTACAAAATTTCAATTTGGATTCTGGACTAGTTAACTTCGGTTGCATTCTGAATCATACTCCTGCCCACAGTTTGTGATATCACCCGTTTCTTACCTGTGCATTGCAGATTCCAGCTTTTCCACACTGGAAGAATTGTTGGTCATGCACTGCATTGATAAACTATTACAGTTCTCATGACAAATTTAAATTGCAAATTATTTGGGGCAAGGAAAGTCTTTTTGTTCTAGCACAATAGGATTTTCGTAATCTGCATTATAAACTACCCCAATACAAATAATAGCCTGGCACTTCTGCCAGCTCATTTTATTTTGGGGAAAGTTCACAAGTGGTGGAGACTGCCACAGAATGCAGGAGATTTGATTAGGTGATGCAAGGGTTAATCCAGTCAATTCCTGACAAAACAAACGCGTGTCATTGTCTCCACGATTCATTTGACTCATGTTGTTAAATATGAGTTACTTTTATACAGACTTCTGCATAAACTATAACCAAATGCCTTGCAAAATTAAAACACAATGGATAATTCTTCCAGAAGACACACATTTCATTATCTGAAAAATAATCAAAAATCCCAAACTCTGTTATACCCCAAAATGAGGGACAAACAAGCACCCACAAAGTCCACCAGGAATTTTACCACAGCTATTTGGTAAGAAAGTCAACGTATGGCAATTAACAGCAAATGATAATTGTGTTTGTATAAGAGGTAAAATCTGATGCTCTTCAGAAATAAAATAAGGGAGACTAAGGATGTCAGACTCATTATTAGAGCTGAATATGATGCTTTTTTTGGATGGTTCAGACAGGAACGCTAGACAGCCTGGTGTCAGCAACGGGCCTGCTGAATCATAGGGGATTGTTACCACAGCGCTATTCAGAGACCTGAGGCAGGCCATGCCCTCCGTCTGTTGTAAATGAACAAAACTTGTGGTCTTTCAGCACTCAGTTCCTCTTCACAGGACAGAAAAGCATTTGGGGGTGAAAGCATGCTGGATGTTGTTGCTGTGTTACTAAGGATATGTTCAAAACACTACTTCCTACGAGAGAGAGAGAGAGACTGCTATCAAACCAGCCAAATTGGTTTACTAAAAATAGGTATTTCTTTGTTCTGTGTTTTTAGCTTTTATTTCTTTTAAAACACCAGTCTTTCGTGATCGCTAAAGCTAACACGCATTCCTCGTTAATAGCAAGAGCCTACCTACCTACTCTGCATTTCCAGACTTGACAATGTAAGAACAAAACAAATTGCTCCATGTTTAAAAAGAAAACATTGGCCCTGGCACACTTGTCACAGTCAAGACTCAAAACCGAGGCCCAATAGCCCCCATATCAAAAGGCTTTCAGATCTAAAAGCAAGTAATAAAAAGCAGCTTTAATGCAAAATGGTTTGGACTGAAACAAGAGACTTCCGCTAAGTGCCCAGCACACTAATAAAAGGATAGCCTTGAGGTACATGTCCAAGTTAAAAGTGGGAGTTGTGTGCCTTTGTATTTATGGGAATGGTAGTGCCCAGCCAGCAGCCCCGGTCATTATAACCTGCTTACATGACGACTCTTCATTTGCAGCAGGAAATAAGTACCGGCTCTCATGCTTAAATCAGCTCTGCAGCCTATTTACTTCCTCAGAAAACAGGCCTGCCCTAAAATAACATCTACTTTTGGTTTAACCTTGATGACAAAGGTCCTAGTCATGAATTAGATAACCAGTCCTTAAAGAAGCTCGATCACCAATCCCACGTCCTCTCCAAAGATGGCCATAAAAGTAGGAGAAGTGCTAACTGAATTTTGATGGGCAGGCATAGCTTTCTTTTGGGGATGGAATGAACAAAAAAGTCCTAGATTTGACAAGGAATCTTTTCCTTTAAGTTTGAATAGCCTGTACCCTCACAGAAGTTTCAGCTGCTTGCAACACTTTTTATTTGAAAATTAGTTGGATAAAGCAGGTCTAAGTTTATGGCTAAGATTCTAATTTATGGTCAAAGGAGTTGGTACATCCTTCGGCAGCTCACTGGATCATCTGGTACTTTAAATAATCCATTTCACAATAATCACCAAATTTGCTAAGAATTATTTATTAAAGCTCAAGACTGAAATGTTGAATAGGAGACAAATCCCTTCGCTCTTACTAAGGACTGTTGCCATTTATATAATAACCTTGGAATACAAGAGGCAGTCTGTATAGCTCCGAAAATATTTCTTGGCCTTTAGTCCAAAAAAGCAAATGAAACTGTCCAATGACTTCATGAAGTATTTGAACAGATATTAACGCAAAGCTTTTTGTTGTTGTTATGAAACTACCAGGAATATTTTATGCAGATGAAATTCCTCCATGAAAAAGAAGTTTTCATCTTTGTTGTCACACAGTATATTATTCAGATCTGCAGATAAGAATGTGGATATTTGCAAAAAATAATTTCCCAAGAGTTATCTATTCCAGTACACACTGAATCTGCCTAAGCCTGTTCAAGTTAACCTCTGCATACAGTCCCCAACACGGTTCCGCCTAGAGTTGTAGTCTTATATTTAAAATGCCTTCAGCATTTCCAGTCATTAAAATGAGTATTTTTATGAAATCTAAAAAAATTCCACTTTACCAATTTTATATAGTATAGCTTTCCTTGTGCATTTAAAGATGACTTTTCCAATAAAGTCTGCAGGACTCAGATTTACATCCTCACCCACTGACAGTTTAATTAATTTAATTGTAGGAGAAAGTATTTAATCACATACAATCAGAAAAACAGCCCCTTAAACACAGGCTTTTGGGCCCAATATGAAATTCAATGAATTAGAATGAAACATGCATACTGCAATCCATTTCCTGATTCAGAACACTTGATATTATCAAAACACAATTCCACAATTGACTTTTTTTTTTTTTTTTAACCTCTCTAAACAACTTGTAAAATCCTTTCAGCATTTTAAGCCTGGTAAAAGAGGAGTCAGTATACTTCAGGTATAAAGGCAGTGCTAGTCTAGTTGTAATGAACTGTACAAACACCAACATCATAATGCTGTGCTAGTTAACATATCAAAAATATGCCATCTAAAATGCTGCTTGAATGACACAGATATCTGCTAGTATCCTAACTTTCTTTCCAATAGTTACAACATTAGAAGGAATCATCACTGGTGATTCTCAGCAGTACATACACATTAATGACTTATTTCAAAAAAGAAAAAAAGAAGGTGAAAAAAGACAGGAATTCTCATATTCCTGTTTAACTCATTATGGCAATTCAGCGCAACTAAGTCTGATGAATTAAAAAGAAAAAAAAAAACAAAAAAACAAAAAAAAACAGTGCTGTGTCAGTGGTTATCTGTTAAAGCTGACTACCAGCACCAGCTGGTGTTCTTCCCCAAAGTGATATCTAATTAGTTACAGACAAGACAGTTAATAAGTTAATAAATCCAGAAATGCAACTTTTCAGTTTTAGTCAGATTGTGCTGTACTAGCCTTTACACTGCAATAAAGATCAATTCTGTAAGCAGCAGAAACTCACATGCAGTTAGGTGCAAATATCAACTATTAGAGTATTAGAAGACTTCATCTGTTTAGTTTTAAAATGAGCAAGTGGTATTACAGTTGTGAGTGTTAAATACGGTCCTAGATGGGACCTATTACGATTACAAAAAAAAGATATTTAATCCTGAAACAACAGAAAAAGCATGTGTGTATTATATATATACATATATTTTATAAAAGAGCAACGCCTTCTGAAGAGTGGAGAATAGCCAGAACACTAAAACAATGCTGTAACAAGAGCCATTATTTGTGCGTTTGCTTTATGAAGCTTACATTCTAATGTTTACAAAGGGCAGCACTTATATAAGACTCTCCACTAACAAACAAATCTGGGATACATCAATTGTACAGGTAAGCCAGCCAAAAATAAGCGATAGCTATGTTCTTCTCAGTTTTAAGAAAGCATGCAATAGGTTTGCCCCTTCTGCCACCCCTTGTTCAGATTTGTAGATCACAGAACCAGTAAAAGGACAGTATAATGAAACCGGGGCACAGATAACAGATTGAATTTTATCACAGACTGTTTATCAATATTTTTACAAATGTAAAAGCAGCCTTCTTTCACCATCAGAAAGGCAGAGAAGATACAAGCATGAATAAAAAAATAATTAAGCAATTTAAGACATCAAAAGTTCAAGAAATAGCACTGTGCATATACAAATAAAATTAACATTCAATACTGTAGAGCTCGTTTAAAAATGGCACCAATGGACAATATTTTACAATATGCACATTTATTTGAGGTGGGGAACTAATGCTCCACAGGTGAAGATGATAATACAAATGATAGTGCCACTGTTGGCCCATTATGGTACTTCTTACAATTTAATGAAAACACTTTAGAAAATAATCTGGTATGTACATGTCTTCTGGAAACTCAATGGCTTCTTCAGAACAGAAAAAACTATGGTTCTCCCCCTCCCCTTTTTAGCCAGACAATATTGCCAGAGATTGTGCTCACTCTTAAAGCACATAATCTTACTTTAAATTCAGTGCTATTTTCTTTCAAAAAGATCAGAAGTTGTACTTTCAGATAACAAAAGCAATTATGTTACAAACATTCAAAAATGGAAGCTTATGATTCTGGCAGACAATGTTGCGTATTAAATACAAACCAGCCAGCAATTACCGAACATAAAAAACTTATTCAATCATAAAAAAATACTATAATTCATCACCACAGACTTTTTACATAGTTATAAATAATAAATAGCATAACACAGTAGATTACAAACGGATTTATTTTGCCCCGTTAAAGTCTTTTAAAAGTAAAATCTCTATTGTCTTTCCTCAGACTGACCAAAGTACTGTATCAAGACTAGTCATAGTCCAAATATAACTCCTTAGCCAAACAAATTTGCAGAGCTTATATTCAATCTAAATTTTAAGGTCTCTCCTTACAAATCGAATGTTCGCTCTGCCATTTGCCCTGCTTATTACGAAGGCATAAACGCTGTATATAGCAGCTTCAAAAGTCACTTTGTAGGCTGCCATCTCACAGCGTGGTTGGACTGCCCACAGCACCTTGTAACGGAGCACACACCTTGGAAAGGAACGCTAAGGAAAGCAGCATTGACGACAGAATCTGGTAAGCACTCTATAAACAAGCTGTACACAAAGGACTTCCCTCCCCCCCACCCCGGTTTACATTCCATAATTCTGTAACAATGTCCCCTAAGGCACAAAAATACCTGTGACCTCAATGCCACAGGAGACATTGATGGTGCCATACATGTTCTCCTACACAGTAGTTTAAATAACTTAGTTATCTGCACTGTATGTCTTAGATCGAGGCATGGATTAATTTTCCTTGGCCAAATGTTGCTGATTATTGACCGTATTTTCATATAGTCCGTAGGACGAAGGATCTGGGGAGAAAACTATGCAGCTATTTCAATCATGTTCATTCGTAGAATATTATTTCTTCACCAACGGCAAAAGTGGCAGTCATTAGTTGTTTGGTTTTTTTTGTAATGTAATAGAGTGAGATTTCCAGACCCATTGTGGTCTCCTGTAACAAAAGTGACTAGCAGCACTAAGAAAAATTTGTTTTCTCCCTTCTGCAAAAAGGATTTGAGGCTAGTGACTAAAGAAAAAAAAAAAGCAGGAATAGTTTCACTTAATGGTTGAAGTGCCAGACAATAAATTAGTATTTTCAAATCCTTGCGAACCAAATTATTTCCCTAGACATAGTGACCACGATAATAATAGAAGTATTTTCCTAAAAATTGCAACACTAATAGGTAGATACCTATCTTGGAATCAAAAAGTGTATGCAAGTTCTTGAAAGCAAGAAGTTAGTATAATCTGAGCAGACATCTTGTTTAAAAAATAAATCCGCAAAACCAGACATTAATATGGTCTACAATGTCCATTAAATGGATAAATCAAAATCACTGGAAAGTTGCCAAGGATTACAGTTACACTAATTTTCCATGTAACAATCCTCATGTTAACGGTTCAAGGATCAGAGTTCATTTCTCTGTACAAGTGTACAGTAAGGGAACAGCACAGCCAAACACTGACTCGGAACTCATTAAGTCACTTAGGTGAGAGATCATCCATCAAAATGAATGAAGAGCATGAATTTGAACACGTTACTGGAGACTCTGTGGTTATGCTGCCTTTAGTCAGTGAATCAGATGAAGAGCCAACACTGCTGCTACTCCCATCAAGTATGTCTGAAGACAGGCTGAGGAAAAAGAAAATGGTTATTTAGTAACACAGGCATCATGAATTTGTCTACAAAGCTAATGTACTTTTTCTCCTTCATAGGAAAGATGTAGGAGACATATACTACCACTCAGTCTTTACTCCAAGACTGGCAGCCCTGAAGACTCCTTGTTTTCTGTAGCATGTTATATGTATATTCATGCTCCTTAAGGGAACGAGGAGCAGAATTTTATTTTTTTTTTTAACATGCAGAATAAATTACTACTCTGATTTTAATCAGTTGTAGAAAGGAGATGACAACTAACAAGCAAAATCTTAAAAAGATTACAGGAAAGAAAGAATAAGAATCTAATCAGCAATGCAGCATAGACGTCGTTAATTAGCTATTATGTTTTTAAAATGTTACACTACTCAAAGCAAGATTTTGAAATGCGTTTTTCCTTCTTAAGTAAGGAATTACTCTGTTTGGATTCTGAAGTCTTGATACATGATTCCAGACAGCTTGTAAAAAAGATGCTTTTGTAATTTAGCTGGAAGTAAAATGAACGAAATATTTCTAGGTCCCAATTCTATAGGTATATTGAAATCACAGTAATACGGAGTTGATATTTTAGAATACTTAGTATCTGACTTCTGACTATATATTCAGCTTTTTATGATCATAATCATAAAGGAGACATAAATCAGAATGGAGACAAACAACACTAAAAATCTTGAACTTGTCAATATGAACTATGTGACTGCAGCAACTATTCACATATACATTATCTAGGTATTCAGGTAAGTGCCACAGATACTATACAGTCACTGCCTACAAAATACTGAAATGATGAAGCATCTTCAGATGAAGGAACGTTGCTAATGAACCAATCATGACTTGTAACGACTATATTCAGAATGACAGTTTTGATATACAAAGTCTAAGCTAGTGTCTGCTCAGGAAGAACTGATCAAGTGGACAGGAACGTTATCATACTACACTATCACAGAATTCCCAGTAATACGTATATGCAAGCTATAAGCAAAATATTTTTTTCTGAAGAACGGAAAGATTTGTACGGATGCACATTCCCTGGTTTGGCAATTTAGGGCACGCAATATTTTACCATGAACTGAGATCTGTCAGATGTGTAACATCTGGAGAAAGCATGTTGGTTGTTCCTTGAAAAAGTCTCTTTGGCTGACTTTCAGTTTCCATTTCACCTGAAGAAAATAGTGCAAATAATCAAACTTACTCGAGTCTCTGGAATGTCCATTTAATATTTGTCTATAGTAAGAGAGAAGTTTGTCCCATAATAGAGCAAGCTGGCATTTATGACGTGGTAAATCTTCTAATCCAGTCAACCAAGCACTTAGATAAGACATTAATTTTATGCTAGCTGTTGTTTAATCATCTAGTCCATTCTTTAACTAATGCTCTGGCAGTATCTGACAGGCTACAGTGAAAGATCTCAAAGACACAAAAACAGACACTTCCTAAGTTCAGACTACAATCAAACAAAATAATCTAAAGCAAACTAATTACCGTGGCTTAATTTTAAGTGAGCAGTTGAGATAAGGCAACCGACGTATCCCAAAATCTCAAGATTAAAGTTCTTAGTGATTACAGAAATAGAAATGCCAGCTTGGTACACGGTTTCACTCTCCTGAGTACAACAAATACTTAAACATATGTACACTTTTACATAAAAGCTGAATAGAAAAAAGTGAGCATGTGTATGCATTTCCAATTACTCATCATGGATCAGACTTTGTACCTGTAATCATCTACTGACATTAAAAGATTAAACGTGATGGGGAGAATTCATAAGGTCTGTTTAGTATAATCCACCCTGAGAATGAGCTAGCTCATTAATAGCTTCTGTATAATAGACATTTTGAAATACCAAGAACTTGCAGATAACAAGCTTAAAAGAAAACCCTCTCAGCTACAATATAGTTCAATTTTCAGCTTGGCAGCAAAAACATAGGAAACGGAAATAACTTTGTCTTTTTACCTACCAGCAGCTGCAGTGTCAGTTTGAAAATCTGACAGAAGCTAAGCATTTCAGTTAAACAGTATATATTTATGATAGACAACAGAATCCTACTACCATTCATTTTATGCAAGACTGATAACACCCCAAGTTTATTTCCTTTAGCACACAATCCCCCACCCCCTCTTTTTTTTTTTTTTTTTTTTTTTTTTTTTTTAAGGGAAAGAATGACAACTTCCATCAAGCAAAATGGGGAAAAAAAAAAAGATATTCAATACTTGGTCTTACATGTAAGTGAAAAAAATGCAAAACAACAATTAAAGTAACACTTGCAACACTTGAAATTTCACAAAGCTGCACTGCACAGTGCAATTAGTATTAATTCCCTATTGCAGTGAAATGTTCTCAAATGCATGACGCATTTAGGAAAATAAATTAGGTTCATTTATATGGATTAGATATTTTAAAATTAGGTAACATTTTGAACTATTTCTTGATATTTCCAGTAAAAACCTTGTATCTCCACTTTGTAGAAGATGCTCCACCAGAGCACATAGACAGGGTGAGGAAAGCCTGCCCTTTTTGTTCTGTTTTTAATACATTTTACAATTGTACACAAGTTATTTTAAGTAAAACATCACAGCATGAATATCTATTCCCTGTTTATCACTGAGCTTCATACAGTTTTGTACATTTTTTTAATGATTCTAAAATTCACAGAAATTCATAATTGTTCTAGGATGTAGTTTGAATATCCTTAATGCAGACTACTTTCAATAAAGAATGCAGTTTTCCTCATTCAGGAGGAAACCTCTTGAAATTCAACAAAGGCAAGTAAATGCAGCATCCTGAACCTGGGAAGAATACTCCCTCCCCCACCCCCAAAGCACCAGTACAAGCTGGGGGCTGACCTGCTGGAAAGCAGCTCTGCAGAGAGGGATCTGGGAGTCCTGGCAGCCAGCAGGCGGACCACGAGCCAGCAACGGGCCCTTGTGGCCAAGAGTATCCTGGAGGGCATTGGGAAGAGCACTGCCAGCAGGTCAAGAGAGGTGTTTCTCCCCCTCTACTCAGCAACTGGTGAGGCCTCTGCTGGAGTGCTCTGTCCAGTTCTAGGTTCCCCAGTACAAGAGGGACGTGGAGCTCCTGATGCAAGTCCAGCTAAGGGCTACTAAAATTATATGGGACTGAAGCATCTATAAGGAAAGACTGAGGGAGCCAGGTCTGTTCAGCCTGGAGAAGGCTTTACATTTTTACTGTGAGGGTGACTGAGCACTGGAACAGGATGTCCAGGGAAGGTGTGGAGTCTCCTGCCCTAGAGATCATACAAAAGCCATCTGGACACAACGCAGGGTAATGTGCTCTAGGGGATCCTGCTTCAGCACAGGGGTTAGACTATACCATCTCCAGCGGTCCCTTCCAACCTCAACCATCCTGTGATTCTGTAAAATAACACTGATCTGCCCTGCACTCATCTCTCTCTCACCTTCTGAACTTTCCTAGTAAAAACAAACATTCAGTACTAAGTTTAGAAGATACTGCATGATAAGCAACATTCCTTGGATGATCTGAAGGGTGTGCACCGCACAGTGGTAACTCTTAGGAATGCCAAGGCTCACAAATATTCACAAACATTTAATTTGATGTGGAATAAAGTTTGCCTCTTTCAAGCAGTAGCTGTTCTAATGTTTTTCATTCTTGTATTTTAGACTAGCTACTTTACATTATATGTGTAAATTACAATTGGTAAATTCCAGTTCACCATGGATACAAGCACATTATATACACAGGAAAACAACAGAAAGAAAAAATGTATCTTCCTGCTGCAAACCTACATCCATACTAAAGCATCTGACAATGTAAATACACGTACCTTTTCTTTTAATGGGGCCAAGAACACTAGGCCTGATACAGTTGATTGGACTTTGACTCCTCCTGCTAGAGAAAATATTGATAGTAAAAGTTCCAAGTTTGAACACCACCATACTTAGCATCAAATCAACACAACCATATATCAAATGTTTGTTAAAGCTATTCCTGTACAATTGGAATGCTTAGGGAATCTGAACACACAAAGAAGTGCTGCCTATTAGAGCAAATTATCTGCCACAGAAAATTTGTTAAGTTTTCTAGGGTCTTCTCCTTCTCTTAGTACATGCTCACTTCAAGCCATTTCTATCTTCAGTATAATATTTATATGAAATTGATACAGTGACAAATTAATCGAGTTCACTGGAAGGACCAAGGAATTTCCTCACAAGAAACAAAGTCTAGTTTAAAGATTCTTGTAAGAACACTCATGTAAAGCTACCATTGGTAAAAAATAAACCTGCAAAGCATTTTTACATGGCAATGCTTCAGCTATTCTAAAAATGAAGCCTCTTTTAATGCTTTGGCATCAGCTTTAACTATCTTTATGCTAGCCTCGGAATTTAAGCCAACGTATACCTGTTGCTTTCAGAAGTTACTTACTTGGAGAATCGCCTTGTTGGACTGGGAATAGGACTTGGAGGTAATCCATTACTGCTCACAAACATTTGCAATGATGGTGAAAAACACTGCTGCAGAATGAATGACATAAAGATGATTCAGAATTCCCTTTTAAATACTGAAGTGTCACGCCCCCAATCAAAATACCCCCAATTAAAGAAAACTTAGTAACAGAATAAGGCAGAAATGATTAAACAGAATCTTGGAGGAATTAAAACTCAACTTGCAAAAAATACACTGGCTAATGCAATACTGCTCAGATTAATCTGAAATTCAAAACCGTATGAAATCCAAAATTTAAATAGACTGTTTTCTAAATAAAACTGTTGTTTCTGTTCTTCCCATTACAGTTAGAAATAACAGTACAGTACTCAGGACTTACTTTTTTTCCAATACATTTGTTATGCAAACCAGCTGAGTTTACTCAAAATACCTGAAAATTTAATACAGTCTGCCAGAGCAGAAGAGACTATTTAGCTCTGTGATACTGTAGCTCATTTGATCTTAGCCTGTGAATACCCAAAGCTAAGCACACAAATATTTCTCGCAAGCTCACTGCAATAAAACATTAGCAGTACAAAAGCAGAACCACAAAAAAAGGCTGAGAACAAGGTCAGGCAGCCCACCTTTAAACACAGTTACTATTTTTTCTGTGCTAACATTTCAGTTTTCCCATCCTTACTGAAAAAAAAGTAGTTTACCCAAGATTCACCTTTTTCCTTTTCCAGCATTTGCTATCAGTCTTCAGTGCAAATTAAGCATGCCCAATTTTGAGCTGAGTCCGTCAGTGAGTTTATGCCTTCCTTTCCATAACTGATGGACATAAATTACTCCTCCTCACCACACAGATCTGCAGCTTCTGCTGTTTGCCTAATCTCTTCCTCTCCACATACAATACATTCAGATTTTGGTGCTTCTTCCCCAGCACGCCCCAATTATGCGGTTGAAGATCAAGTCTGTATACGATTACTACAATGACCTCTTCTAACTTCCCTGGAACCAGAATCCTAACCACCCAAACATTACACAAATAAAAGCAAGTGAAAACATGCAGTGTGAAAGAATTAGCACACTGCTTAAACTCTGCAGGCTCTAAGGTAAGCATCTGATTATTAGAAAACAGTAATACGTGGATTTGGGTTGGGTTTTGTCATTGCTGGTTTTTAAATCTGTGAAGTTTCACATTTTAGAATTTTCAGTGAAGGTGAACTGTAAAGATGTGTTTTCTGTTTGGTGTTTCACTTATCCTACCTTTCCTATTCCTCTTGTAGGTGAAGGTGCCGGCGAAACTGGAATGAAGTCTATTCTCTTTGGGGAGGAAGATTTCTCAGACTTGTCCAAGTCATTGTCGCTCTGTAAATACAAAAGTTTCAAACTTCACAGTTGCACAAGACACTACCTTAGAATCCAAGCTACAACCTTCCATGGAAAGTTGTTAGGCCAAGTACGCAAAAGAGCTAAAACAGATGAACTTCGGTTTATCTGAGATTATTTCCACAGTTACTCCTCTCTTTCCCTTAAATTCATCAGTTGAGCGTAGAAGTGGAATTAAATATGAAACATCTATAAAGAGATTACCAGGCTCAAGCTTTCCTCCCATGATTGGCTTATCTGCATTGCTGTTTGCACTTCCCTAGAATACAAAAAATCCCATCAGTAGCTACAAAGAGGATAACTGACTATTTTATCATCTTGTTTCCATAACACTCACCTTTCGTGTGCTGTTTCTCTGTTCATTAAATCCACTCCTTCTTCCTGCAGGAGATAAACATTTTAAGTTTTTATGTAACATCTGTTCATCACAGGTACTTATAATACTACTCCTGATTCAGTAATTTGCTTTTAGAATTGAAATATGGACAATAGAAGCTCTCCAGAAAGAAAAACTGCTATAAGCCTACCTCAGCATTTCTCTTAAGGAAACAGCACTCCAAAAATGCAAGGTAGTTGAAACATGACAACAATAAGCCTTGCAATCACACTTCCGTGTTGAAATTAAATCTTTTTTAGCTCTGTTTCCTCTAATACTTGAAAAATTCAATAGGAAAGAAACTCACATTATGTATTTCAGTATTATATAAATGCTTTTCATTCTGTTACTAAATATATAGTTAAAAACCTCACTTACCCTTCTGATCTGATGAAGTCGACTACTAGGAATACGAATGGGAGATGATGACAGCAACTGAAAAAAAGTGACAGCCACCATGATTAAATCGCAAACCAACAGCCTGCATCCACCCATACACCTACATTTTTGTTGAATTAAAAATGAGCTGTACAACTTCATGTGGATGACTCAAATAATGTTGCAAAATGAAAACACTGACCTTCAAAAGACTAGTTTTACTACTTACAAATTCATTCTGTCACTCTGCAAGCAGTGCTGATCTCAGAGTTGCATGCTCTTAGTATCTCAAGTGCACAAACAGCTGTATGTGCCATTTAAGCAAGAGAGGGATTATAAATGAAACTGAGAGTATTATCTAATTCCCTACTGTCTAGAATAAGACGACAGACCCCTGTACTAACTTACTCAACCAGCTTACTTTTATAGAGCATTTCAGCTCCATCTTGAAGAGCATTCTGTAAACCTTTACTTTTGCAATTGCGAAGTACCTTATACATCTAATCCCTCTGAACCTTTGGCTAGTGCCACATACAGCCAACAGTTCTCACTCAGGATGCCCACGTGTCTGTCTACATGACACCTACTATTTGAGTTCCAAAGATTTGCAGTCTGTCTTTAAACATACCTCATAACAAAAGACTTTGAACTAGAACTCCACTGCATTTTTTCTGAACAAGATAAAAAACACAGAAGTAACACATATTTTAGGACTTCACGTTCCACAGGTTTTGAGAAAAACAATTTAATCTTCACTACCCTTGGATGAGAGAGAAAAAATAGCAGAAAAGAGCACATAGCTCAGCATAAGCTGACAATAAAGAAAGAGAGAAAAATGAAACATAACATCTTTGAAAAATCACGTAAGTGCACTACTGTATGCTAACAGATTTATACAACAAGAGGCAGAATATCAACCAGGATATAAAACTCTTCTCCATATGATTCTCTGATGTCTAGTGTTCAGCCTTTGCAAAAAAAAAAAAAAAAAAAAAAAAAAGGCCCCGTGAAAAAAAAAGGTCAATGGAGCATTGCAAATCCCTCTCTTCCGTTTTTACAACAAATTAAAAGAACCATTCAAGACTTTCAATTGTGATAGCAGTTTTTTCTTCCCATCTGTGTTCAGGTCCAAATTAACATTAAGATAGTACTTAATACCAGAAATCAATCATGGTTCTTGATACTGTTCCGTTCTTGGGGATATGCAACTAATGCACAAGCATTGTTTTATTGTAGGCAGCAGCTGCAGGTGAAAAATGCATATTCTGCAGTCTGGAATCTCGCTCTGACGCTTAGCGCAAGCACAAATCAAGTTTAACTTCATTTCTCCAGCCCAATTACTTCTTGTTAGGTGTAAACAAAACATGCTTGAGATTCCTTACCATACTGTGACGGCTCATAACTGTTGTACTGTTCCTGCGAGTTCGCAACACATAAGGCTGAAAAACCTGCGAGTTGTCACTGCAGGGAGAAAAAACAAACAGGCTTTGTGAGCAGCCTTCTGAGGGATGCTTAGAACCACACTTTCCTTAGAACCACACGGTGCTACCGGACGTACATCCATCTCCAGCGCATGGCAAGCACCCATTTGACTTCCACAGCTTTACCGCAGGCCCCGGCCGAGGGCTCCGGGCCCGGCCCTGCCGAGCTGAGCGCTGCGGGCCGGGCCGGGCCGCGCTCACCTGAGCCCGTGGATGAGGGGGGCGCTGTTGGATCTCCTCAGGCCGCCCCCGTCGCTCGGGGCCGCGGCGCTCCCCGGCGGCAGCTCCAGGTCCAGCTCCATTTTCTCCTGAGCCATCGCGGCCCCGGCCCCGCCTGCGCCTGCGGCTCGGCCCGCTCCGCCGCGACGCCCATTCACTGCCGCCGGCCGCCGCGGCTCCTCCTCATCCCGCGCCGCCGCCGCCGCCGCCGCTCCCCAGGGCGCGGGGCGCTGCGGCCGCCCCTACAGGCCCCGCGGGCGGCGCCGCGGGCAGGGGCCGGGGGCGCGCCGGGCCCGCCGAGGGGGGCGGCCCCAGCAGCGCCCCATGCCCCTACAGCAGCCCCTACAGGCCCCTGCCCGGCCCCGCGCCTCCCTCCCGGGGCCGCCGCCTGCGCACGGGGACGGGACGGGACGGGACGGGACGCGGACGGGCCGCGGGACGGGACGGGACGGGACGGGAGCGGAGCGAGCGCCTCAGGCCCGACGCCCCCCGCCGCCGCCGCCAGCCCCGGCGCCGCCACCCAGCGCGCATGCGCGGGAGGCAAGGCGGAGGCGCGGCCCGCAGCTTACCGCCCGCCGCGGCGCACGCGCCCTGCCGCCACCCGGCCGCTACCGCGCATGCCCGCGGGAGCCGCGTCGGACCCGAGCGCCGGCTTCGGCTCCGCTCGGGCTCCCGAGAGCCTCCGAGGCGGGGGCGCGCGCCGATTGGGCGCCGCGGCGGGGCGTGTGTTTGAAATGGGCCAATGGGAGGCCGGGGGGGGGCGGCTGCGGCACGCGGGAACGCGGTGTGGGGGGGGCCGCGGGTTCGAGTCCGGCTCTGCCATTGGGTTCGGTCCGCTCAGTGCCGAGCGATTAAAATATTGCAGTGTGTGTCTTCTCAGTTGTTTTTTTATTTTTTACATATCCATCTATAGTAACAGCTGCAATATACACGCTTGTCTCTTACATTCAGGGGTTCTTCAGGGTCCTTAGCAGCATCGCATTTCAAAAAGTTTTTATTTTCCTCTGGGAAACAGCTGTTGTTTTCTCAAGAGCGTTAAGCGCAGAAAAAGTTGGCATGGGAAACTTTAACTTCTTGCTATTTCAACTTTTTTTTAAGTGGAAATATAGCTGCATGAACTATTCCACTACTTGAAAAAGACTGAATGTAGATGACCTTAGATAACGGAGTAGAACTGCCCATAGCGTTGCCTTTTTTGTTAATCAAGACTGAATCAAATGTTTTCCGCTGTTCTATGCTCAATGTAGGACTCTAATCAACTCTTTTGTTGAAGTTCAGTATTTCTTGCATTATACTGACACTTTGTGCCTACTGTGTCTCTACGATGACTTAACAGGGCCCATGCATAGTACATTTAAAGTATTTTCAAGCTTTATCAGTATGTGTTTATGTTGAAAAACCTGGAGACAATCTTCCCTGCTTTGTATTATTGCAGAAGGAAAACCTTTTACAACCTTATGCCATTGCTTACACCATGATATATTGTAGCCAGTAATGATGCCTTTCTTTGAGATGATACAGAATCCCTATCTATTCTGGGAAAAACAAAACAAAACAAAAACACTAAAGCCTTATTGTGCTTGATTTCTGGTAATTATGGTCAGTCTGTTTAACTGGAAAAATAGGATCTAGTACTTCAAGAGGAAAAAAAAAAAAAAGCTATTAATCACGTCTTACTGCCACCATTCACTAAAAGCAACACCATATTTTTAAGCTTTAATAAAAGATCTTGCCCCATTCTCCTTGTCTGGTGCTTCAGCACAAGCACTTTGTCAGCTGAAGAGTGCCAAAAAGCCAATTTGAGTGAAAACATCTAGCCTGGAATGGAAATATATTCACACATAGGTTGGCTCTGTTAATATAAAAAACACCTGCAAAATGTGACTGCATCACGCAACTATGTGGATTTTACTAGACAAAAAGCTTCAAATGCTACGTACCTGGAAAAAGTCAACAGCATCCAAAATGTGGCTGAGAGCTCAAAAACACCTGCTTCACGGACTCAGATTTTGTTGGTGCCTGGCACTTACACAACAACCTGCTATCTGACCGGGGCTTTACTATAACCCAGAGAACCACAATGGGAACATACATGAAAGAAAGTGGTGACTGTCCAGGAGGCCAGCTGAGGCCTGGGAAGAGGAGGGTAACGAGGCAGAGGAAAGGGGATGTGGCTGTGGAGGAGCTGTGCTATGGAACAGAATGAGATCAAAGACTGAAATGAGGAAATCGCAAAGATCTGAGTAAGAGAAACAGGGCAAATTACCATGGGAACAGGGATTAAGAAGGGAAAGGGTATGTTAAACAGAGCCTGGGGAGGATGCAGGTGAATGACAGAAGCAGAGACTGGGGGAAGGAGTGCAATGATGCAGAGGGACGAGCGGGCACGAAGAGTTATGGCATGGGTGATAAAACGGGAATACTTTAAAATACCAGGGAAATATCCCAGTGGGTGGAATTCACCCAGCCGGCTGATGTTACAAAATGCTATCTTAGGCATGGGATTTATGGAAAAAATATTACTTATGTATAATCTGCCTTTCTTCTCTGGTTACTTTTCGTTGGGAAAGGCTGCCTGAGAACCCCACCTGCAATACAAACCGCTGCAGAGACAGCTGAGCTTGCAAAGACCAGCAAAAAGTCAAAACCACGACCCCAAATCCCAACCCCTAACCCCTAAACCCCCGATCCCAAACCCAGCCCCGCTCCCCGCGGCCCCCCGGAAGCTCGGCGCAGGCGCGGGCCCCGGGCTCGGGGCTCCGTGCGGGGCTCCCGGCGGCGCATGCGCGGGGCTGGCGGCGGCGGCGGGGGGCGCCGGGCCTGAGGCGCTCGCTCCGCTCCCGTCCCGTCCCGCGGCCTCCGCGCCCGTCCCGTCCCGTCCCGTCCCGTCCCGTCCCGTCCCGCCCCGCCCCGCGCGCAGGCGGCGGCCCCGGGAGGCGCGGGGCCGGGCAGGGGCCTGTAGGGGCTGCTGTAGGGGCATGGGGCGCTGCTGGGGCCGCCCCCCTCGGCGGGCCCGGCGCGCCCCCGGCCCCTGCCCGCGGCGCCGCCCGCGGGACCTGTAGGGGCGGCCGCAGCGCCCCGCGCCCTGGGGAGCGGCGGCGGCGGCGGCGCGGGATGAGGAGGAGCCGCGGCGGCCGGCGGCAGTGAATGGGCGTCGCGGCGGAGCGGGCCGAGCCGCAGGCGCAGGCGGGGCCGGGGCCGCGATGGCTCAGGAGAAAATGGAGCTGGACCTGGAGCTGCCGCCGGGGAGCGCCGCGGCCCCGAGCGACGGGGGCGGCCTGAGGAGATCCAACAGCGCCCCCCTCATCCACGGGCTCAGGTGAGCGCGGCCCGGCCCGGCCCGGAGCCCTCGGCCGGGGCCTGAGGGGGACCCTGAGCGTTACACGAGGTGCTCTGCTAGTGTTAAGCAGTGTCGGGTGTCCTGTGGCTGCTCCTGGTTTTGTTATTGTGCAATGCTGGGAGAAGCACACGGAGCTGGGTGGGTGGTTTTGTCTGGGCATTGCCATTAGCCTAACAGCAGCTGGCATTTGCAGGGGGGGTGAGTTTTTGCAGGGTGTTCTCTGCCAAGCTCTCCTCGGCTGATACACAGGCAAGGGCTAAGAGCAAAGCTCTCAGGTGTGCAGGTCTGTGGGGTGCTTTTTTTGACGCTGGACCGGGTTGCCGTTAGAGAAGCTGTGGATGCCCCATCCCTGGAAGTGTTCAAGGCCAGGTTGGATAGGGCTTTGAGCAACCTGGCCTGGTAGAACTGGGTGATCTCTGGTCTCTTCCAACCTGACCCAGTCTATGATTATATAATTTAGTGTTTGGGTAACTTTATAACTCAAAGTACCGTTTCCTGCCTCTCTGGGGCAGTTTGTGAAGTTGGGGGATGCCCCAATGTCTCTTAGATGATGTCAGTAACATCTAACTTCAGGGTGGGCTATGTGCATCTACTAGCAGTATGTCCGCAGATGGGAGAGCATACTGACACTAAACTTTTGTAAAAGATAGCATAATATATAAGTACTTTGTTTTTTCTCCCTCCCCTTAAACTTCATGTTTCTGTAAAGAAATAAATATCAGTTGATGAATACATCTCTCATAAATGTTGTACCAAAACAGCTGAATCTGCACTACAGTTCAGAGAAAATATTAGTGTTTTTATTACTCAGTCGTGATTTAATTTTAAGTAAACACTGCATTTCTTTTATGTAATTGCAATGAAGCCGCTATCATTTTACAGTTTGATGCGGTACAGAGGTATTGTGAATGGTAGTTGTTCCTCAGGCAGATTTCTGAGCAGGTAAACTAATTATGTAACAGAGACATAGGTGTTCTTATAAGCTTAGCCTTATAAGTTGTTCCTTATGAACTCTGAGATGCTCTGCTTTTTAAAAATACAAAGCAGCCAAGTGAAAGAAACAGCCCAGCATCTGATAATCATGCTGCAAACAAACTGTTTAGGTCAAGTTCTGGGCATATAGCCTGAGCTTTTGCCTTAAAACGGCGTGTATACTACACTAGGTGTTTATAGAGATTAAATTGAAATCCTGCTGAACTAATTTCAGGTGGTTGCAGTGGTTTGCCTGCTAGTTAGGAATTTTCCAGCAGAAAACTGTTTTTGCAAGATTACAGCTCTTGGCAAGAAACTTCATTTTTTTCCCAGAACGGCTTTGTTGGGTAAACTGAAACAAAAGCTCTTGCTCTTGGACAGATTGCTCTTTCTGCTCCGTCACTGCCTACCGACTTGATTTCCTCGTTAACAGATCTAGTAAGAAGCTTAGAGAAAAAGGTACTGTAAAGCCAGAGAGCATCTCCAGGTGAATGTTTTAGATCAAAGAATGTACCTTTCACAGAACTTTTGATTCCTGTTCTCATGCTAAATCAATATTATTATTTTTTTATTGGGAACTATAAGAATTTTCTGTGAAAGGTAAGTCTGAGATCTGACCAGTTCTCTAGTGTTTTTGCAAGGGAAAATAAAGGTAAGGATATTTATATTTCCTTCCTCTCCCTTTCTTCTCTTCTAGTCAGCACCGAGTATTGGATTCAGCCTCTGATAATGTATTGCAGAATCCTTCAAACCTGTTTTTTTCCATTCAAAACCTAGATTTCAGCATGCACCATTTATGCTCTGCTGTGCATTGGTGTACCAGCCAGTACGCTTACACTAAAGAGAAGTTGTAGTTGTTGGCCTCGGCCAGTAAATCTCATCTCTAAATGTCAAATCACGACCTCTTTGAATTCCTCCTGTTCTACTTCCTGTCAAAGAGCAAATGTTTGATTTCTTGTGGGTGTAAATTGAGTGAAATGTCTTTGACTGGACATCAGTTACTTTTTTCAGTGTTGTATTTGATGTTTTAGAGGCAACACATTCTT